AGGTGTAGTTATCTAGCCCCGCTTTTTTCAATGCCTCGCCAAGAAGAGGCGTCGTGTGTGTCTTGTCTTTGCAGGTTGTGGATTTGGTTTTTGATTCAGTTTGCTACCTCCCCCCCCCCCCCCCCCCCCCCCCCCCAACTCCCCATTCTCCTTTTCCATAGTAAAAAAACAGATCAAGAACAGAATTGTAGAATGTGTGAATCTATTTCTTCTTGCTTTTGCTCTAGTTTTTGACATATTCTTTGTAATCTTCAGCCAGTTTCTTCTGTATAGATAAAACCTTAAGATTTTCGACTCTAAAGTACAGTCGAATGAGTTGTTCTTCTGGCATCTATATGACCAAATTTCATCATTTGTTTTTTTGGGAAACATTGTCATTTCTAAGCATGAGTTCGAGACAATTGATAAGTGAGTTGTTAATGCAACTATAAAGTTAGAGGATCAACTTTTGTAAATGTGTAGTTGTGTACTACTTCAAACATGATTTACTGAATTCGAGATAATTGGTAAGTGAGCTACTGAAGTGTTAATGTAACTATAAGATCATAGGAGTGACTCTTGTAAACATACACTATGTTAAAAGGCTCTAACCAGACCTTTTTCGGAGTAAGAGCCAAACTCTTAGTCGCTTCTCGACTCTCGAGGGTGACAAACTCAAGTTTCAATCATATTTTAACTAGAAGATCAAGATTCTCTCGGCATTTATGTCTATTACTGAATTTAGACTAATCTCAGTACATGCTGCCAAACTCAAGTTTCAGTTAGATTTTAACTAGAAGATCAAAGTTCTTTCAATGCTTATCGTTTTCATTGTACTATTTTATCATACTTTAAACATGATTTACTGTGTTTGAGACAGTTGGTAAGTGAGATATTAATGCAATTATAAGGTCAGAGGATCGACTCTTGTAAATGTGTGCCACGTTAAGAGGTTTTGGCTAGACTTTTTTTCTGGCGAGTAAGAGTCAAACTCTGTAGTTGCATCTCGAGTCGAATTTAGACTAATCTCCTAACTGCCAAACTCAAATTTTAGTTAGATTTTAGCTAGAATATCAAAGTTCTTTCAATGCTTAACGTTTTCATTGTGCTAATTTATACTACTTTAAACATGATTTACTGAATTCGAGATAGTTGGTAAGTGAGCTACTGAACTATTAATGTAACTATAAGATCATATAATTAGTAGATCAAGGTTCTCTATTTTATCCTTTACTTTTGCAGCAGGATACTATTACTTTGGAGTTCTTTACTGCCTACTTGATCGGCCTACTGATAGGATAACACAGCCAGACAGACACTTGAACTATGAACTTTGTACAAGGACTAGGTTTTGTCTTAGGAGAGGCCTTTAGTGTTGTAAAGCACTAAAGCAGTATCTTCTCGTGATCCCAGATATCCTTTTAAGGATTTTATCACATTATTTTGTTCACTTTCTTCACTTTCAGCCTTCCAACACCACAATCCCCTTCTTCCACTGGCTGATAGAATGAAAGGTGACAACCCCCCACCCCCACCCTGTGGGCCCAAATCAGCTCCACTCTATGGATGAACATTGAACCTTCAAACAGAAAAGGAGAGACTATATAGAATATTCTTGTTATCCGTATATAATATAGTCCAGAGGATAACTATTATAGCATAAGAAATGAAGAGAAGGTGAATTATACACTATAGTTGCCACTAAGCCTAGTTGCCACCCTCAAAAGCACTCTAACCCAATACTTATCTAAAGGGTCGTTTAATGCTCATTCTAACCCTTAGCTTCAAGAATTAAGAATCCCAGCAGCCAAAAAAGTGAAATCTTAATTTCAGCAGCCAAAAAAGTGAAATCTCCATTAATTTACGAGAAAATTCACAATCGCTATTCAAAAGTCACATATTGAGTGTAATTCGTCTTATAATTTTAATTGACAAAGGACTACACGGAGATAAACTAACTTATGTGGCCTATAAGTCTATAACTTAGCTTTGGAGTGACGAATTTGGAACCTTGTGAATAACTATCTGTCAAGCTAGGTTGAAGTTGTCAAAAAAAAGGGGGGTGAAATCTCTTTTGATTTACAAGAAAGTTCGCAACTACTACTTGAAAAGTGTGTTCTAGGTGAAACTCACCTTATAATCCTAGCCAGAGCTACGAAGTGGTAAATCAGTCTCGGTTGTCTTTAACTTTAGAAAGACAACTTTGAAATTTTGTAGTTAATTACAGAGTAAACTGTCCAACCAAACTCGTATGAGTCGTTGCCAAAATATAATAATAATAATAATAATCTCCCACACAATCAAACCAGGGATTCGTTATCTGATCTCCATTAAAAATTCTTTCTTTTATCAAACATATGTAGCTGCTATATATATATCCCATCAACTCCAAACTTGTCCTTCATCACCAAAACAAAACACAACTTAAAACCCTTTAATCCTCTCACAAAACATCATTAGGATGAAGACTACATCCCATGTTTCATGTTTGTCCTGCGAGTTGAAAATCATAGGAGCTAAGAACATTGACAATCAACACTACTCTTCTGGGAGTTTCTTTGTGAGATGCTATCTGTCGGCCGGAAACGGCCAGACGGCTGAGCTGAACAGCCGGGAAATCCCGCCGTCCGGCGACCACCTGTCTTGGAACGAGTCTTTCTCCTTGGACTGCCTAGGCTCCGAGGAAAACATCAACCTCTTAAAGCTCGCCGGAGATGTGGTGTTTGAGCTCCGGTGGAGGCGGAGGAGGTTCCCAGCCGGCCTTGGCTGCTGCAGCTCAAAACTCGTGGGCAGAGCTCAGGTTCCATGGAAACTCTGCTTTGAATCCCCAAACATGGAAGTTCAGAAATGGGTTTTCATGGATTCAAAGAAAGGAAGCTCTGCTAAGCCGCCGGGTTTACAGATCGCCATGAAAGTTAAGGCGGAAGAGAGAAGAAGAAGAAGAAGGTGGAGCCATGATGATGAGTGCGACTGTGGTTGCATGGACGGTGGAGATCATGGCTGCGCTGATTATGAAATTTTTGCACTTGGAGCTGCTTTAGAAGCCTTTTAATTAATTAGGAGAAATTAACTCACAAAACAACTTTAATTAAGATTAACCTTCTTTAGTTATTGCTTGATTTGTATTCAATGTTTCGTCAACTTTTTGTAGTTTCAAATATATATATATATATATATATATATATATATATATATATAGATAAGAGAATCACAATTAATTCTCTCATCTTTCCTTTGCCCAACTTTAACTTGATTGAGTGTTTTTAAAATTTTGTATAGCTTTTCCTTTGAATTTGTCATCCAGGGATCTGTCCATTTTAAACATAATTCTCTGTCGTCGCTGAGATTCGAACATTAATTTCTTTCTCCAAATATTGTCTACTAAATCATTAAGCTAAACCTGTACTGACTGCTTTAAGAGAGGTCTAGCCTGAAGAGATGGTAGTGGAAGTGTGCGGTGAGGTGATTTCCACTATAAGATAGACATAATAGTTAGTTTGATGGTTGATTTTTGGGCCATCCATTATGGACTTTGTTTGAGTTGGGAAAGGGGTAATAAAAAAAATTGAGTTGGAGAGCAATTCATATGTATAATTGAGAAGGTATACTATATGCCACAAGGAAGGAATAGTGGAAACCCTCATTTGCGCATTATTAGGGGGTTAGAGAGAAGACTCAAGGAGGAATTGTAAGATAGCCCGTCGGATGGAATACAACTACTTTTGGATATTGACTTTGTGAGAATGAGTCCACCACAATTTATGTTACTTTCTTTAATTTGTATCCAAAAATAAAATAAAGTAAAATAAACGCTTGCAGTCGGACCATTATCTATATTGCTTCGCATTTAATTTTTTTTTTTTTTGAGTAAATTGGGGTATCCATTATTGAGTCTCAACTTCAATGGACCCCATGTTTACACTTTACGGTGATGGCCCAACCCCCACTTACAATGCAATAACATAACATGATATAATGCATGTAAATATTTTGTACCATAATGCATGCAACATTAAGAAATGATCAAATATAATTTGTATTTTTATGCCATGTCATATGATATTATTCATATTATATTATTATATATTATCCAACTAAAACTCAAAATTTGTTTTATACTAATGTCGCTCTAATACACAAATTAATGTAAGTTAACAATAATTATCTTTTAATAATCGGTCGGAAGTGAAAGCAATACCCTGTTTGGTGAAGAACATGTCATGGTCTTAGAGAGTTAATTGTGCACAATGTAACTTATGAATTTTTTCTATGTTGTTGAAGGACAATTATACCATGGATCCGGGTTTAAAATATACAATTTACATATTGAATGTTCACAATTTGAACTGTAAACATTTAATATGTAAATTATGAACATTTAGTTAAATTATAAACATTTAGGGTGGGCTCATGTCCATTTTGCTCAAAATACATTATTTAATTATTGAATGTTCATATGTAAATTATAATATGTAAATATGGGTAATCATTCAAATTCCACCTTACTATCAAATATGTAAAATACTTTCGCTAAAACTCATATCATTACCAAGTATTCGATTCTCATTCTGATTTTGATTCTCCGAATCAAACATACCTTTAGTATGTAAATTATGAACATTCAATATCTAAATTATGTATATTTGAGCAAAATGGACATGGATCCACATAATAATTTGCCGTTGTTGAATAGGTTTTCAAATGCCAAAGAATTATTTCTAAAAAAAAAAGGCCAAAGAATTATTTCTAAAAAAAAAAAAAAAACCATCAAAGAATGTACGTAATCTAATGAAATTATCACTCACGAAATCACATAAATATTTAGACTAACACATCTATGAATAGTAAATTCCACGAATAGACATAATAACAATCTATCATGGTTTTTTTTTACTAAATGTATTTTCAAATTTCAAGCATCAAGTTAAACACATTATCTTTTATTAAAATTGTGGGATCAAAGAAAAAGAAATGAAACTAATAATTAATTACTCCGGATAAGTTAAGGAAAAAAAAACACAATTTTATGGCGGAATTGAAGAAAATGATGATGGTGGACGTGGACTTGGGCAAAACGAAGGAATTGATATTTCTGAAAGACTAATTCACGACTGAACCAAAGAGAATTAGCTTCAAAGACTCCATCTTCGATTTCTCGATAATTCCAAAGAAAAGGGGGAAAGATGGAAAAAATTCTGAGTTTTTTGTTTATTTGAAAGGTGACGGAAGGCGTGCAGATTCTGCTTTGAAGCATCACGATAGAAAAAGGTAGTGGAAATCTAATCATACAGAGAATAATGGCACTATGGAGGGCGGAGTACTAATTTAGGGAGCAATTTGGAGCACAAAATGGGCAGAGAAGTAGAAGAAGAAGAAGAGAAGTGGTCGCCACCGCCGCTGCTAGAGCATAAGAATCGGTCTCTGAGGAGTAAAGCGGCGCACTTTGTATCTGATCTTACCACCGTCATCCTCAATCCAATCTCCGATAAGCCCTCCAAACGCAAACCTAGACCGCCGCCGGTACCTGTAAGTGTATCAAGTTTATTGCTTTGTTTTGTCTTTTGTTCTACGGGTTGATTGCTCTAGGGTTTAGGATATACTGTTTTGACCTTGCTGGATTCTTTTGATTTCCTTCATTTATAACTGTGTGTGTGTGTGTGTGTGTGTTCTGCTGCTAGTAGTATCATTTAAGCTGTAGTTTGAATTGGGAGTGTATATGAAGAAGAAAATTATGGTTAGTGATTGTTGTTATGGTATGCTCTTTATCTGTAAATTATGGTTAGTGGTTGTTGTTGATGGTATGCTCTTTATCTGTTTGAAGAAAAGCCCTGTACAAGCTGCATTTGGAAATATGCAGTGTTGCGTGATGTTTCTTTTTCGATTAATAAGGATTGGATAAAGGAAGGTTGAAAACAAGTTTATGATTAAATGTATGTGATATGATGATTAAGGGAATATCTTTATTATTATAACTGATTTATTATCTTTACTATTAGAATTGATTTATTTCCTTTAGAGATAGCAAATAATTAGGGTAAGGATCTTTAGTGATTCTCCTTTCCTTTTTATGTTTTTGCTAGTCTTCCTTTCCTTTTTATGTTTTACTAGTCTTTGTAACCCTCTTATATAAAGGGGATTTTCATTCTAATAAAAGGACAAGCAAGAAAGAAGTTAAGTTAAAATCAAGAGGTGGGAAAACTCTCAAAACGTTCCTATTATCTTTGTTCCTTATATTTATCTCTCAACATAGACAACCCCAATAACCCTACTCGCCCTTTGACGCGTGCTTTCACCCGAAAACATAACATTTTGGTTCCGTTGCCGGGCGTCAATATGGGCGATATCAAGAAACTCCAGGACGAGGTCCGAGCTATCCAGGCATCCATCGAAAAACTGGAACACCTTCCTGCAGCTGTGGACTCTCTAACCGAAACAGTAACCAATCTCTCCCAGATGGTGCACTCTTTCTTCACATCGCAGGCCACCACTTCCACAACTGTGGCAGCCTCTCATGGCAACCAAGCCACTCCGGAGACTGCACTGCCGCAGCCAGCTGCTCCCATTCCGGCTACACGATTCACCAGATTGGAGTTCCCCACTTTTGATGGCAAAGGGGACCCTCTTGTTTGGCTCCATCGCTGTGAGTTGTTCTTTGATAAATCACCGCATTCTGATCATGAGAAGGTTACCACAGCAGCGTATTATCTGTTCGATAGCGCCCAACTGTGGTACAAACGTCGCATGCAGGATGGTCAACAATTTTCTTGGAATCAATTCAAAGGTGCATGCACCCTCCGTTTTGGACCACCCCGGAGCATCAACCCGTTAGGTGAACTGGCAAACCTCAAACAACATGGTCGGGATTTAGACGAATTCATAGATGATTTCCAGACCCTCCTCGCTAGAGCTGACAACGTCCTTTATTCTCAACAAGTCAATCTGTTCACAGCCGGCCTTGATGAGGTTCTACGTATAGATGTTGAAAGGATGCGGCCAGTTTCTCTTGATGAGGCCATTAACATAGCACGAGATTATGCTCGTAAAGGCCTCCTGCTTCACAATGCACCTCCCCGACAAACTTTCCCATCCCAAACACCCCCTAGTTGCGCCATAACAGTGCACCAACAGCCACAATCACGCCCTCAGTTCCATAAACTCTCCCCGACAGAAATGATAGAGCGCCAAAAGCGTGGCCTCTGCTATAATTGTGATGAACCATGGGTAAAGGGCCATCGTTGCAAACAACAACTATACATGCTTGGCTTTAATGGCGAAGGGGACGATGAGCCAATTGACGCAACGACCCCAGACTAATCAATTCCCACTTTTCTAGATTTCAAGCTTGAGGACAAGCTTGATGTCCAAGAGGGGAGTAATGATATGATGATTAAGGGAATATCTTTATTATTATAACTGATTTATTATCTTTACTATTAGAATTGATTTATTTCCTTTAGAGATAGCAAATAATTAGGGTAAGGATCTTTAGTGATTCTCCTTTCCTTTTTATGTTTTTGCTAGTCTTCCTTTCCTTTTTATGTTTTACTAGTCTTTGTAACCCTCTTATATAAAGGGGATTTTCATTCTAATAAAAGGACAAGCAAGAAAGAAGTTAAGTTAAAATCAAGAGGTGGGAAAACTCTCAAAACGTTCCTATTATCTTTGTTCCTTATATTTATCTCTCAACATAGACAACCCCAATAACCCTACTCGCCCTTTGACGCGTGCTTTCACCCGAAAACATAACAGTATGGTTGTGTTGTTGTAGGAAGATGGATCAGATTCTGAGGGAAGTAAACTGGAGTTGGATGAGGGGGAGCCTGGGGATATAGTTAACGGTCCTGATACGTCCTCATTTACTGCATTCCTGTATTCCCTACTATCGAATTCAGAGCCTGGTAGTCACTCTAGTTTGAATGGGAACAATGAGAAGCAAGATGATAAAGCTGAACCATCTGAGCCACCGGTGAAGGAACCTAGCAGAAGGAGAAGTTTTATCACGAGGGGCAAACAGACGATAGGCAGGGCGGTTTACCAAGTTGCTAGATTGGGTGGATTCCGGAATCAGGGATCAAGCAAGGGAAACTCTGACATGGGGATTGATGATGGAAGTAATTCCAAAGTTGATAGACCTGAGGGAATCCTTAAGCAAGATAAGAATGAGGAAGTGCCTTCAAGCAATCTTCCTGAAACTTCTGAACCCTCGTTGCTTCTCTCAGAGAAGACACGAACAGCTCTTTACACTGCACTTCCAGCACTTGTTAAGGACCGGAAATGGGTGATGCTCTATAGGTATGAAAAGGTGGATGCAACTTTCATCCAATTGCTATGGTACCTCTTTTAGAAAAATCTGCAGGAATTCTTGTTTTTTCTTTTGTCATCTGCATCATAGGGTTTTGTGTTATCTTTTTGTCCAGTACATGGAGGAATGGCATATCACTTTCCACTTTGTACAGGAGAAGCATGCTATGGCCTGGCCTCAGTCTTCTGGTAATGCTATTTATTCTCTAATATATTTTCTTCACATGCTCACTCTTAAAGCATGCAAATATGTGTGTTTTCTTGTTCTTATCATTTAAAAAAAAAATGTTGCTTTGGTAGATTTGAAGTTTATTAGCCAGTGATCAAACATCTGAAAATAATTATAATACATATTTGGAGGCAGGCCTTTTTACGCTGTTCAAAATATGAAATTAATGGTCAAGCTTTGATTCCATTGTCAACTCCCCCTCGTGGTAAAGGATTGACAACTGAATTATATCCCCTTCATTGCCCCCGTTAAGAAGCATAAGTGATGTCCTTAGGCATTGGGTCAATAAACCCAATGCTATATCCCTATTCTTGAACAACTTGGAGACAGGCCATCTTACACTGTTACAGATATGAAATTAATGGTCAAACATTGATTCAATTGTCAACTGTCAGAAAAGGATTGACTACCAATTCCAAACTGAAGGAACTGAAATTTCATGTCTTGTCCATTCAAGACTCGAGAATGCTTGTGTGTTTCAGACTCCTATTCTTTTGACAGTCTTCTTTGAGCAGGTTCAAGTCATTTCTGACACATTTGCTATATCTATCTCTTACATAATTCTAATGTTTAGGTTGTAGGAGACCGTAAGGGTACTGTATTTGGTGGGCTAGTTGAGGCACCTCTAAGGGCAACAACTAAGAGAAGATATCAGGTAAGGCTGAATAGATGCATGTTTAGTCATGCCAATATGACTAATTTGTTACTTAGAGATCTCTTTTAATCTTGATATTCATATCTAAAACAGGGAACGAATGCTTCATTTGTTTTCACGAATGTATCAGGTCATCCTACTATATTTCGTCCTACAGGTATTGCTTATACTTTCTTCCACCTGGCAGTCATACTTTTTAAGATTATTACCCCCCATAGAAAGGGCCTGATGCTTTACTTTCAATTATTTGTGGATATTTTAAATTTTGGTTAGGACATTTCTCTGGGTACATTTATTTATTGTGTTTATGTCCAATGGAGAAAGTGCGGAGACAATTTAGTGAGAAAACTTGGGGTCAGAAAACTACTATCGTCTGCTTCACAAATGTTAGTTGCTAGAGATTCTACGTCTCCAACTATGACAAAAAGTGTATTGTGTGGGATATTGGGTTGATGTAAGTGATGAATTGATTTAGTGTTATTGTACTAATTCATATTTCAAATTAGTTGCATTGGAGTTGCCGGAAAAGATATGGTTCCTCAGCTTGATGGTCTTAACCCTCGAAAAAAAATGCATACTATACTTTTTTCCTCTGAAAGCCTGAAATAAGGTTGTCATTTTGGATCTCTTACCAATTGCCCCCTCTTAGCACATAGTATTATATCATGAGAATATTTAGTTATAACACTAACACTAGGATATATGCAGGCATGAATCGCTATTATACTATGTGCTCCACAGAGTACATAGCCTTGGGCGGTGGTGGTCATTTTGCTCTCTACTTGGATGGGGATCTGTAAGATTTTTATCTTGTTTGTATATCCTTATTTTTGTATTGGACACTTGTTTGTATGTGTATTTCCGGTGTAAAGGAAAATTTACTTACAAAAATGACTTTCTGATGCATAATTCTTTACAGCCTGACCGGATCAAGTGCAGCTTCACAAACCTATGGAAACTCGTGCTTGTCATGCAGTGAAGATTTTGAAGTGAAGGAGGTTGAGGTATTGACTGAACTACCCCTGGTTCCCCTCAATCCTTCTAAAAAAGTCTGGGAAAGCATCTGTTCCCATATCTATTCAGCGCCTTTGTTTCTTAATCTATGTAAGGATTTCTCGTTTTTGCAATGCAGTTATGGGGTTTCGTATATGCTTCAAAGTACGAAGAGATACTCTCAGTCCTGCGAACTGAGGCACCTGGAATCTGCCGCTTTTGAACATTGCTCAGGCAAGGCGTGCTGCATTTCAGTTCGCGTTTTCTCAAATAACCTCAACCGGGTGCAGATGGTGCTCATAGTTTGGCCAAGTTTTCAACCATAATGTATATAATGAACAACTTTTGGGTTTGAAACTCTTTGATCTTTGCTCAATTCTTGCAATAGAACCAATTTTCTCAATCTCATGCCTCACATTCTCATACAAGTCATATATAGCAGGCTTCGATTTCGAAATCTTTTATAGATTTGAAAGTTAAAAAATTTCATACAAGTTGTATGTAATAGTCTTCGATTGAAAATATAAACCAATTAAAAGTTCTCATACAAGTCATATATAATCGGTTTCGATTCAAAATCTCTTACAGATTTGAAAGTTAAATTTTTTATTTTTTTTAATACAAATCAGTATGTAATAGGCTTTGATTGAGGGTAATCGCGTATACAGGATGTTAAAATTTGTGTTTGTGGTATCATAATGTGGATGGGTGTTGTAATGGATATTGTTGTTGTCCCACATCGGCTGCAGACTAAAGGAGAAGGGGGATAAGAGTATTATAAAATGGGAGGCGTGGGTATAGTTGAAGGCATCTTTGCGCTTGGGGCAATGACGCAGCTAGTGAGGTTCTAACCGAGGCGCGTCTATTGCTGGTTGAAAACTATTTCCAAACCCCCTCTATGGCTTGGGTTTATCCTAAGCCTTAGAGAATAACTCTAAGGCTTGGGTTTGAAGAAAGCCCTTTCAAAAATTCTCTAAGGTCATCAGAAAAACATTTAAGTCTAATGGTTTGGTCAATTTTATTTCGTCTTTACTAAATTTGCAGCCAATATAGGAGAGTATATTCGTTGTATAATTTAAGTGTATATATATATATATATATATATATATATATATATTCATCTGTATAAATTATTTTACTAAGTTATATATATTGAGACCTATTATTTATTTGTTTTATTAATTATTATTGAGTTTAAATGTATTTCTTTAAATTATTTAATATGTACCCCGTTATTAACCTTGTTATATTAATTTATAACCTTGTTATATTGATTAATATTGATTTACATATATGTAAATTTGTATTTTGACTGCAAGGTATCTCTACTCCATGGTATAACTTTGTGGTTTAGAAGATACTAAATTGACATAGTTTTGTCCTGATTCAGCTTTTTATTAGTCTACTTCAACAGGAAAATGGATTGCTTGTTCACCGTTTGTTCAACAGTACCAGTGATATAAAATACACAATCAAACTTGCAGAGCTAATGTTTGTTTTAACAGTGTACCAGTGACATAAAATACACAATCAAACTTGCAGTGCGATATGCTATTGCTCTTTTAAATTCTGCAAAACCAAAGAAATTGATACCTTCGCGACTAAATACACGATCAAACTGCAACACTAGCCTTCTCTACTTCCAGTTTCTGAACTGAGGTTTCAGATGAAGTGGTCGTCTTTGCATCCGGGGCATCTTCATACGCTGCTGCATGAATCCCGAGTGCTGCTCTGCCAGACGGATCTAGATTCTTTGACCAGGACGCATCCCATTCTACAGCTCTTGCAGTGCTGCATGCCACGCTTGGCCCCCCGGGAACTGTTGACCTTGCAGCGTTCTGATTGATTTCAAAGTAACCAAAAAAGATGTAATGAGAGGGAAGTAGCGACAGCAGAGAGAGAAATAAGAATCGAGTTAAAACACACCTTGGGGAAGAATTTCTCGAAGATTGTCCTATAATAGTATCCTTCTTTCGTTGTTGGGGTGTTCTCTGGGTAAACGAAGCTTGCATTTGCCAACATTGAGTCAGAAACCTGTAAAAAGTAGCCACACGATATAAATGTTTACCACACTGCCCAGGCAAGGGAAGAGATCGTGTTAGAAGAAAAGCAGGGAGGAATTCCCACCAGTCCATTTGCATGATCCTTCAAGCCATCAATCCAACTATACCCAACTCCATCACTGAACTGCTCCTTTTGCCTGTACAAAATATGCTGAAAGCACAATGCGACACAATTGAACCTCCAAAATCAAAGCTGAGGTATAACTTGACAGAAAGACATGAATACTGTGCACTTTTATGCATGTGCAAGATAGAAACAAGGTGGAAATAACAAGTTACTAAAATTTACATTAGAAACGAAACACAAACCTTTGGCAGATAAGGTTCTTGCTCATCATCAAAAGCATTGCGCAGAACCCACTTCTCAATTCTTCCAAGATCGGGCCTTACCTATATATTTAATCAGAAAAATGCAAAGACTCAGTGGATGAACAAGATTTAAAGCAACTAACACGTAGTTATAATCAATCAAACAATATCACAGTCAAGATTCCAGGTAACCAACACATCTATTATTTTCCATAACAAGACCAATCTATATAGCAACTAGCACATGACGACCTCACGACATCCAATAGTATATATAATTAACTGGCCAACAACCAAAATATTTGCACTTGGTTTTTCTTAGCTGGGATTTATAGCCAGATTCTTAAATCTTAACATGGACAGCCAGAGCTTGCACTCTGGTTAAGAAATCAAACTGGGAAGGTAAAGCAAGCTCAAAATTTTCCTTTTCTTTTCCTTTTGATATATTACATTGTACAGAAACATCATAATCACATTCTTTTTCATTTCTCATTTCAGGGGATACTTCAGGTTTTATTTATTTATTTATTTTATTCAGATGAGGGAGGCCTGGGGGTACAACACTTAAGTACTCGAGCTTACCATTTTCCATTCAGGATCAATACTCATTGCAGTGTTGATGAATTCCTTATCTAAGAAGGGCACACGAGCCTCAACACCCCATGCAGAAGTCGACTTATTGGCTCTCAAGCAGTCATAAAGATGCAGAGCTTTAATCTAGTTTTACATGAAACAAATAGCCATCAGAATTGCATAATGTGCATTCAATTAAATTCAGTATATTTCTAGAAAAAATCCTTCCTGAAAAGGGTCAAGAGAAAATGTTTGAGTAACACCTTTTGACAAGTTTCCTTGTGAAACTCCTCCTTGTTCGGTGCCTTGTGGAAATATAGATAACCACCAAAAATTTCATCAGAACCTTCCCCAGATAGAACCATTTTCACTCCCAAAGATTTTATTTTTCGAGACATGAGAAACATTGGAGTGCTGGCTCTGATAGTGGTCACATCATAAGTTTCAATATGGTATATAACTTCCTCAAGTGCATCTATTCCTTCCTGATGTAGCAGCAGAAGTCAAAATAAAATAAAATAAGAGCAAAGGGATGCTTGGTTGTTATTCAAACAAGCAACCCCACCAAAAAATTGGAAAATGAGATTACATTGTTTTGTGCAGAGAGAAAGAATACCTGTACTGTAAAATGAAACTCATGGTGACGAGTGCCCAGGTAGTCTGCCACTTCCCTGGCAGCTTTAAGATCAGGAGAACTCTGAGTAAAAAGTAGAAAGAGCCTTCAGACAGGATTAAAACTAAAAGGCAAAGTAGAAGAATCTTTAATGGTTTAAACTAAAAGATAAAGGTAGCTTTTCTAAACAAAACAGAATGAGTGGCAGAAAATAACCAAGGTTTTATGGTTACAAATCTTACAGTAGTTCATCCTCAGCTTTAAGCAAAACTATAATTAGTACAATAATAGCCATGTTTCCTCTTCCATTTACATAAATTGCAGCAGACAACTAGCTCAAAAGTCAGCCCTTCAATATAGAAGCTTTATGCTATCACCGAGCATAGTTTATATAGTTGGTCATGTAAGAAAAAACACATGTATGCAGATGGAACTTCAAGCATGCCATAAAGATATTTCATGGTTATTTCTGAAAATTCATGCAAGCAAGGGCCACTGAATAAACTCAATAAATGAGAGAAGACAAGATTTGGATTTCCTTAAATTCTCTTACAGCATGCTAGAATTTCTCTATAAGAACTCATACCTTCAAACCAATGCAAAAGGTATGCAACTGTGATCCCCATTGGCAGGCAGCGTCAGCGTTGGCCAAAAACCGGCTAGCCACAGCAGCAACAAGTGATGAATCCAGTCCACCTGACAAAAGTACACCAAAGGGCACGTCTGTCATAAGTCTTTTCATTACTGCCTGCATAAATTAAGAGAAGAAAAACAGAGATTAGCATCCATACAGTGATCCAGCAGAAGGAGACTGATAGAATTTTACTAGAAACAAATTTTTAGGGGAAAAAAAAGAGGCAAGTAAAATTTAACCACATCATTCCATGAAATTTATTTTTATGCTTTGAATTATTCAAAGTTCAAGGAAAATATTAAAGCAGATGCGAATTATAAAGGACAGAAAACAGCTACATTGTTATTTTAATAAGCTACAGAGATGGTGTGTAAGGAATAGAATGATTAAAACAGACAAAATCCAGAATAAGATTGTAAAGGATTCAAAAATGAGGACGTATCTATAGCATAAAATAATAGAGTACAAAAAACACCAACCTAGATTCCTGGTTACAAGTTAAATGATAACTAATGGTTCTTTGGATAGGCCAGGTCAGGACTTAAGAACCAACAAAAAATATCTAAACATTAAAGGTCATTACTTTTCAGGCTGTAGGTGCATTACTAATTCATAAAAGAAGATGTTAAAGTACACAAACGAGTCATAGAAAGCAGGACCTTTGTTTTTTGTTCTTTGTAAGTACAAAGGAAGCAGGAATTAAATTAAGGCAGTAAATAAGTAAATTCAAATTTAAATCTCAAGAAATTCTAGAATAATCATACCTTCTCAAAGGCCTTACGTAAGAGAAGAGGATCATATGGAGTCGAAGGGATGTCTTCCAAATACCATGGTGGGTTGTACCATCTTCTGAGCCCTCCTGTGAGCAAATAATATTGAGACACCTCATAAATAAAAAACATTTTAAGGAATTCCGAAGAAGAGAATAAAATATAAGCTTAGCACTTGAAGGCATAAAAAATGGCTTCACCAACTTCTAAAAAAGTTTTGCAAAACAGGTGTACATTTGCAGAAGAAATTAAAAATAAAAATAAATATATAAAGGAAAGACAGATGTGATTTTGTGAATCAATGTGATTGAAAGTAATAGACTAAACTGATTTTCTTGAAACATTTCCGCAACATGATAAACGAAATAATTGAACTTCTGAAAATTGATATGCAGTTTATACTGTACAATTTACCCTGCACATATAAGCATTTTTATACGTTCACAAGTGTGTCTATGACTCTATGAGTACAATCATCATCATGGAATTTTGATAGAATCAAAGAGGTAGTAATTGAATTGATAATACTGTTAAAGGATTATACATGTTGAATTATATTCAGTAATTCATGGTAGCCATCAGCTTAAAATCAGCATACCAGTTTTGCTTGAATATATATGTCCAGGAAGGAAACTCATGAATCTTTCACAATCATCACTCAAGGCTTTCATTTCTGAAGCAAACCACACAGACCCTGCAGAGAAAGCAACAATTAATAGGAGTGCATTTGTAAATCTATGCCACTTTGTCTAATAACAGTACTTCAATTCTTTTCCAGTTAATCCACTGCTTGATGAATGCATCTGAGGCTCCATCTAAAACCTGTAAGTCACTATCTTCCAGGCAACTAAGAAAAACCTTTCTTTTAAATCATTTTATATTGTTGAAGATATATATATGATATAATAAATGTGTATCCACACTACCAGTGTAAGCTTTTTGATAAGGTGGAAGACATCACACAATAGGGCAACTTGGGAAGCAAAGGTCCTAGATTTGAATATCGTGTGCTACCCATCATCAAAATAATTCCATGGGAATTGTTGAAGATAAATATGGAGTATAAAGTAATAAATGGGTATCTCACTAACATCTTTGGATTTAAAAATATGATGAAGCTGTGAGCAGTAGCATACCATCAAGTCCCCAGCCCATATAAAGTGGCGTAATACCAATAGCATCCCTGGCAGCAATGAAACTGTTGTTGCGGTTGTCAAGAAGCACAAAAGAAAACATTCCATCCAACATATCAACAAAATCTTCTCCATATTCTTCATACTGAAATAAAGATTGCAAATTCAAGAAACACAAGAGATAAATAAATACACTAGAAACACAAGCATTCATGTTTCAGTTATTAGATGAAATTGTGGGAAATATATCTGCTAAAGTACTTACAAGATGTGCAATAACTTCACAATCACTACCAGTCCGGAAGGAATGAGACGGGAGCTTTTCCCTCAGTTCTTTATGGTTATATATCTCACCATTGACCTAGAAGCAAAAGCAACAGAAATGTAGATCGAGCTTGAGGACAAGTTCATAGATGGACAGCAATAGTAAGTGGCTAGTCATAAGGTTGATAGAGAGAAAATGTACTCTTACTATCAACTATCTATAAAGTCCATACATGAGATGCAACAATGTTTAACCACAACTGTACTCCTTTATCTGGTTTTGATACTGGGAGTTTGGAAGTTTAGAGACTAGAGAGAGTTCACTAGCAATCAACTTAACAACAACAAAGGGAAATTGTATACAACAACCAATCAAACAGTTGGTTATGTCTACATACCTTTCAAACAAGACTCAAAAGAGAAATAAATAAACAACTTGTAATTCATTACACATTAACCTTAAGCTCAAAAAGAGATGCAACAACTCCAACAAGTATAGTTTCACTTAAACAGCAAGGAATCAGTATAGTAAATTTTGAAATATAGGAAGATTGTGAATATAGTTTATAAAAACTGAACATCACATACAGTCAATCACAGAGAATATTCATCTACCGTGACAACAATGGTTTTGTCTTCATTGTACAGTGGTTGATCTCCAGAAGTAGGATCAATAATTGCTAATCGTTGATGTGCAAGATAACAATCACCCTGGCAATGCAATCCACTCCAATCGGGTCCTCTATGGCGCAACCTACAGTTACCAAACATCATATTAGAGACAAGTGAGGAATATTTCAATACCACATGACTTTAGAATGATTTATGCAATTTCCCAATGAGAAGTGTAAAATATAGCTGATATGTTAGCTCTGCCATTCATTTGATGAAACATAAAATTACAATCATATGTACACAGTACACAAATACCTAGATAACAAGGCCACTCTCTACCACAATATTGCTTTACACAAGCTACTAAGTTTACCTCCAAAACCAAGCACATTGTTTACTCTCTCTGTTCAAACTGCTTGACCCAGAAACATGTTCATTTTTTAACAAAAAAGTTAACCAAAATTCAGTTTTTGGTAACATAATGTTATAAAACAGAGTAACAGACACTGCACACGTGATAAATTTCACAGGTTACAGGCAAGCAGATCTTACAAACCACCATATTCAATATGAAATGGATATTTCCATTTTGCATTACTTTTCAGGAAATATATTTGCTGTCCTCTGTTTTTTTATACTTTTTTGGGGAAAAGACAAAAACAGAACTGACGGACAGAATCAATCCATTAACCTAAAAGTAGCTAAAACAATAGAACTTTGCCGATGAAAATAAATGTGCAAAACATTAAACAATCATGCTTCCTATAAAGCTGAACTCAAGCATTACAACTCACAGACATTGAAAGGAAATGAGATCCAAAGTTGAAACACACACCTCCTAGAAAGCTCGATGATTCTGGACCGCTTCGCCTGAGAGTTGTCTGTGCAACCGAACACTGCAAGTATTCCACACATGGCGGCGCCTCTCTCTCTCTCTCTCTCTCCCTCTCTCTCTCAAGTTATCTGTACGTGCGTATCTATATGCTGTCTGAATAGGACCTATGGGAGAGAAGAGATAGGTTGGAATGAAATGGAAGTGGAGGCTGGAGGCTGCTGAGAGCTGAGCCGCCCGCTATGAGCCTTTACAAACTGGTGGCTTGACCCGGCGAGCCGCTGGCTTTCAAAAGATTCCGGGTTATGTGTGATTCTAGGGTTAAATTATACGCTAGTTAGTGCGGAAGATTCGTGTCGGCGGGTCCCAGCTTGGGGGTATCTGGGATCTTCAGCCGCAATTAGGTCCAACAAACCGGCGGCTTACGCGACTGACTCGATCTTTTTATTTATTTATTGTTCTGGCCTTTGGGAATAAAAAATTAAGCAATATTAGAGCATCCACATTGGTTGGGAAGAATGGGGAGATAATGTAAGAGTGATTAGGAAAAAGAGTGTGGGAAAGGAGAGAAAAAAAAAAAAGAAAAAACAAAACAAAAAAAGAAATTAAAAAAAAAAGAAAGTAGTCAGACGCGTCAGGCGCGCCGACTGGCGCGCCTGACGCGCCTCCGGGCGCGTGCACTGCACGCGCCCGGCTTTTGCCCAAGGCTGTGCGCGAACGCGCACAGCCTTGCTTCTTCTTCTTTCTCTTTTTTTTTTTTTTTTTTTTTTTTTTCTGACAATCTCCCTACATTTGCAGGGAGATTATTTTTCAATTATCTCATGTCCACACTAGCTATTATCTCATGAAGGGAAGATTTAATTCTGAATTCTCCCCACAATATCCACAAGTGTGGATGGCCTTAGATACTATATATTAATCCTTGTCTTTAAAAAAAAAAAATGACAGAACGGTTGGTATTATGTGAAATCGTTTAATGAGTGAAGATTAATACTTTTAAAATAAATTTGTAATACTTGATAGGTGTTAATGAATAATGAATGTTACCTTTTTTAATAATTATTTTTTAATAAGTAATACTTTTTAGTAAAAATATAGTGCTTATTGATTTATATAAATATTATTACACATTCCGTATTTGATATTTATTTGATATGTGAAACGGTCTCACACAAATATTTATGTAAATAAAATTATATTTGTTGTGATTATAAGATAGTCCAATTGGTCTAATAATTCAAATAAATTGTTTAACAAATGAGTGTTCCAAAGTATTTGACCCACCAAGGGTGATCAAGAACCACAATCAAACTCACTTGCATTGAGCCATACATGCTAAGCCAACCTATACCTACCTATTTGTTATGTTGTTGGACTAACTCACCATAGCTTCTTGACAGAACTATTGTTTGTCAGACCGCTTAATTGGTCGTCCGTGTCCTTTAATCGAAGCTCACAACATCAAAGCTATGACAATGGTTGTAGACTTGAGTATAAATATGACCGCTCTTGTATAAACAAGGCATTTTCTACTTTGTAACGACAATAGTAATGTAAACTAATTGGAGTTTTTCAATTTTCCAAGATCAATTGAGCTTCAGTCACATTATTGTACTTATTCATCAATATAAGAATTTCTCATTTTATATTCTAAGCTCTTACTTCAATTTAATTTGTGCAAGAGGAGAACCTGCAACTAATGCATGAGTGCATATTGAGTAAATCCCACATTGTGATCTTAATTGACGAATGATCACAATGAGATAAATAAGTCTAAGTTGCTCCGACTAAAACTAAGAAGGCCAATAGATCACTCCCAATAAAAATTGAACTTGAAACCCTACAATTATCAAACAAACAACCCAGCTAACTTATTTGGAGTTTGCGTCATTTAATAAAATATTCATTAGGCTATACTATATATATTGAAATAAAGCAATTAAGATAGACCATATAGTCAGTATAGTTAATACCGTTACAGATAGATACACAATTCAATGAATTCATATCTTATGTAAATTATACAATGGAGACCTTTTCCGCAAGTCGTTAACCAAAACAACTGAAAATCACAAAAAACGGTTCGTCCCTCCAAACACTGAATGACATCACCGCATCTGTGCTTCATCTCCGACCGCCCTGATAACCGGCGACGATAGAATTCGTGCTTCCTTTTGGCCGGTCTCCGACAATGCCGCAGATTGTTCACAAAGCTCCGATATTAGGCATAGAGAGCCCGAGTGCAAACAAAAGCTCCAAAGTCTGGCTTTTCTCGCTACTGCTTACCCTCCAGTACGGTGCTCAGCCGCTCATCTCCAAACGCTTCATAGGGTTCGAATTTCGCTCAATGCTATTCGATTTCCACAATGTTCCGATCCTTACCTATATATGCAAATTCGTATCAACTTCTTAATGTCGATCATGTGCTTAAATTTTATTTTTCCTTCTTTTTCCGATCGTGTCCTAGCTTCAATTCGATTGTTTTACCTGAATCTATATTGTATCTACTGAAATCCTAGACTGCATTTTCATGTTTTGGTTTATATATAACATTGCCATGGATGCATATATATTCAAGTTGGCATTCAAATTCCTATCAAGTTCAACCCATGCATGGTGTGATTGTTGCTTTCAAAGAATCAAAGATCCCTGATTTGAATTAAGCATGCCTGTTTCTATTCTAATGAGTAATGATAGCCAGTTACCATAATAACAATAATAAAATATAAATTACACTGCCTACCTTGATCTGTAATTACAACAATGGCGAAAGTCCAGATGTTCATGTAATAATTGTTGTGCAGGCGAGAAGTGACTGTAACTTCATCTGTTTTAGCATGTGAAATAGTCAAGGTAACATAATATTTATTCCACTCATATAAGTCATTTCAATTCATTGCTCTGTATGTATAGTGGCATTGACATTCATTTTTTCAGGTTACTTTTGCTTTTATTCTCATAGCAAAAGAAGGCACTCTGAAGAAATTATACACGCAGTGGAATTTGGTTGGCTCTTTGACTGCTTCAGGACTACCAGCAACTATATATGCACTCCAGAATAGCTTGTTGCAGATTTCTTACAAAAATCTTGATTCGCTCACCTTTTCAATTTTGAACCAAACCAAGCTGTTTTTCACAGCTCTGTTTGCATATGTAATATTGAGGTATGTGTTTATTTTGCATCCTTCTGAGATCCAAGTTCCATTACTAGTTTCAAAATGTTGCTATATCGAATATGATATCTTAGCTCTACCAAACTGCCATTGTTCATTTCACTTCAGAATTAACACTTTGGCATCTCTGATGGGTCTTCTTTTCTGAATTTTTTCTAGGCAAAATCAATCACTTCAACAAATTGGGGCTCTTTTGTTGTTGATCATTGCAGCTGTCCTTCTAACTGTTAGTGAAGGCTCGAATAATGAATCTGGTAGTAATAATCCTGATGAAATCTTATTCTTTGGAATTGTTCCAGTCTTGGTAGCTTCTGTACTCTCTGGTCTGGCTTCTGCATTTTGCCAATGGGCCACTCAGGCAATTAAGCAGACTTTTGCTCTACCTCTTTCCTGTTGCCAAAATTTGTTTATGGTTGTTCCTTTACACCCTTTCTTTTCCCTTTCTCGCTACTACAGGTAAAGAAACACAGTTCTTACCTGATGACTGTGGAGATGTCCATAATAGGGAGTCTTTGCTTGCTGGCTAGCACCTTTAAGTCTCCAGATGGAGAAGCCATCAGGCAACTTGGATTCTTTTATGGCTGGACTCCATTAACATTGGTAACTCTTTTCTTAGTTCATACCATACTTCATTTATGATTCGATCTCTTTTTTTTGGATAAAATTGAATTGCATTTACAATGCATCTTATTATTTCGGGATGCTTTTAAATTTACAAAGTTGGAATCTGAATGTTGAATTGAAACAGACATCTGCTCTGTGACCATCATATCGTTATATATAAGGGAACGAAAGAAAATGAAGCTAAAAATGACTAACAAACTACTCGACAGTGCCATAAATTTGAAGGTAATATTTATCTGTTTCATTTTTCAGATCCCTGTGGTACTAAATGCTGGTGGTGGAATCCTGGTTGGTCTTATTACCACCTACGCCGGTGGAGTAAAAAAGGCAAGTATCATTCACTTGTATATGTAAACAACCACCTCCCCCTTTCTCTCCCTTGCTCCCTAGCCATCTTAATTCTTGACATCTGATATATTTTGCTTTCTGTATTGATTGTATGTATTATGCTTCCCGGCCCACTGTTGTTTTACATCATTACATGCAGGGATTTGTGTCTGTGTCTGCACTTCTAGTTACAGGTTTACTGCAGTTCATCTTTGATGGAAAACCTCCTTCGTTGTACTGTCTTGTTGCACTTCCACTGGTTATTGCTAGCATAACTATTTACCAAAAATTCCCATACCGTGTTAGGAAGAAGGAATCATGAAGACACAAAGGTTGTGACAAGGAGCTTATCTATTTTTCCCATATTCCCATATTGGTGGCATAACACAGAAAATGGTTTTGGTTGTGATAACAGATTCTCGAGAGATATATAGCTAGCTAGGTGAGAGTAGTTGCAGATTTGTTGTTCTTTTTTGAATGGTTACAACCTAGGATGTTAGAAAGGTATATTTGTAATGTATGGTTATTAATTAATTATTTCGTTAAATGTGAAATAGTAATTGGATTTGTGGACTTGTGGTATTTGATGTTAATTGCATATTTGGTTTCAAATATATCTATTCTATATATATATGTTAAAGTTATTGTTGTGATTCATTGATGGTCATATCGTGCATTAAGGTCTATCATGAACATTGTGAACCATGATCCAGATTAATAGCACACAATGTTATTATTATGTATATAATAATAAGGTTCATCATGAACATTATGAACCATGATCCAGATTAATGGCACACAATGTTATTATGTATATAATAATAGGTTAATTGTATATGTGTAATCTAGACTAAGATCCACAATGCCAGCAGTGGATCGTGATCCATGAATAATTTGCGACAATTCATTTAAGTCTAACTAATTCGGAAGCACAAACAAATTTACTAGTCCAATTTAAAGAGCGTTATGCTGTGCAACTGTGTGCTCCATGCAAGGTGCACACGGAATTGGGTTCATAATTCCTATACTGTAGATTCATAATTTCTAAACTGTAGATTCATAATTTCTATACTGTATAGTTATCAAATTATGAACATATAGTTCAGTGATTTGTGAATATATAGTTCAACAATTAGGAATATGAACATTGAAAATTATGAACATAAAGTTTTGTAATTGTGAATATAAAGTTCAATAATTATAAATCTATAGTATAGAAATTATGAATCTAATTCCGTGTGCACCATGCACAACATAATTTGTCCCAATTTAAAGGGTTGGTCTAATACATTGGAACAAATCTATAGAGATATATATCCAGTTAACTCTAGTCAGAATTCAAGACTATAAAGGAAAAGAAGAGAACGAGAATACCATACAGATCTCTATATATATTCAATCTCCACTACACTATAAAATGTTAGGAGGACACTCTCATTCTTTCTCTAGCAAGTAGCCAACCCATCGGAGCCCCCTTTTCTTATTTTCCTTCATTTTCTTTTACTAAGAGTGTGTTTGGAAATCAGGAAGATGATTTTTGAAAAATTAGTCATTTTTCAGAAAACATTTTTATTTATAGTGTTTGGTTACATTCCAAAAAATATTCTTTGTATGGTTGGTTCATTTTCCAAAAAATGGGCTATATTGTATAATTCATGAGTGTATTTATTTAAAAAAAAAAATAGTGTTATTTAATAAAAGAAAGTGAGTGTCTAGTATAAAATGTGTTTTTTTTTTTTTAAAGGTGCAAGTCTCTAGACTCTAGTTTTCGACTGAAACCAAAGAGAAATCGCAACTTCTTCACCTTCTTGTCCTCACAGCCGGAAATTGAGTTCCGGTGACCAGCGCTCTAGTTTTCGACTGAAACTAGATCTAGTTTCAGTCGAAAACTAGAGCACTGGTCACTGAAACTCAATTTCCGGTTGTGGGGGCAAGAAGGTGAAGAAGTTGCGATTTCTCTTTGGTAGCAAGAAGACGAAGAAGTCAAGCTATGGAAGATGAAGAAACATCGCAAGAGGATAAATGAGAATCCTGGAAAATGATTTCCCCTACAAAAAGAAGTTATTTTCCAGAAAATTATTGACTTTGTTTTCCCTTAGACGGAAAATCAATTTCAATTGACTGTCATTTTCTCCCCTTGCCAAAATGATTGTCGAGTTTCTAAACACACCCTAAAATAAAGCCTATATTAATAATTTCAAAGAATGTTTAACCATGTAACACATAACATCACACCAAAATAGTGAAATCCCCCCTTTTAGATTTTTCACATAAAAATCATGTTACACTCTTTTTCTACCTTTTTAAAGCTATTATGCTTATTATCAACATTGAATTATGGGTCCAAAACCCAAAACATCCTTTGATTTCATATATTAATGGCTAATTTTTTATTATTATTATTATTATTATTATTATTATTATTATTATTATTATTATTATTATTATTATTATTATTATTATTATTATTATTATTATTATTATTATTATTATTATTATTATTATTATTATTATTATTATTATTATTATTACAAAGGAATGTCACTTAATTTTAAATATTACCCAATATTTAATTTGTACACAAGGTCCACAAAGATAGTAATGTATATATTTAAGTGGAGTGATTATTAACATTTTCATTAGATTATCTTGCATTACATCCAAAAGAAATAAAAGACACAATTGTTTCCTTTCATTTGGCGAATAATCCAAAAAAGAAAAACAATTAAAACATAATAATACATTAATTTTGAATTAATTAAAGTATTAGTAAGAATTAAACTTAACTTGCATGTGACTTAAAATTCACCAATAATCTACTCTAAATTTTCTGTAATTGATTAATTCAAATTGAAAAAATTAATAAACATCTCATCTCACTCAAATTTGAAACTTGTAGTTACTAAATCAATCTTAAAAACCCATTACCAAACAACTTCAATTCCACACACACACATATGTTAATTGAGCATTACGCAAGCATAGTGGGGGCATTGTGGGAAATGAGAATCCGAATGACATCCCCTCAAAAAGGAGAAGTTATTTTTCAAAAAATTGACTTTCTTTTTCTTTTGACTGGAAATTAATTTTGATTGACTCTCATTTTACTCCCCCAGACACCGAATAATGATTTTCAGAAATTATCTTTCGAGATTCCAAACACATCATAAAATAAAAGCCTCTTATTAAGATTTCAAAGAATAACCATGTAACACATAACATCACACCAAAATAGTTACTAAATTAATAAATATCTAATCTCACCTCACATATAGTCAATTTTGAAACTTAATTGTAGTTAACTAGTTACTAAATCAATCTTTCCAGCCCATTACCAAACAACTTCAATTCTATACATATATATGTTATTATAATTGAGCGCTACGCAAGCTGGGGGCAGTGTGGTAACTACACAGGCTGGGACCACCGGACGCGTGACATGCAGCACGAATGCCGTTATTGCAATCGTATCTTTCTCCCTCAGTACTCAGCTAGCTGCTCAGCCTGCAACTTCTGCTACCACCACCATGCTCCTCTCTCGCCCCATATACCTTCTACCACCCTCCATCTTTCTCTCCTTTTAGCTTCTACTCAACACATATTCACTAAATATTCCTCAGAAAAAATATATCAATATTCTTCACTTTATAGCTTGTTTATCCTCCATTTTTGCTAGCTTCTGCTGGAATATTGCTTCAGGAATAACTTGTTTACACAGCTCAAATCTCACTCCTTCAGAATCGGTACTTCTCAAGCTTCCTGCTTCTAAGCTCCAGCTCGCCGATCAACATTTCTCTATTTTCGCTCTCGCTCTCTCTCTGTATCTATATGTAGGTATGTCGCGTGGTGTGTGTGTATATATATATATATATATATTATATGCAGTAGTTCGTTGATGATGGCTAGGGTTTTTTTCAGTTGTAGTTTTATCATTTTTTTTTTCTCCGGAAAAACAGTTTGGTTTTCTCGGAGAAGAAGGCGGAGTGTCGCGGTCCGAACAATGGATCAGTGAGCTCCGGAAGTCGGATTCATCAGATACAAATTTTCTGCGATTTTCTTTGATCTATATATGTGTGTTTTTATACTATACTTGCTTATTATATCTTACAATGTTATTATTCTCGCTCTCTCTCTCTATATACATGTAGGTATGTCGCGTACGTGGTGTGTGTATATATATATTATATGCAGTAGTTGATGATGGCTAGGGTTTTTGTCAGTTGTAGTTTTTTCATTTTTTTTCTCCGGAAAAACAGTTTGGTTTTCTCGGAGAAGAAGGCGGAGTGTTGCGGTCCGAACAATAATGGATCAGTGAGCTGAGCTCCGGAAGTCGGATTCATCAGATACAAGTTTTCTGCGATTTTCTTTGATCTATATATGTGTATTTTTATACTATACTTGCTTATTATATCTTACAATGTTATTATGATCGAGTTTGCATATGAGAGCCCTGGCCAGTGGTGTACTAGCTCCGTATCATGTTGAGTGTCTGGTTATATTTTCTATTACTGGATGTTCATCTTTTTGTTTTCCAGCTGAAAGTTTTTAATGCTACGCACTATATGGGAAATCTGTTGTTTTCAGGGTTTTCAACTTTTTCCTGAAATCCTAACTGCAGCCCTTGCCACTTCTTCTGGGACTGTAGATAGTGACCTTCAACTTTATTTTTTCATGTATCAATGCAAAGCCAAAACCTCCGACTTTTACATCTTTCATGAATAATATATATATATATATATATATATTTCAATCCAATTCAAGCATTGTTTTAGTTTCGTTTTGTGTTTTGCAGACTATTACCATGGAAACTTACTACAGGAAACGATCCAAAATGGCCAATCAAACCCTCCCTGTAAGCATTCTTTCTATGTCTACTTTACGTATATTTATCTATCTTCTTTGAATAAAAGTTGCATTTTCAGAGATGTGTACAGTTATGCACTCATAAAGATGAATTTGCTTTTTTTCCTCTTTTATTTTTTGTTTTTGTTTTTCCAGTTTTGTCTTCATATCCATCTTAGACACGCGCCTTTAACTATTGCCGGATTCACATATATATATTCACGCGCTCAATTTCATGCAGCTTTCGTTTTGGGTCTGTGGGTTTTGCTGCATACTGTCCAGACAAAAAGACAAAACCAGATTTTTCTCTGATGATGCTAATTGTTCATTGTTATCTGCTTTACTTTTGTATTTTATTTCTGTGCCCACAAGAACACACAACATATTATAATGTAATCAGATCATTAAAATTTTACATAACATATATATAATCACTGAATTATACTGTTGTAGTGATACTATGTTTTAAGTGTAATTACGAAGAGATGCTGGAAAAATATGTAAAAATGTGCTGGCAATACTGTGTAAATAGTGGGTTTTGATCTCTGATGGAATGGTAGTTCTGAATGTACATATATGTTTGCAGAAAATGGACTATCATGGTAGCGTGACAGGCTCGTTGGCGCCAGTTATGCCCAGACACTCTCCCATGCCCACTACGCCCAACAACTGTACCCTGCAGTGCAGTGGTAGTGTTACTGTACTGTGTGTTTTTATTTATCCTTATCTGAATCATATGTTTTCTTCTTTCCATGTGATCATCTCCATTTGAACAAGTAAATTTATTTTTATTTTTTGTGATTTTGTTTTCTAGATTGACAAAAAGTGAGTTAGTTCTAGCTAGTAAGGAAAATGAAAGCTTTATTTTATGTCTTAGTTCCTTTCATATTTTGATTGATCAGCAGAACATGGAAATCCGGCACCTAATTTTAACATTGAAGTGGGTTCTATTTACGAGGTTGATCACATGTATCTTCCACCAAGAACTCCAGTTCAACTCAAGTCCATGAGAGTTGTTATGGTAAGAAATTAAGATTTACATACCTATCTAGCTTACATGTATATGGAAAGTTGAATTAATTGGTTTAGCAAATAAATGCATTCATCTTTCTTTTTTCCTTAGGTTAGTGAGAAGACAGCCTTGAGTGTAGCAGTAAGGTTTCCAAGTTTGGAATCTCTTCAAATATACTTATGCAATAGCATGAGAGAAATGTATCCAGCTTTGGACGAGAAGTTTGTGATGGGAACAGCTTTGGCATATAAAGTGCTTTACAGGCAAGTTCCTTCTCAGGAATTCGCGGAGAAGAAACATCTTGAGAGCTTCTGGTTGGTGAGTTCTCCCTCAGTGAATCATCTTTCTCAGGATTCTTCTGCTAGTAAGGGCGTGTGCTTGTCAGAGCAACTCAAAGTTAATGGGATGGTTCGTTGGGGAGTTCGCCGGCAAGTTAAATTTTTGAGGCCACATGAAGACAACTGCAATACTACATCTTCCAGTTTTATCAAAGGTGATGATGATGATGATGATGATGAAGAAATGCCACCGGTAATAGATGCTGAAAAAGAAGAAGACAATGAAGAGGAGGAGGAAGAAGAAGAAGAAGAAGAACAAAATGATGCAGAAGATGATGAAGAACAGGAGGAAGATATCAAGGATGAGGGTCCTGATGAGACCAACAAGATCTTCAAAAGAAAGAGGTATAGTTTGAGACATACTGCGACAAGAAAGGCAAAGAAAGCAAAGCGTGAGAAGCAAAAGTTGAAGAATAACATAAAGAGAAACAAATGCAAGCTGCTAGTACAATTCAAAAACCCCAAAGATAGATGGTCAGAAGAAAGGTAAAACTGCCAAAAAATAAATAAATAAAGTAGTTCTTATCTTATTATTTACTAATCTGTAATTACTGATAAATTTATGTGCAATAACTGATGGCTGCTTGTACAAGTGTAGGTATAAATTGGCAGAGAAGAACCTTTTGGAGGTGATGAGGGTGAAAGGAGCAACAGCTAATAATCCTATTCTTCGGCCTGAACTTCGAACAGAAGCAAGGAAGCGAATTGGGGACACAGGCTTGCTAGATCACCTTCTCAAGCACATGGCAGGTAAGGTTGCACCAGGAGGGACTGAGCGCTTTCGCAGAAGGCACAATGCCGAGGGAGCCATGGAGTATTGGTTGGAGAGTGCTGATTTGATTAATATTAGAAAGGAGGCTGGTGTGAATGATCCTTATTGGATTCCACCACCTGGTTGGAAGCCTGGTGATTGCCTCACTCCTGACCCAATCTCTGCTCAGGAGTTTAAATTCTTGAAACAAGAGATTTGCATGCTGAAAAGGTTAGACAGCTACTTAAGATGAAATTAACATTAATTCATATTTACACTTTGTTGATATTGGATATATATCTTGAATGATGAGACTTTAATCCTTTATATATAATAGAGACTCGGAGGAGATGGCACTATCCAAAAAACAAATGGAAGAAGAAGTCAGAAGGTTGAGAAGGTGAGGAAGGATGAGCATACACTCCAATTTAGTTTATCCGAGAAAGGATGACCCTTTGAAGTAATTGCTCAGTTTCTGTTTGAACAGAGAAATCCGGGAGTTACAATTAAAGAAAAATCAACAGGAAACTCCAGTTACTGTCATTTCCAAAGATTCTGAGATTTCACTAGTTACAATGGTAAATACTAGCAAATTGATATGATGTACATTTGCTACATCATCAATATATTGAAGCTATGCATATGTTAACTATACTTCATGCTTCGGTTATTGCAGGAGAAGTACAAGGAGCAACTCCTGTTGATGACCTCAGCTATCATGGCAAAAATGGAGGTATACTTTTATTAAATACTTTCAGTTAATCACCCTTTTCAACTATATTCATTGAACACAATAAGTTGTTAATTTTTAAATTGATGGATTGTCATTCATGCTACTCCATGATTGTAATTGATCACTTCTTACTACTTCATGCTACTCCCTGCCTTGTGATCTTGACCTAGTGATACATGCTTTCCTCTTTTTAAGTTGATGTCGAATATGTTTTACAATGTGCAATTGCATGCTTTCCTTTGCCATAACATCTTAAGTTAGCTAATTGTGATTAGTGAAGGGATGAATTAATGATGAATTTGGATATAGGAAAAATTTGGGAATTTTGATTCCAAATTGGAAGAAAAAGAAAGGTTTTTCTCTGCATTAGTGGAGGCAATAGTTAACTACGCTGAAAAAGGGAAAAGTCAAGTAGAAGTTGAGCAGAAAAGCAACAAACAGGTGCAAGAAATTGTTTTATCAGGGGAAGAGGAGGGGTCACAAGCAACTGGTGGCCAGTGCAATAAGCAAACAACTACAGATAAACCATCAGCAGAAAACGCTACAATAGCAGCAAATGAAGAAAAAGCAGCCAAGATACAAAGGCTTAAGAGTGGCTTCAGGATATGCAAGCCCCAAGGGACATTCCTTTGGCCCAACATGGTGCGCAGCCCCTCCCAGGTCCAGGTTGATGATCTGTTCATGATTCCAACACCACCCTCAGTTTCTTCCTCTACTGCCACAGCTCCTCCAAAGCTCCCCAATTATTTTCCATCCCACCAGCACAGTGGCCCTGTTTCCCCTGTCAAACCTGTGCCAGAAAGACGTCCCATTAAGCTTATTGTATCCTCAGTCTCAGATGGCTCCATGTATACTCCAACCAATCAAATCAACCTAAACGACCCCTTCAATAATGGAGGACGACTTTGTGGAACCCCAACATCAAGACAATCTATCACCTTGACTCCTATGATGCCAAATGTGAGTTTACATCATTATATAGGCTTATTTTATGTTCACTTCTTAGATTAAAGAAAACACCCTTCAATTGATTCTCACACCATGCAGCTATTTCCCTCTACCAATGAATTGATAAAGGGAGATCTAATTGATCAAGGGGAGCATGCAGTAGAGGCTGAAAGCACTAGCATTGGTAGCACGAAGAAGGGGGAGAGCTACATCACAAGAGAACCAAGCAAATCTGCCTCCATGCCTAAGCAAGAAGGAACTTGGCTTGCTCTTGCTACTCCAAACACTTCCACCTCAGATGAGTCCTGCCAGGGATGAAGTGCATCGTATATATATATATATATATCTAGACTAGACTATACATGAAACCTACATGAATATAATGGCAGTATTAGCTTTAAAAGGAAATCTTGGTTTGAATAGTTTACAAACACAAGTAGGCAAGTAGCAGTTAGCTAGTATGGAAGACAGCTGATCTCCTGTTTTTTGCTAGGCAAGAATGCAAGTAAACATTCTTCATAGGATCTTGGAAAACAAACATGGAATTTGAGACTTGGCATATCATGAACCTTAGTATGTTCTTACTCAACTTTTTGTTTGCTTTGATTCTGAGAGGAGATCATGCATAAGTTTTCAATGGCCTAGTGCATTTTCTTAGACATGCAGATGATTTTACAAATATATAAAGGGAAATGAAAACACAGTATGCTTGTATTGCTGCTCAAATGGAGATTAGGGTTGACACATTCCTTCTCTAACAGATGATTAGAAAAAATAAAAATAAAAATTTAGTTAATCCAAGTTAAGTTGAGATCAGTTTCAATTGACAACCCCACAAGAAGTAAGCTCAGACAAAAAGCTACATCTATACATATCTAGTCACAAGTTCCTACAACAACAAAAATATCTCCTTTGCAGCATTCTATTACGATTTTAAAATTTTCTGATCCAGTGACCATTGTTGTCTAGCCATTACATCCTCTTCTACATTGCATGTACATATGACGCCTACTGGTGCCATCCATACTGCTGGTTCCGGTTACCTCCCATTTGGTTTGGACCTCTGCCAGTATTGGAACCGCCATATTGACCACTTTGGGAGTAATTAGGAGGAACTCCATACCCACCACTTGCTCCCCGTGGACCACTGTTAGCCACGCCACTTGCAGGGTAGGGAGGAGCTCGTCCCTGCGGTGGATATGGGCCACTACTATAATTTCCACCTTGTCCCCCACGGTCTTGATAATATCCACCGCTGGGGTTCCCTCCTGGAGGGTATCTGCCCTGTCCTCCAGCAGGACCTCGAGACTTTACATACTGATGATTACTAGGTCCAGCAGAGAGTGTGGCCTGGGCATTGTTCATGGGATTGTTAGGTCCACTCCAGTGCTGAGGATTAGCATGTCCAGGTTGGATGGGAGGGAGGCGGGTATGCTGTTGCGGGTGCTGCAGCTTTTGTCTTTTTGCCATCTCCTCGTGTTGTCGCTGCTGTTGTCGTTTCTTCTTTGTCTGGAATTCATGGGATGATTCGTACTTCGGCAGACTAAAAAGAGGGGAAAAAATAAAGTTTACGAACATATTGTAACAATAAAAGGCCAGCAGCAATCGAATTATACATGAACCATTGGATGGAAATAACACAAACAAGGTGAAGCAAAAGCTGTAAAGACACTTATCATACGTCTTTGGATCACAAGGTAAAGGGTCTGTCCAAAAGTATTCAGCATCCAGTGCATCCTTTGCAGATATCCTCTACACAAATTGAGAAGCAATTATGCAACGTTGGTTAAAAAATGCACAGTTAGAATGCAGCTGGGTAAAAGTTTGTATTATCTATATTCAAGATGTGCCTCTAAAGAAACATAGTCGAGCAAACCTTCCCAAGTCCTTTTCACATGCAAGCCATAGTGTACAAGAGATCAATGGGAATATGTGAAAAGAGGAATACGACATTCAATTTTATTTTATTTTATTTTTTAAAACTTTATCGGGTGAGCTTCCTGGTTAACAAATACGGAGTAACATAACTCAATCCCACTTAATAACATTCAGTGTGTTTCACAGTTTAGAGTAATTGATAGTAAAATTGTTCTCATAAAATACAACACCTAAGTCAACCATAATAGTCTGAGAAACATCATGGCAACAAAAATTACCTGAGAGGGATCAAGAGTCAGCATTTTATCCAGAAGATCCAAAGCATGCCGATCAAAGCTGTGGAGAAGTTTATTATTAAGTAAATAGTTCACAAATATGTTGAGCATCTCGCCAGATAGGCACTTCAAATGATTGTATAATAGGAAAATGGTATACTCAACTGCCTGAACGTTTCTCTGACTCGTCTTTTCATGGGCCGTGCTGGCTTGAATTTGTTGTACCATGGAACCTTTGAAACCCCGGGCCAGTTAATTTCATCAGGGGTTCCACAAAGCTCAAATATTTTATTCAACTGTTCAGGCTGCAACACAAGTTCAAAGAAGGAAAACTGATCTTCAGTAACTACAGAGTAATAAAAGAATTTCGCATACGGGGAGTAATTTTTAAGAAAACAAAGCGTCAAAAAGAAAAATAAAGAAATATTCAGAAAATTTGCTAGGTGTCTTACGGACCTTATGTATTGCTTTATACTCCCCTCAAGTATAAATTAAGTTGTGATTATAGTTTTCTCACTTTAGCTTGTGATACGGCGAGATGTTTGCTTTTCCTAGCTAAGAAGGTTAGACTCTTTGTACCCCTCCTCATTGTACTTCAAAAATTTATTTTTAATAAAATAGTGAGGGGATGCTCAGCACCCCTTACCACTACAGTGGGCACCTTGCCACCCTAAAAAAATTATGGTTATAGTTGATATCCTGTTTCAAAAACAATGTCAGTAACTTCACTTGCAGTAGTTGACAGAGAGTACATCAAAAGGAACGCCATTTATTCATGTTAAGAGATTATCATCTCCTGTCAAGTCAAGAAAATGATCCCACTAAGGGAAATGTGCCTAGTGAGACCACAAATCACCTAATTACATTATTACAACGAACTAACAGGCAAAGCCCATTATGCACTTAGGAAAAAACAAATATATAGGGGCCTTTTACTTCATTTCTCTGTTTTTCCATTTTCAGTTTTCCATTTCTCCATTCCTCCAATTTTTCATTTTTTCTGATTTTATTAAATACAATCATCCTATATAGTATTTGTACATTTCTACAACAAATATATAATAATAATAATAATAATAATAATAACAACAACAACAACAAATCTGTGTGCATAAGGAGGAGGAAAAATGAAAAAAGATAATAATAAAAATAATAATAACAATAAAAATAATAGTATATATAATAATAAGAATTTAATAATAATAATAACAATAATAATAAGAATTTAATTTAATAATAATAATAACAATAATAATAGAAATAATAATAATAATAATATATAATATATAATAATAATATATAATAATAATAATAATAATAATAATAATAATAATAATAATAAATGTGAAGGTTTTCAAAAAAAAAAAATGTGAAGAAGATGCGTCAAAGTGTGAAGAAGAAAATTGTAGGAAGAAAATTTCAAGAAGAAGGGTCAAAACATGGAAATCTAAAGAAGAAGAGCCAGCAGGGTTCAAACCCAGGACGTCTGGCGGCACCGTTCACCCGTGTATTTCCATTTGGAGAAGTTGGTTTTCAGATTCTCCAAATTCCTTAAGAAAGGTGGAGAATGGAAATGGAATAAGAATTTGGAGTAAATTTAGTAAGCAAGTTTTCCATTTTCCATTTTTCTACCTCTCTAAATTCCTTTTTTTTTGGAAAATTTTCCATTTCTCCACTTTGGTAAACAACCCCATAATTTCTGATAAAGCTAACCTCATTTTTCCCAGGTAAGATTGGTTTCCCATATAAAAGCTCAGCAAATATACAACCAACAGACCACATGTCAACAGCCGGACCATATTTTGTGGCTCCAAGCAACAGCTCTGGAGGTCTGATCAAAACATTATAAATGTAAGAGGAATTGCAAAAACCAAACAGTTTCAACTTTCAAACTATCAAAGTGACAATTATTAACAAACCATGTTCCAATTAGAGTCGGGAATTACCTGTACCACAGAGTAATGACGCGGTTTGTCAGATTAGCATTCTGATCACCAGAAAAGGATCTAGCCAGTCCAAAATCAGCAAGCTTCAGGTTGCCCTCATTATCTATGAGAAGGTTGGAACCTAAAAAATATATAAATAAATAAATGAAGGTCAAATGGTTCCATTATCCTTCTGGAGGATTAAAACGAAGATCGGCATAAATGAGGCCTCGGGGATGACCTTTGATATCCCTATGAAGAACTTGGTTGACATGACAGTAATGAAGACCGGTGAGTAGCTGCTTCATGTAACACTGGAAAAGAATACCATTAGTGAAGCTGCAAAGCAATTGGATCAATATAATCTCACATGAAGATAATTATCTTTGCTAGCTAGGCTTACAGTACTTTAATTTGTGGAATCGAGAATCTGAGTCCAGGACGATCTGCGAGGCCAGTCAAGTCATGGTCCATGTACTCAAACACCATATAAATGTTGCCCTTGTACTTATTGTTATCTGTACTTGGGAAAAAATTCCAAATCATATATGTTATTCCCACATGTTTAGAAGGGAATATATATATATATATATATATATATATATATATATATATATATATATATATATATATATATATATAGAGAGAGAGAGAGAGAGAGAGTAATGTACACTTTCAGTACCTGTCCTTTCCGGCTCATCTCCTTCGGGGCCTTCAACAAAAGTTCAGATTATCAGGTTAATGAGAAAAGGTTACAAAACTCCTACAAGCTTAAAGGGATATGGCAGCTCAGAGTATCTAGAAAACCAAGGTACCTTGGGAAGTCACAATCTCTTTCAACTTGATTACATTTTCATGCTGTAATTTCTTTAGAATTTTGATTTCCCGAATGGCAGTTATTGGGAACTGCAGAGATAGAGGAAATTTACTGGCATTTGACTATAAGATTTGAGTATATGGTACAGAATAACTGAAAAAGATTATACCCCTTCTTTTTCATTGTCCATACGGATCTTCTTTAAAGCAACAATTTCTCCAGTTCTTTTTTCTCTAGCCATAAATACTTGCCTGTCGGAAAAGACCAGTAATGAGCACATGCAGAACATACAAGTCAAATGAATAACATTTTTTTTTCAAAAAATAATAATAATCCGAGAACAAGTTTGTATCATGGACATCCCATGTATAAATGCTTAATTAGACGAAGGCCTTTAATATCCTTTCTTATTTCTAAGGGCAAACTGTATAGCCTATATGGTTGTTGTCAACCTCTCATTTTATTACTCTGTACAACGTTCGATATTAAAACTACCCAAGTTAAGTGCACTATAACTAAAACGAACTTATCAATGGAAGAATCATGATTACAAATTTCCAACATATCAATGGTCTACAAAATTTTGCAATTTACAAAAAAGAAAAACAAGGTCCCAAAACAAAAGAGAAGCTCCTGCAGTTTCCAAATAGCAGCGGAAAGAAACACCATGTGGCAAACATGTCATCACCTAATGCTTGAAATGGAACATTTGATTATTCATATGGTAGCAAGGCTAAAAGTGATTTTTTTTTTTTTTTTTTTTGGAAACAAGCTAAAAGTATTGTGGAACAAAATGGAACACCTATTTTTTCCAGCATGCTCTTTCCAGAAAAAAATGTTACAGGCTTGACTCACGCTAAGTACACGAAGGTAAAAGAGTAGCAATTGCTCAATCTAAGCAGCAAACATGATTATTCATTATCCCATTGAGAACACAAGTGCATACAGGGGGAAATTGAACCAAATTTGTAATCCTGGATCAAATGAAAACTTACTCATCCAAACCCAGCAGTTACTTCTATCTAAGAAGCATAATTTTTAGGGAGAAAAACACTAATTACCAGATGGAACAAAGATGAATAGACAAAAGTAAAGGACAATGTGAAAACATAAAGAAAATAATATGTTGAGACTCAAAAAAGATGCATACTCTACTTTTCCCCTATACACAAAAACACCAGCTGAAGATAACTGAGCTATGAAGAAAGAAATAAATAAAGAAAGAGCCTGTGTATGAAACCCCAACTAAACAACCACTAATGGACCAAAGGGGCATTCTCGAATTTGGCGGTAGCTATTAACCCTAAGTCACATATTGAAAGTTTTACTTCAACAGTTGAATCAAATAAGAAAGATATGAACCCAAACACAAAATTGGTACATATGTCGCTATTAAATCAAAATTTAAATTTCAAAAATAAAAAGCTCACGGCCTTCTATCTTTCATCGATTAAAGAAGGGCAAAAGCTAACCCGTAAGTGCCTTCTCCAATTTGCTCCAGCTTTTCGAAGCAATCCACGCTCCGAGACCCCCATACCGGAGACTCGTCCAGATTCAGCTGCCCATAGGTCGCAACAGCCATCGGGCTTTCTAAAGGTACGGACTTTTTCCCCTCGGAAAAGAGATGCCTGCGGTGGTGGCAGGGGAGGGGTTTGTTCCGTAATTTGACGGAGATAGAGAGGAGCTTCAACTAGGGATTGGACAAGACTGAGAAGTCCTATTTTGAGAATTCAACGTTGAAGTAAAATCTATTTATATCTATTTATATCTATCTTCCTCTTCAACCAACTTTTTGGTAAGAAAATTTAATAAAGCTTAATTGGTAACTAAATTTTATATGAAATTTAATTAATATCTAATGAATTGTCATCTTAAGTTAAAAATTAATATATACTTAAAATAGAAAATAGTTATCTAATTATGAGAATAATTAAATAATTAAATCATTATAATTGTGAAAATAATATAAATAAATTGTGCATAATAAATATAAAACATCTTCAGAAATTCTGTGTAATTTTATAAGGAAATAATAATTTATTAATTATTATTTACATCAATCTATATTATTAATAAAAAGTAAATCTCACTCTTAATTTTTCCGTTTATACTAATATGAATACTAATTAATTGGTAACAACAATTTATATGAAAATTAACTAATATCTAATGAATTGTTATAAAAAAAAAAATTAAAGTCTATATATGTACTTAAAAAATGAAAATAGTTACCAAATTCATAGAATAAGTAACTTTATATTCATAATTTTTGAACTCTATATTCACAATTATGACAGCTTTGGCACTGTGACCACCTTCAGTTCCACAACATAATTTGTCTTTGAATGTCATTATATTAGGATCAAATGTCATGATATTTTGTGTTTGTATTTTTAGAACTTTTATTCCCATTGTAGGATCATACAAAACCAAACAACAATATTAGTAATAATTCCAATTTCACCATATTACCAAATATGCAAAATACTTTCACCAAAACCCATATCATTATAAAGTATTTGATTCTTTATTCTCATTCCAATTCCTATGTGTGAACCAAACACACTTTTAATATTCACAATTTACATTTTACAAAATTGTGAACATTTAATATGTAAATTGTAAACATTGGGACCTGGGTCCACAGAATAATTTGCTCTAAGACGAGTAGGTCTGCATTGACACCCCAGTTGGTTGATTATTAAAAAAAAAAAGAGGAATAAAGTTCAAATTGACCACTGAACGTAACCTGAAAATACAATTAGGCCACTGCACGTTCAAAAAAGTGCAATTAGGCTACTGAACACTCCAAATATATGCAATTTTACTAGATAGCAGATTACCATAAATTTTAATAGGTTACCTGGCAGCTGAATTGACAGTTTTAATAAGTTTTAATAATAAATTTTAAAAATTTGAAAAAAAAATGACGGGGTAGCCGACAGCCACCCATCGTTTTTTTTTTTTTTTTTTTGTATATTTTTTCAATTTATTATTAAATTTTATTAAAAATGTAAACTTAGCTGCCACGTAAATAAATAACTTGCTAAAATTGATGATAATCTGTTATTAAGTGAAACTGCATACATATAAAATGTTCAGTGACATAATTGTATTTTTTTTCATTCAGTGCCCTAATTATATTTTCAAATTAAGTTTAGTGGCCAATTTGAATCTTATTCCAAAAAAAAAAAAAAACAAAAAACCCATAAAAGACTCGCCTTGCATTTGTACAACAGGCAGTAGTATCCAATAGGGCAGTACGGTGTTGTATGTATAATGTATCTTTTTCATTTTCATATATAGGTGTGTGCAATACGGCGTAGGGCGTAGAAATCGCTCGCGTCAACTTTGACTCAGGTCTTGCATCATCTCTCATCCAAGTCCCTGTCTGAACTTAACTGGATTCCAATTCGACGGCCACTCTATCCTCCTCTCTCTCTCTCTCTTGCTCTCTCTGATAACCGCGTTTTCATTCTTTTTTATTTTATATTTACCAAGCACACTGTTTTTAGATTTCCCTGATCAATTTCTCATTTTTTTATTGATCTGTACTCGAAATCAAGCTTGCCCAGAAGTTCTGTACGGTGGATTTAATCTGATGTTTTCTGGAATTCACAAAGCTTGGAGTCTTGAGATCTCGGCGAAAATTTACCTGTAGTGTTTCTGAGCTGTTTTTATGGCCGCGGAGAGCAGGCGGCACGGTCTTAATGCTCAATTAGGTGAGTTCTATAGCTGGTTTGGGGGGGGGGGGGGGGGGGGGGTTCTAATATATAAATTAGAAGCTACAGCCTTTTTGTAAATCTTAATGTTGGATATCTGGTGCTAAATATTGTTACTTGCTATTAATGTTAATTATTAACAGCCACTGTTTCGGATTTTATTCTTCTTCTAGAAGGGATTTGGAAATGATTGTTCTTTAGATTTTAGAATACTAATTTATGATTTCTTGTCTCAGTATCTGTTGTGTGTGCGTATGGATAGCTATGTCTCTCAAAATTTCATTTTTTTAAATTTGTTGTTTGAACTCGTATTTTTGGAGGTTTAGTAGCTCAAACCATCCAAAATGCAGTAATTTGATAATTTTTCAGGTGAAAGATAGCAGATTGGGATGTGTTCTTTAATCTCTGTGTGTGTGCACTGGTTAGGGGGTGGGGTTGGATTAAAACTAAGTTAGCCAAGTGTTTGTGGATTGATTTGTTTAACACTCTGTATAAAGATTGTCTAGAAGTCTAGAACAATTGTAATCATTGACTTTTTGATTAACTTATCCAGAATGGGTGAAAACCTTCAAATTGTAAGGTGGTTGTTGAACTATTGAAGGATGTTTTAGTAGTTTTAGTATCCTTGTTGACATTGTGGCTTGGCATGTCAGCTATAGTTGTAAATACTGTTATTTAAGGTTGACAGAGCTGCTTGCTTATGTGATTCCGGCCCATTATTTAATGGCTTCCATTTCTAATCTATACGCAAGTACTATCGTTTTAATTTGTTTTAAAAGATTTGCAATCTGTGACAATTTTCCAAATACTCCAACATAGCATGCGGTGAATGCAGATATTGAGCAGATACTGTTAGAAGCACAACATCGTTGGCTCCGCCCAGCTGAAATCTGTGAAATACTTTCGAATTACCAGAAATTTCGGATTGCTCCCGAGCCTCCAACTAGGCCTCCAAGTATGCTCCTTTAGCCAATAGTTTATTAACTTAGCATTGTATCAATCTTCAGTTCTTTGAATTGCTTGGATAAGTAATTAGTGTACCTGTATTTTCTCTTGCAGGTGGTTCACTGTTTCTTTTTGACCGTAAGGTATTACGATATTTTCGGAAAGATGGGCATAACTGGAGGAAGAAAAAGGACGGGAAGACTGTCAAGGAGGCTCATGAAAAGCTCAAGGTAAATTTGGGGCGGTTCATACTTTTGATGATTGACAGATAGCATACTATTTATGAAAATTGTGTTTGTGTGATACTGTGATGATGTCCATATTGATTGATCTAGCAATAACTTTTCTCCAGTCTGGAAGCATTGATGTGTTGCACTGCTATTATGCTCACGGAGAAGAGAACGAAAACTTCCAGCGGCGCAGCTACTGGTTGCTCGAAGAGTGCGTTACATAAATTGGCCAGCCTTTTTTTTTTTTTTTTTTTTTTTTTTTTTTTTTGTGTTATACCATCTTCATTGATAGTTCATGACTATTATGCTAGAAGTAATTCAAATTTGGTTTATGTCTTTCTTAAGAGGATGTTGACAATCATGTTTCGGCATTGCCATCATAACATGCCCGCATATCAATCTGAATCACGTCATGCAGTTTTCCATATACTTTCTTTTGCACTCTTTCCTCTCCTACCTTTTTCAAATATATTTTGGATATTGTGCATTTGTGATCTTGTTGTCTGTATAGAACTTCTCTCCTTATCTTTCCCGAAAATCCCGCCAAGAAACAGGCTATGCATTGTCCGCAGCCAATAGTGTTTTTTTTTTTTTTTTTTTTTTTTTTTTTCCAGTTGTCGATTGCACTCCTTTCTTTTGTAAGTGCTTCTTTTTCAAGTGCTCTAATTTTCTTACACATCTAACCTTTTTCCAGGTCACAGTCGAACATTGTTCTCGTCCACTACCGGGAAGTAAAGGTATTATTATGCTTTCCACCTTTCCATTGTGACTGCGAAAATGAATTTTTTGATTGTTCATTCTTTTTTCCCATGTTTATACTATGTTCAGTACAAGGTAAATGGGATGGGTTTGATCGTTCCCTTGTTTAGTCTAGAAGTAAAATAGGAAAGTAATCATAGAGGTTTAGTCATCTCAATTTTAAACCTCAAAACAATTGGATCGATTGGACTTACACTAACCTCCAATTTTACTAAAGAATACGGGGGTTCAAGATACACTTCTACAAGGAAAAGCATACCTCTTTTCCCAGCAAACATAGCCTTAACAATATTAAAATCTGAGCATTGAAACTTACTCCATATGAGCATGGGAACAAGAGAAGGTTCCTTTTTATTCAACTCACAAAGGTTAACAATCAAGCTCTGGAGGTTTAACTGTTTAAGATCCATGAAAGTAGCATGTTTCATATTTTCAGGAAGTCTTATTTGTTTATTTTTGTGCTCCATGTGGAACTTATAGGTGATCTGAACACGCTTAATTTGCAGGGTAACAGGATGAATTCTAGCCGTGTCAGAGAACCTCAATCAGCTATTCCTGTTTTCCAGCAAAGCGAAGAATCTGGGCGCAGCTCCTCAGATGTAGGCAGTACAGTATCTTCAAAATTACGCCCATATGATTACCAAGTGACATCTCATGTTACAGATACAACTAGCCTTAACAGTGGTCAGGCCTCAGAATATGAAGATGTTGAATCAGGTACAATTATTTCTTTATTTCCGAGCCTCAATTCAAATAGTAAGCCCATTTTGTATCTGTACATTGCAAACTAAGCATAACTTTTGTTTTGTGAAATATAACTGGCTGCAGTGTACAATCAACAATCAACTTCTGGAGTCCACTCTTTTACTGAATTTCAGTCAAACGTGATCCCGAAGGCTGAGGATGGGCTTTCTGCTCCTTATTATCCAGCCCCCTTCTCAGGTAATAAATTATTGTCATTTTATTTTTATTGTTTAAAATTGATTTGCTTAAACCGTTTCCTGCTATGGGCGTGATATATGCATTAACGAGTAATGCTTCTTAAAATTGATCAGATGATCATCAAGGCTATTATCCAGCTATTACTGGTATGAACTTCCCCTCAACCACACATGGAAACCAGAACAGGAACACTGCAAATGCATATATGCCCTGCAGAGACCTTGATTTCCCATCATGGGAAAATGTTCCCGAGAAGAATACTGCTGATTATCAATCTGTACAATTTCAACCTTCAATTTCCTCAACCCAGTCTGCTGCAATAAACACAATCAATGGACAAGGAAGCGCTATGATTGATTTCACAAACGACTTCAGTATTAAGCAGGAGGCTGACAACCATTTCCATGCCCTAGAAGAATGGCAGGTGAGCTATGATCCCGAAGTAGTAATTTCTGTGCAATTTTACATACCAAATTTGCCTTGAAAATGCTATTTCCTACGTGCGCCATTTAAACAATAGATGAAGACCTCTATCGCCTATAGAGATCAAACCCCCACCCTGAAGCCACTGCTTTACTTGCTTCTTTGTGACAGCCTGACAGGGTCTCTTGCTAAGACCACCTAGAACTTGGAAACATACTAGGCTTTGTTTCAACGTAAATAAACACTTACACATCAAATATAAATCAGTTAATAAGTTTAGTGTAATAAGATATCAGTTCATTAGTTTGTCAAATAACACTATGTTATAACTTCTTTTTTTAAAGATTAAAACACTATGTTGTAACTTAATTGAAATTAAGATTAAAAGTTCAAGGACTTGGTGAGATTTATGCCGTGGAAGTCTGAAATTGCCTGGTCATAGTTTGCTTGACATTAATGTTTGTATGACTTTGAAATGCAGGCATCTAAAGGCAATTCCTTGCAATCATCGGAGTGGTCAGTTGATCAGAAGATGGAACCGCATCAAACATTTGATTTTGCTAGCAAGTTAGATAAAGAGAAGCATGCGGAGTTTCATGATTCCTTGGAGGCGTACAATATACTTCATACTGAACCAGATAAGCATCCTATGCAAAACGGTAGATTTGTGAAAGCCGAGTCAGATGGCAGTTTCAATGTGGATGGCAAAACTGATCATTTGGCTTTCAAGCAACCCTTGTTGGGTGGGGTTCTAAGACAAGGACTGACGAAACTTGACAGCTTTGATCGTTGGATAAGTAAGGAACTTGAAGATGTAAACGAGCCAAGTCTGCAATCCAGTTCTCAAAGTTATTGGGAAAATGTTGGAAATGAAGATGGAGTTGATGAATCTGCCATTGCTTCCCAAGTGCAGCTTGACCCTTATGTGCTTAGTCCGTCCCTCTCCCAGGATCAGTTATTTAGCATTATTGATTTCTCACCAACTTGGGCGTATGCTGGAACGGAGATCAAGGTACATTACGTAGATCTTAAACAAGTCTTAGAGTGTTTGATTATTGATGAAATATGTTTCTGTTTCACTTTGAAGTAGTGCAAGGGATTTCATTTATTGGCAAGAATAATAATCTGATTATTTCACAACCAGGTTCTAATTACTGGAAGATTTTTAAAGTCTTACCAAGAGGTGGAAAAGTATAATTGGGCATGCATGTTTGGCGAGTTGGAAGTTCCAGCTGAGATTATAAGAGACGGGGTGCTTCGTTGCCACACACCTTTTCAAAAGGCGGGAAGAGTTCCATTCTACATAACATGTTCCAATAGGTTAGCATGTAGTGAAGTGAGAGAATTTGAATTCCGAGTTAGTGAGGCTCAAGATGTCAGCACTGGGAGTGAAAATAGTGGCGGCTCTAGTGAAAGTCTTATTCATATGAGATTTGTGAGAATGTTATCTTTGGGATCGCCCAGTTCCCTGAACTCTGTACCTAGGAATGTGGATGATATCTCTCACATCATCCGTAAAATTAATTCATTGCTACAAGAGGACTGCGAATGGGAAAACATGATGCACCTCTCTTCTGGCGACACTTTTTTGCGAGAGAAAACAAAAGACCAGCTACTGCAAAAGCTTCTAAAAGATAATTTACGTAACTGGCTCCTTCAAAAGGTCACCGAAGGTGGGAAAGGCGCTAATGTACTAGATGAGGGTGGTCAAGGTGTTCTGCATTTTGCAGCTGCTCTTGGTTATGACTGGGCTGTACCCCCGACTTTAGCTTCAGGAGTAAATGTTAATTTTCGAGATGTGAATGGATGGACAGCACTCCATTGGGCAGCATTCTATGGAAGGTATTGCATCGAATTTTTTAATTGTGACTATCTTTAATTACCCTTTAATCTATCTGAGTATCTGGTGCCATTATAAACTAGTTAATAGTTCTGTTAACGAATTTGACGGGTTACTTTCACGATGGAAGTGTTTATTAGTTTCTTCAGGCGTTTTCCTTCTTTCTTTATGTTTGACTAGCTCCTGAGAGTTCATTTCACTTTTTTTCAACTTGTGCTACGTCAGAGAACGTATGGTGGGTTGCCTCATCTCTCTAGGAGCAGCTCCGGGAGCTTTGACAGATCCTACGCCCCGACATCCTTCGGGTATAACACCTGCTGACCTGGCATCCAGCAGTGGGCACAAAGGAATTGCTGGTTATTTGGCGGAATCTGCCTTGAGCACCCACCTTAGTCTACTTAAATTGAAGGAAAACCGGGAGGATGAAAGCACTGAAGTCTCGGGGTTAACAGCTGTGCAAATGGTTTCTGAACGGGTTGCTACTCCCGTTGGCGATGGCGATTGGCCAGATGGATTGTCAATGAAGGACTCTCTGGCAGCTGTTCGTAATGCAACCCAAGCTGCTGCTCGCATTCATCAAGTCTACAGGGTCGAGTCGTTCCAAAGGAAGCAGATAAAAGAATATGGCGGCGGTGGTGAATTTGGATTGCCCGATGAGCGTGCTCTTTCACTCCGTGCTGTGAAGAACAGGGCAGGACACTATGATGAACCAACTCACTCTGCTGCAATACGAATACAAAACAAATACCGCAGTTATAAGGGACGAAAAGAGTTTCTTCAAATTCGGCAACAAATCATTAAAATTCAGGTGCGGTTTAGTGGGTACATAAGCTTCTCTCTCAAGCTTTTACATTTTTTCACACTTCTATTTTTATTTTTTCATATATAGTCTCATTCCTCATTGTTTCTTGCCTTTCTCCTCCCCTATCTGAAAAAAGGCGCACGTAAGGGGACATCAAGTCAGGAAGAACTATGGAAAGATAATCTGGTCTGTTGGGATACTGGAGAAGGTAATTTTGCGATGGAGACGAAAAGGGAGTGGTCTGCGGGGGTTTAAACCAGAAACAGTCACCGAACCCTCTAGCATGCAAGCCCAACCCGTGCAAGAAGATGAGTTTGATTTTCTAAAAGAAGGCAGAAAACAAACCGAGGAAAGATTGCAGAAGGCTCTTGCCAGGGTGAGATCCATGGTTCAATATCCCGAGGCCAGAGATCAATACCGAAGACTGCTAAACGTCGTCTCTGAAATGAAGGAAACTAAGGTACACCCACATCATTATGCTTCAAATGCCTTTACTCTCTCTCCAGAAAGGCGGGAAGTAAACTTAAAACTTGCCTTTTTGGTTTTTTTTTTTTTTTTTTTATCCTGCAGAAAAAATATGATGGGGACCCGAGCAATTCAGGTGAAGTGGGCGATTTTGATGAAGATCTGATTGACCTGGACGCATTGTTGGACGATGACACCTACATGTCCTTTGCGTAATAAAATCTCTAAACTCTCGTCTTGCTTGGAGTATATATCGATGCTTAAGTACTAGCATTTTATACATAGGCTTCCTGCTTCCCTGACAAAAATCATAGATGTGTCCTAACTGGAATGTTCGAAGTTGATTTGTGATGAATTTGTTGTATATGATGCAAGTTTGATTGTATCCAATATATGTACAATAAACTCGTAGATTTCCAGCTTGAAAATTACATATATAGTTGTGGCCTGACAAGAATGTTTTTCAGTTGATTAGTTATCAACGGTGATGTATGCAAGTTTGATTTGTTCAGTATTTTGTCTATGAAACATTGTTACCTTGCAGGTCGCAAATTATTTTGTAGACCCCGGTCCTATTGTTCACAATTTACCTTTTAAAAATTCATATTTATATACTACGATACGAACATACAAGGTTAACATATATATATATATATATATATAATTGATTATCTTGTTTTGTATTTACAAGTTCCTTACAAATATTGTAGTCAATATTAACATATTAGGATTTAATGACCCTGTATTGTATTCACAAATTTCCTGTGTTTTAACTTAAAAACATAATTTATAATTTAGAAGTTCACAATTTCAATTCTATTCGGTTATTTGATTACTGAAAGAACTAACCGAACAAGCACGCTTACCTGCCAGCTATAACATATACTTCATCTATTTTCCCATTTATTGCTCGAAAATTTTAAGGTGGTTAGCTTATACCACCTCTGTACAAGGAAACAACCTAGGTACTAGGTAGGGTACATATATTTTGCACATTTCATTTGAAGTACACATTGGGAGATTGTTGACACAACATGAAAGGGAGAAAATGGGACACTAAAAACACAGGAATCGTGCTCAAAATTGCTACTTCTTTTTCTCAGCTTGTGGTGCCAGAACATACGCTTTCATAAAACAGGATGTAGCCGTGATCCGTGTTGCTGGAATACTCCTGTGCTGATCCGAAAAACGTCTGGACAGCAGATTCGTCGATCATCTCCACGTTCTCGTCATCGAAGTAAAGCCAATGGTTATGGCTCTTGACGAGGCTGACATAGTGCCCGTGGTTGGGTCCGCTCCCAACATGGACTACCACCGCGAATAAGGAGTATTCTGCGTCTAACTCCTCGACTGTATTGCTCAACTTCAGCTCTAAAGGGAAGACAACGCGGTAAGATAGCTTCTTGTACCGACCTAGTTGTTCTATATACTTGAATCGCTTCAAATGGATCACTAGGATATGGGGAGGCTTCTTAATCTTCATTCTCTTTTGGGCCTCCTGCAAACTGCAATCTCAAACAAAGGCAAACACTACTTACCTTCCCAGTTTCACATGTTTCTCAAAAGAATCTAAACTACAGCTCGAAGTAATTTAACATTCGGAGTGGCAGTATAGTTTGACACCACAAAAACCAAAGAAATTACCTGCAGCACTTGTCGCAAAAAAATTTGTCTTCAGCGTTCAAAGTCTCGGTGGAACTAAAATTCTTAAGGCAGCTTGTTATTGAACTGTTCTGTTCAATATCAAGGCTCAAGTCAAAAAATGTTTCATCCCTTGCAGTTACAGTCTCACAACATAAGCACCTTGTTTCATTAGTCAAAATACCCTGAAATATGCAATCACGAAAGATGATTATTTTCTGTACAAAGTGGCTATGGAAACAATTGAACAGGATCGGTTTTGTCAGGAGCATTTGCCGTCATTCAAGTATTGCAATTGCTACTACTCATTAAAATTCCAGCAACTATGAGCTGTAAACTCGAACACTTATTAATGACTCAAATGCTTCTACACAAAATTAAGATGTAATGCAATCTTGCTGGAGTTGGCTATAATGTTGGACAAATGCTCACAGCTATTTGACTCATGCACACCTGAGACACTGACCTAATGGTCAACAGAAGGGCACTAGACTACTAGACCAAGCCCAACCAACAACCCATAAGTATGAGCTGATAAGAGGCCAGACAAATCTACCTGGAAGTTTTTGTGCACCCAGGTGACAAGAGGCTCCTTATGAGTACCATTGGCAAGGGTGGTCTTTGGTCCATTAGCAATCTTCTCCGATGGTGAAATTTCTTGATCACTCTTGGCAGCATTGGACTCTTTTTCCAGTATGTCAACAAGTTCATTCAGCAAATAGTTAAGGAATTCGTGAGCATCCTACAAGAAGAAGATTTTGACTCAGAACACAGAACCTATTAGGAAATAAAAGGCAACTATCATTACAGCCATACAAATTCAGTATTTTAGAACATTCAGTTCGAGTGAGGTGTGTTTGCCTCAATGATGGCAGTGCAGCAAAGTGTCACAAATCCTACGCAAAGGTGCAGCAATTGTCAACGAATGATCTTGATAATCTCAAAAGCAACCAGCTTAGACTTCCACATTTGAAGAAATATTTTTTTTTTTTTTTGAGTACACTCTAACCTAATTATACCATCTGCATCCTGCTCAACAAATTATGCCGATCCTTGATTGGGATGGGACTCAAACCTGAGACATTCCTTATGAAAAGTAACAGTGATGCCATCAAACCACAAGGTATTTGGCTTGAAGAAAAAATATAATAATAAAGCATGTTTTTAATTGTATGTCCATAGCATAAGGGAAGAAAACTAGAGAAGTATGCTGGGACATGCTTTATTATTATATAGAGAGTACCTCTAAAACTTCATAAATAGCATAAGAAATTTAACCTATAGGTGGAGCAGTGGAAGGGACATTTATGGTCTTCAATGGGCAAAGTTTTTGAAATTTACATCTACAATGTGTTATGTTTAAAATTTCTATTCTTTAAGATAAAAGTTGGGAATGACTTTATTAGTAAACTAAATCTTATCAGTGAGTTCATACAACACCTGATGCATATAACTGCGGAAAATCTCGTTCTGCTTCTTCAGTTTCTGCACAAAGCGTCTTGGAGAAATCACACCTGTTTTCTTCTTTTGTGAGCTAATCTGCATAAAGAAGTTCGGCCAAGTTAACATTCACAAATTTTAAAAATGTAACAACAGTAGATTCATCAACAATGACGAATTACTTCAGACTTGCATACCCTGAGATGATGTGAACAATTCATAAATCTAGAAAAGCAAAAGAGAGGAGACTTGTGAATCACTTGGCTATGGGTAGATAAAGAATTCAAAATGAGTACACCCCAACCAACATACAATTGTTATGCCGTGGAACCGTGTCCACATTGCAAGGTGGACACAGTTCTATGTTCATAATTACTGAACTCTATGTTCATAATTATAAACTCTACATTCATAATTTTTGAACTTCATATTCATAATTATTGAACTCAATATTCACAATTACAAAACTCTAAGTTCATAATTACTGAACTCTATGTTCATAATTATAAAACTCTATGTTCAAAATTTTTGAACTTCATATTCACAATTATTGAACCCTATATTCACAATTACAGAACTCTATGTTCATAAATTTTGAACTCTATATTCACAATTATGACAATTTTGGAACCGTGCAAGGTGGACACGGTTCCACAGCATAATTTGCCACCAACATATCATTAGAATTCTCTTTCACAATGCAATCCAGAAAAAAAAAAAAAAAAAAAAAAAAAAAAAAAAAAAAAAAAAAAAAAAAAAAAACAGAAAGTACCCCTACCCTACCCTTCCACCCAAAAAAAAAAAAAAAAAAACATAGAGTACCAGCAAAAAGAAAAAAATAAATTCCAGATTAAATCAGTAAGCAAAACTGGCAAACATCTTTATATTAAGATGAAGGTAACAATTACTGGTTCTGACAATCAGATAGATGCAGAAATGTCAGCCTATACATAAAAGTTTCTCAAAACAACCACCAACACTACCTGCATAAATAAGTCTGCTAGGCATGTCAAGAGACTTTCATCTGCATCAGCAAGGTTTTTGTTATTTGAATAGTAGTCCAGTAGCTGTTCCCGAAATGGAACACAGAAATAGAGTGCCTACATTTATAAAATTAAAAAAAAAAAAAAAAAACAATCGCATAAGGATGAGGACTATGATGATATAATGCTTGTTCATATACACAAAACAAAGAAGGAAATAATTTTGACAAAGTGTTACCAACAAGATAGTTTAATCATCAATGTAGTCATTCATTAAAAACTTCCAAAATAATATACATTGATTGCCACAGCTTTTGGTCATTAATCAATTATAGAACTTGTATCATATTAAATTATGCTGTCTGAGCAAAATGTTTCTTTTTCTCTTTCTTTTTATTTATTTTCTCCCTATAAACAATGTATTCATTCACAGAAAACCAAGCTGGTGATTACTTCCATGGAAAGAATGTGATTGACCAGGTGTGTTTTTTATATAATTAATAATTGTGTCACAGAATTCTATTATTTTCATATGTTTTCTTCTATTTCTTCTGCTACAACTTTAAGATTATGTCAATGCACTACAAGTCTACAATATTCATAATGTAACACTGACACTGTAAAAACTTCAAATACTCCAATATTTGTTTACCTGTTTTTTTCTATTCAATAACTTTTCTTTTTGGTGAATTTAGACAGACATTAGCACAGTGGAAATGATGAAGACTATATTCAAGAAAGTTCAGATCGAGACAACTGAGTGAGCAAGGAAATTCAGTATTCACTATTATTAGAAAATATACTTTATTATTGAAATTGTCTCAAAGGAGAAATTTTATATGATAAAGACCCAAAACCATCACGTCATTTGTCCATAAATATATTAAATGCATATATGTGCACCAGGTGCAACACTTGTTATATCTTAATGGATGTGATTATTGATTTATGCCATTATGTGTGCATTAAAGCTGTTTACCATCTCTCTAAGTGACACATAATAGAAGACCCAGCTGACTTAAATGGCACAAACATGGTCTCTTTATGTTCTTAAATTATTTGAGTGTATCCTATGTATATGAGGCTTAAGCTTGAAGAGATAAGAAACTATGAAAAAAAGCATTATAACAAGAGAGATTCGTAAGAAATCATTTGAAAGCTTCATGATGGAAATAGGATCACAACAATATACTCTAGTGGAGCATTTGAATTGCCTTTCTTCTTCTACATTTTACCATTTGAATATTTTTATTAATCTTTTCATCTAAAAGATTCATCAAATTTGGCTTTACGGATGGCTAAGTCAGCCAAAAAATGCTGTTTTAAAGTCAGTCTAGGGAAAATATGGAAGGAATATAGTCTTTATAGAAGAGCTCATTGTAGCATATACTAAACTACATATTATATACTTGGACTAAAAAATGGCAAGTTCTAGTCCTGGTTTTCCTATCCTCTTAACCAAACATCTGACATCTCCAAAAATACAAACAAACCAAAAACAATGTCTCTGTTGGAGATAGTTTCAACAAAATGAATAAAATGTGTTGCAAAATATCAGAGGATCCATATTTGGTCATGCAGTAAAACATTTTGGCAAAATGATCTCGAAACAATAAACTCATTCCTGTGACATCTTTTGGACTGATATTGCAGAAAACGGAAAAAATTACTTTAGCAAGCTCTTACCATTAGTTCAATCAAAGACTAAATTTAGGGCAACATGTGACATCCTCTATCTTTGATTCATAATTACATTAAGCTATTTTGTTAGATTCCACAGGTTTAACGCGGATGAATTAAGAACATGCCAAAAGGCAAAAGCGCACACTCTCTTCTTCCTTATTTTTTTCATAGCTCACAATAATTTCATAAAAACCCTGCGGAATTCACATAAACAACGCGTTCTAATCGGCAGATGCAAAATCAAAGCCAGTTTCAGATTCCGAAGCTTTCAATCAAAACGCAAATAAAAAACCGAAGGAATCGAACCTGAAGCACGCTGTTACAATAGCAAGTATTCCCGAAATTCTCAAGACCGAAGTACCTCTCGCCTTCCGGAAACTGGTCTCCTAGCGCTTTCTCCAGTTTCGAGCCCGTAGCCCCCATCTCAGTTCATCCGCTCCTAATGTGTACGTATGTATATATATATATATATATATATATATATCTACGTATCCACAATTATATACACGTATATATCTGTTCGTGCAAATACATATAATATTATTCCGGCACCGGCTATTTCTTCACCGGAAAAATCAGAGACGATGTCGGAAACGGCAAAATCAGGCTTCCGTATAGGGAAGGAGTTTGGACGATAAGAACAAAAATGGCAAATAAAAATAAAATAACTAAAAAAGAATTTATTTAATATTTTCCCGGACCACGCAGAGATTAAATGAAAAAAAAATGAAAGCGTACATAAATATATGGAAGTCGCCGCTATTTGCTGCCCTGATAGTGCCAGATCATCATCATTAGTGCCAAGCTGTAAATATTTCTCTGGGCCCTACTTTTATGCCAGCATTAACTTTCCTACCGCCTATATGCACACTTCTTGTTGCGTAAGGTACAATGCCTTTCGGTTAACGAAATTACGTTCGATCATTATTGACTCTATTACAATGTAATATCTGTCTATATATATTTTCTCAACATATTGAAACACAAAACGTTAATATTCTCATTGAAGTTTGAACATGTGACCTCTGATTTGGAAGAGTCACAATAAGATATGTCTGAATTAGCGTATAGACTCGAAACCCTTCCTTTCAATTATTGATTAATTAAGTTGTGTTTTGATAATATTTTTATTTTTTTAATAAAAAATCTTTTTAACCATTTTGATTTATCAATTATTGTACTTTCCAAATTTGATTCTTACTTATTAATTTTTGTAACATATGAGACTAAGTAATGAGTATCAAATTAGTGTTACATCTACATGGCAGATTATGGGCTTATGGCTAAAGTATATGTACAATTGTATCAAAAAGGTCAAATGTGACAAAATTTTAATAATCAGAAATCAAATGTTAGAAATATATAATAATAAGAGGACTAACAGTGAAAATAGCTCAATTAAAAAAAATGTATTCTTTCACAAATTTTTAATTTCTCTAAAAAAATTCTCAAATTAATAACCTTTTATTAACGGTGAATTCATTCATTATTAACCTAATTAACAAAAAGAATATTCTCCTTACAACATTTCTAATATATAGGATATTCTAGTTATAATTAGACAGTGTTTAGTGATATATAATTTAACTTTCTTTACTTATTTTTTATGAGTAAATTCACAACGTAACTATTATTATCATATATAACATAATATATGTATTGGGTAAATTTTACTGTTACATAATTGACGGGAATTTCTACTTATTCGTAGGGTACTAAGGTATGTTTCGACTATGATATTTTTTGTAGTATGTTTGTTCATTTAAGTCTTTGAGCTCGGATTATGTGGTAGTGGGCCAGAAGTTTTTGAACTAAAGGTTAGTGTGTGAAAAATGCCAAAAGCCAAAAGCCTTATTTCCTCGCACTTAATGCGGTGTTTATAAGGGGAAGAGGTGACAATTACCGGTATTTATAGGGGAAGAGGGGACAATTACAGGTTTATCAACATGTGTGGCACGTGGACCGCATGCACACGGCAAGGTCGATGCCCAAGCTGGCTCGTCCACGTGTCCAAAGATTCATGATTCAGTTGGGTATACCGCCACCAAGTTCGACTAAGGGAACTAGGCCTTGGGCTCTAAATATTATAGGTTGGGTGCTCGGTCCCGACCTTATGTGGACAGGGCATAGCGATTGATACGACTCTTCGCTCGATCAGTCAGACTGTACTCGATCTAGATTTAGGTCAAGCAGGCGAGCAGTTCAGGTCGGTGATGATTGGATCAGGCTCTACACAAGTATTGGATTCGGTACTGATCAAGTGTAGACTATAGTCCGGTCGAGAATAATTCCTATCAATAATAATTCACAAATCACACATGAAAAATAAATAACATTAAAAAGACCTATGTGACGGGGTCGATCAAATTTCAATATTTATTTTTGTTGATACATAAAAGTATTTCTAAGTAATTACTGTAATATTTAACTAAAAAAAATTAGAACAAAAGTGTATTGGGCTGGGTGGTCCTGCCAAGATCCAGTGGTGGTATCTTCTATAGTTCTAAGATGAGATGGGCCCGAAAGGCATAAAATTTGGAGAGCCCATTTTTAGATGTATCGGGCTAGATAGGCCTAGTTATAGTTTGATGGGCTGTGGTCCTAGGCCTAACCTATTATTGGGAAAGTCAAACCGGTCCATTACTACTATTGGTACCCACTTCATTGTAAGACGCAAATTATGCTGTGGAAACGTGTTCACTATGTGCATGGTGAACACATGGATAGATTCATAATGAGTTATCTGTAATATACACCAAAGATCGTGCAACTGGAAAAGATGCACATATAACAGATGACGTAGTTGAAGAAATACAAACTGAAGAACAAAAGCTACACCGTAGTAGTAGTAACCAACCAAACATTGGAATACAGTTCCCAATGTCTATTCCTTAAGCGAACCAAACAACATAATACAATTCTTATTCTATTTCCTTACATATTCCATTCCTATCCCCTCCAAATTTATTCTGTGAACCAAACGTGCCTTAAAAGTTATAGCTAGTAACAAATATCAACTTTATTTTTTTATATTTACGTAATGATCAACACCATATTTTGATTAAAAAAAATACTGAACTTGACTCTAAAAATCACCACCCAACACGTCAAACTCAATCAATCCAAACAATAAAGTCAATAAAAACCTTATATTATTTTGTGCGTAATTAATATTTGAAATCAAAGGTGACGATGATGGCTTGCCGCGTCTCCGTCGAGACAACTAACGATAACGATGAAGTGGACGGTAGTGACTGCGATATTTGTGACGAAATAGAATTCTAAGTTCTAACACGCAAATAATGTAGCAATGTCGTCGCAAATGAAACTGACAAAAAGGATGTCGTAAGTGCTTCCATCAACGAAACCAAGTCCAATAATAATCCAATAATACAAAAATGTATCATGTATGTATGTGAAGGTCCACTCAATTGCCAACTTCAATTTGATCATCAAATTTCACCAAATGTACATAATTGACTCTAAATAAGTAAATAACCACTTTTGACTTTGCTAGAAAACTAAAAATGCAATCTCAAAATGGTCAAGTAGTATAATATGATTTTTATACTTAAAAGGTCACATGTTTAAATGTTGTCAACACTTTTTTTATTGGTTGAACCTGTTACACATGATTTTTTTTGTTATGAACTGTTGTACAAGAGCAATTCACGAGTTCGATTATTGATAACACTATCTTGGTAAAACTCGTCGCACATGATTTTCACAGTGTTGTTTATCTCTTATGTGTAATTTACAGGCTATTACATTAAAGCTAGATTTATCCAGTGCATGCCTATAAGTAGTGGTTGCAAGAACAAAAAAGATTAGTAGGGGAAATAGTATTTTCAAATAAAAAAAAAAACAAACAAAAACAAAAAACAAAACAAAAATGGATATGTAGTTCTTCTCTTTGGCAATTATTGAAAGTTTGGAATTGAATTTTTAAATGAATGAATTGAATAAAATATAATGTGATAGTTTGGTTTGCATACGAGTACTAATACTACACACACATATCTTTGTTTATATCTTAAGGATATTTATGTCATTCAAATATTTATTACTACATTTCTATTCCTTCAACCAATTAAATATTCTAATACAATTCATGAAATTTATTCATTTAGTGAATCAAATAATGTAATACAATTTATATTTTATTATTTATCTATTCTATTATCTATAGAATAACATTACTATTCCTTTAAAAATCAATTCCGTGAACCAAACATGCTTAATGATTGTTATTATGAGCGGAACTAAAGTAACAATGGAAAGAGGAAAAACTCTTATATCTAAGATAATAGTTATACAAGTTTCCAAGCAAATTGCAGGTGTTTATTAATTATAGAATCGTCGATCTCCTTTATTGCTTATTGGTAGCCATTGATACTCGAGTTGGGCATTGTCCCATTCCTTGTACCAATGAGGGCTTTATATTGTTATATGGCTACATCTTCCTATTCCACTTTCTTTATGCATTGTCATTGTCTGCTATGACTCGTATTTAGGTTGTATTTTTCCATTCTTATTGGGTCACACGTCCTTTTTAATTTGATCACACGTCCTCTCTAATTTGATCAAACGTCCTCTTATTATCTAACACCTAACCAAACTTATGATGCATAGGTAAGCCCTTCGTAGAAGGTGTCAGGCCTCACCCATTAGACGTACCGCTCATCACTAGAGTTCATGATAGCCCAAGACAGGATATGAGTTGAATGCATATGGCTGGGTGACTACGTTTTTGTTTTGGTTCCGAACCACCGGTTTGATTTTTTTTTTTTTTTTTTTTTTGGTAATTCATATTTTCTATTTTTAAAATAGTCAAAATTCACTAATTACTATTTTTATTTTTTATTTTTTCTTTTTGAACTTTTTAAAACAATAGTTATATCAAATATTTAAACTTTTTCTAAGTACTATTAACTTTGTTACAATGCAGTATTTGTTCATAACTACTTTCTTAATTTACTGAAACAACTTTTCATATGTGAGAGCAACTTGGTGCCACTTGACCACAAGATCATGACAATATTTAAATTTTAAAATTAAACTAAAAAAATAAAAAATAATTTTGGACTTAAACTTAATTTTACTAAGATTAAATAACAAAAATATACATTTCGAAAGCATAAATAATATTTTTCAGTTTCCATATTCAAAAAAATATTCAAATTCATTTTCAGTATCCCCGCCGTCTCCCCCCCACCCACCCACCCAAAACATAAAAATAAAAATTGTGGGACCCAGTTATGACACGCTGTACATCACGCGTGTGCTTAAAATGCTACTATGCTGGCTTATATTTAAAATAAATTTCTTATTTTTCGTGGCTGTACATCACGCGTGTGTTTATAAATAAATTTCTTATTTCTCTCTCACTTGCATTTATTAAAATAAAAACCTATCGACTTTCAAGTTTCAACGCTGAACTAATAATTTTAAATAATTTTCTAAAAAAATGTCATTTTTCGGCGATCTACGTCATACACCTGCCGCCACGAAACCACCCGGGATAGTCACCGCGAGTGGTGGCGCTGATCCTAGGGTTCCTCTGCTCAACCTCTCCGCCGTGCGAGAGCGGGTGGACTCCCTGCACAAGTTCCTCTGCGACTCGGTTAACAGCAACACTCTTCTCGGCAAGCACGAGACGGACAGGGTCTCAGCCGAGATCACCGCCGCCATCCACCAGATTATCGTCAACGGCGTTGCGCTTCTCGCCACCACTCAAGCGGCGGACGGAACTGATTCCAAATGCTCTAACCAAACGTCACCTAGTAAGCTACTGTGTTCGGAAACTGGTCTCCTTGCGCCGAAGGAGCGTGCCGGCGGCGAGGATTCCGAGATCATCGAGCTGGACGCGGTGGAGCTGCTGGCGGAGCATATTCATTTCTGCGAGATATGCGGAAAAGGATTCAAGCGAGACGCGAATCTCCGGATGCACATGCGAGCTCACGGGAACCAATTCAAGACGCCGGAGGCATTAGCGAAGCCGCCGGAAAAATGCTCCGAAACGATCCCGGGTCGACCCGCACTGTTCTCCTGCCCGTTCCCAGGTTGTTCACGCAACAAATCGCACAACAAATTCCGGCCCCTCAAGTCCGCAATCTGCGTGAAGAATCACTTCAAGAGAAGCCATTGCCCGAAGATGTACTCCTGTAACAGGTGCAACAAGAAGAGCTTCTCAGTAATGGCGGATTTGAAGAGCCATATGAAGCACTGCGGAATATCCAAATGGAAATGCTCGTGCAGAACCAGTTTTTCACGCAAGGATAAACTGTTCAGCCACATAGCCTTATTCGAGGGCCACATGCCCACAGTCGAGGAAGCGGCGGACATGGCAGCGCCGCCGGCGCGTGAGGTAGAGGAGGGTATAGCAAACAAGGATACAGAAATGGCTGAGAATTCTCAGACAGATAACAGTTTATTGGACAGATTGCTCGATGACTTCAATTCAATTGAGAATTTCTGCTTCCAAGATCCTTTGTTCTCTGCATCTCCTATGATGGATAATTTCTTTAGCTTTTGATTTTGCAGGAGCATCTCTATATGATCTCCATTAATATGAATCTTTGTTAAGTGTACATATTAATTGGTTCTGTTAATAAAATGGTGTTCTTTGTCAGATGGTATCCAAATGTTAGATTGCTGCTTTTTAGGTGCTAACTTAGTTTCTGTGGAGAGTTTGTTCTTGTGATGAGTTTTGCTTCCAGATTGCAGCTTTTCAGTTGTTAGTTTAATGGCAATCAAATTAGTAAAACTATACTTCTCAATAGTGCTCGGAATAATCCCAGATCAATCTTGAATCAGTTTAAAGTTCTAGATTCTCCATATTTTGTTTGTTTGTTTGAGAAATGAGAAAAAAAAAAGGTGGTGGTAGGGGTGCTGGTGGTCAGGTGGTCGGCCATGACTAGTCGGTCGAGCTGTGGGGGGGACCTGGAGTGTGGCTGTTTTGAGTGAAAAACTGAAAAGGAGGTGGTGACAAGGATGCATTCGAGAGGGCACTTCTCTAGCTCTAATTGAGAGAACGTCACATGATTAAACTGGGTATAGAATACATATTACCTTGTAATAGAGTCAGTAGAACTTAGAAAAAAATAAAAATACGGAGTAATAAACTAATCAACCATCCGAAGGTCGCAAAACCAACAAAGGTAAATTACATTTTTAGTTTTTGATTATAGGGGTTTAAGAGACTCAATTAAGTGACCTTTTCCCCCTTGCATCAAAACTATTAGAGATTCATTTTGTTGGTTTTACGGGCTGTTGGGTAGCCGGACGACGGGTCAATACTATCCTAAAATAATAAAGAAAAGTTGAAAGAGAATTTTGACAGAGTAATTGTGCTTGTATTGAATTCAGAACCCTTTACAATGTGACCCCGAGTGTATTTATACAAGATTATGAGCCTTAAAAAAGAAAAGGAAGAAGACATTAATAAATTTGAACTTAAGAAAATTTCTATACTTGTGTGCAAACTTTCTAATATTGAAAAAGGAAACTCCCCCGCTAAAACTGGGAAGAATCTTTGCCAAATCTTTATTAACAGCCTCTGAGCGTGGCACCCGATCGAAACCCATATGATTGCCTGCGGACCTGCGATGGCCACTCAAACGGGCCCATTAGTGAGTTGCCCACCTCGGTCAGGCTGGGCAGTTGAAATCCATTCATCCATTAACGGTATTAATCATACCCCAATCTCCTAACCGCCTAGGGGTATACCTGACTCGGTACTCGACTAAGGGTATCCATCGCATTTCAATCTTCCACTAGACTAATAATTGGAGGACTAATATTGAAAGTGTCAATAAATGAAGAATTGGATCCATTGTCCCTAAAAATTTTTAATTTTTATTTGTATTCACCAAAAATCACCATTTTTCTTAACAAAAATGTACACTATTACTACTATTACTACTTTTTTTTTTTTTTTTTCTTTCTTTTCTCCCTCCGGCTGCTACATTGCTAGCTTGACCAAAAAAAAAAAAAGTACAACCAATAATCATGCTCTTACAGGTTTCAACTTATTTAAAGTAGTGAGAACCATCAACCATCATCCTCGGTGCATAATGCATCCACTTGTCCATAATAATTCTAAAAAAACATTATGGAAGTTTTTGCAAGTTGTGCCTAGCACTTGCAGGATGATTCTGACTAATGAACAACTGGGGTGCATCTTCTTGACTAGACCTTACATAGGTCCCTGCTTGTTGGATGAAAAAAATCAGTGATTGCACTCCACTTTTTGTTTGTAGTCTTAACATCAAATATCACACCAATAACATGTGTTGAAATATTAGTAGTTGGCATAATCTAATTGGAAAATACTACTTCGACTCCTAACTTTTACTCTCACACAAAATTTTGATGTTTGACATTTTATTTGGAATCCACAGGATGAAGATAACTAATCATCAATTGTCATATCAGAGAGTAGAAATATGGAGTACATGTATTAAAACTCAATCTAATTGGTCCAATCTAATAAATATGATGTTTTAACTTCAAGGGTCCATCATCACTCGTATCCTTAATAGAATTTCACATGAACTTTGGTCAATTAATTAGAATAATCACGCATTGGGCATTGATGAAACGGTACACCTAATTTACAATATATATATATATATATATATATATATATATATATATATATATATATATATATATATATATATATATATATATATATATATATATATTCAACACATATAAGAAACTATGTCCATTATCACGGTCTTTTTGAGAAATGAGGATTTGATTATGTTTTTGAAGGTGCATTGCACCGAGGCACTAAAATTGCAGTGAAACACACAAGGGGATTAGATCAAATCAAGAATTCATGTTTGACAGAAGTGAGAGAAAGCATAGATCACGTGTGTGGTAATTGGTTTTAAAATAAGGGGAGAAGATCAGATCATGATAATGAATACTCCGTATTAGTTAACTGCAAAAGGTGCGTCATCTTTAGCTTTTGCTTTTTACTTCTAAGGTGCGTTTTGTTTTTGTTTTTAAATTTTTATTGATTTGAGTCGTTGATCTAGATTTGATCAACGGCTCATATGTAACCGCATGTTCGCACCTGATCACACCCACACCCACATTTTACTACGTATTATATAGTTTTGTTACTCTATGATGTACCCAAAAAATAAATATATAATTACATTATGATTTATAAATATTACGGAGTAGTTAAAAGATCTCATTTCAACCCTTAGATTGGTAATTGAGTGAGTGAAGTATGATTAATGTACATAAATATTACGATTTCAATTATTGTCAACATTTTCTCAATTGAACTTGTGACACGTGATCTTCTTAGTGCAATTGGCCTCTTCAACTGAAATGATTTTTTTTTTAATTTTTTATTTTGAAACAACTGAAGTGAGATTTACTCAGTGCTTTCTCTCCTAACCCCCCAAAAAAAAACAAAAAAACAAAACAAAACAAAAAATTTTAATTTCGCATTTAGAAATGGCCTAAAATTACAGAATAGAAAGTAAATCAAAATTCAAACCTGGTATACAGCCCATCAACGCAATGGGTTTGGATAATCCATCGGGCTATATTCTGGCGTTCAACCATACTGTGAAAGGAAGCTCCGTATCGTCTTCGCCATGGTCTGATTTGCAGAGAATGGAAGGAGGGAGTAGCAGTATAGCGACCGGGAGATACAGATACGTACACGATGTTAGTAAGGGTTCGCCGGAAGCCATAGATGTCCACCATGTCATGCTTCAAACAAATGCTTCATCAAAGGCTTCGATTCTACTCTTCTTTCTTCTTCCCTGCTCGCTACTCCTGCAGGTAGATACACACTTCTATTAATTTCATCAAATTTACTGTTCCTGCTTAATTGCGCTTAAGTTGTTAATTAGTCTCTGCTTAATTGTGCTTGTAGGGTTAAAACGATTGTGGTTTATTGTGTCCTATTGATTTTGCATATATTTGATTGCTTATAATTGTGTTACCTATGCAAAGTATTTTGCATCCTAAAAGTTAAAGGCTGTTGAACACTTGAACATCTTGAGAATGTAATCACAAATGTTGTGTCTGAGGTGATGCATATGTGTGTGTGACAGCAGGCGAGGTCGATTGGTGTTCTTATTTGGAGCTTGACTGTAATGGCGGTAGTTGCCAGGATGTATCTAAGGCGGGTTGTGAGAGGTGAGGAGATAAATCTTTGAATTTGATACAGTTTCCTTTTTGGGTTTGGGGATAATACGCAATTTGTCTTTATAGTGTATTTTACTTCCTTGTACTTGTTTTTCTCAGCATTGATTGGTTATGAACTATGGAGGGTTAAATGTGAATATGTGATGTCAAGTCTCTTAACCTAAGTGTAGTTGCAATTCTAATTGGCGTACCTTTCAAATAGTTGTGAATCCATGATTGCACTTCAATTTAAACTTCGCTTGGCAATTTTTGAAAGCAATTGTGTGTTCTTGTTCTGCTGGTTGAAAATATGTTGATAGTTTCCATAAGAAGTGAATAGGCTATGGGGGCTTACATATCATGTATTCAATATTCATATGCATTTGACACGAAAAGGATTCTTGTAGTCATTGGAATCTCTTGGTTGCCATCTTTTTTAGTATAATTTTTCCTCATGTTCTGGTTTCACATTTGTAATAACAGAGTCTGTAATAATTTTGCCTGGTTTTGGAGTTCAGCTTGAGACTCAATACCGAAGGTACTTTCTGGTTCTATCATGAATATGAAACCTCTCGTTTTGTGTTGGTTGAGCACGTTTTCTGTCAAGGTATCATAGTAAATTTTTCTTGTACTCAATATAGTTAAATGGTAATGGCTGATTCAGTACTTCTATAACAGTGGGAGAATCATTCATCGCTTTGTTCCTTCCAGCATGATCTTGAAACCGGTCCTGAATGAATGTGTGACCCCTGTTACTTGTTACTGGAGCCTGTCTCTGATCATTCATGGAGAAGAGCAGCTTCTTGTCGTTTTCAAGGTAAAACATTTCTGATCTTTCACATATCCTAGTGAAAGTTCACCTGCGACCCTTACCTGTCAATATGAAGAAGAGAAAAACAGATCCTCTGCAATATGAGTTGCACTTACTGTACTTTGAATTCAATTCACAGGAATTACACCCTCCGGTTAAAACTTTGGTTCCCATCTGGAAGGCTTTATGTGCTTCCATTGAATGTGGAACACATACATGAATGATATCTCTCCATGCTGATTTAGTGATTTGTACACTACGGCTAACAGATTCTTTGATACAAGAAAGAAGTCCCTGTGGATAGCTTCTGTTTTAAAGCAACAGTGTGAAGAGAACTCAACTTTAGTGATTCTTTTGTAACCACAACTAGGTTATATCACATGCTATTTTTTTTCTATACTATATCTATGCTATGTATGCTTCTGTTGTCCACTCAACAAGGGAGGGGGGAGTAGAAACTAGAAAGCCTCAATGGGCAGTTGTTTTCGACGGGTAAATCCAGATAGAACAGCCCAGGTTTCATGGCTCCGATAATCAACCAACTCCCAATTGAGTGAGTGATCTGCAGTTGAATAGAGACAGCTTTTCGTTTGATGATCATTAATGTGTAGCAGAGCTCAATCGCTGTGCAGTCCGCTGTAAACTAATTTCATGACGACGCAAACCATGCCATGACTCACATGAACTGCTGCTCCACGATGTAATCTTTGCTATCTGCTCGCTTAAGGCATCCAGATTGACAAGTGGGACAGTTGTTGGTCGACCATGAGCACACTGAGGCACAAACTTGGCAGTGTTAGGAAATCAGATGTGTTATTACTATGCTGAATAGTGCTTTCAAAGGCCCGTTTTCTATAGATTTCATCGAACTGAGATTTCATCTTTTACTCACTTGAAAACATAATGAAGTCTGCTTTAGCTCTTCAACAATGAGGGAGCACTCTGAAGGCAATAAAGCGTCTCCAAACATAATTGCACCTGCATTTGGGATAACAATTATTATACCATAGTTCACCTTGCAATGTAAACCACTAATATACAAGTTCATTTTTAGCATACTAATGTACTAATTTTGAAAGTTCAATTTTTAGATATTACCTAAAATATGAACAATTAGTATGCTAAAATTGAACATTTATCAGTGATCCACATTATAATTTACTGAAACGAAATGACTCAAATTGTTTAAAGATTGGTTCATAATCTCTTCTGCTCATTAGCCCCTTATCCATTTTGGTTTTAAAATTTAAGCAGACAATACCCCTGCAAGCTTTGTTATTCAGAACCCTATGCACTGATGGCGGTACTGTCGATGATCCATCTGTATCAGCAAGCTGCACACCACAATGGAGATGAATCAAATATATTCAAAGAGAAGAACAATGTAGCCCCTAAACAAGAATGAACATGCTCCTAACAAAATGCAAGAGCTGCCAGCTGGTGAACAAACCTGCTGAAGAAATTCTAACAGATCCACATCGGACAAATTAACACCTAAAATACATGGTACCTGTATTTTACAAAAGAACAAACAGATTCATTTAACACAGCCACCACCATTATTCCACAAAAAGTAACTATCCAATAAAAAATGGCATGAACCACATGACACAATTAGGGGAAATTGGAACCCCATATTTGTCAAAAAGCGGGTATTATAATTAACAAATGAGATGTAAATTGGAACACCATGAATTGATGCTTCATGATTAAATATTCGCAACTGCCCTAGAATTAATAACATATTTAAGCTTGTGCCTTCTTCAGAAAAGATCCAACAAAAAGTAAAAAAGAAAGCTTGACTATGCAGTGCCAAAGATTCCAAAAAATTTTAAGCCTGACTACGTCTATAGAGCACCCTACCACCTTTTTAATAATATTAATGAGGATATAAAAGAATACAAATCTATGTGCAAATGGGAAATACACAAGCTACCAAGAGTTTATTGTTAAACCAGGTAACCAGCCCCAGTCCCTCTAAACAATCAATGGAACATAAAAATAGAAACAAAAGGTGATGTATGAGATCTTGTTCAGTCAGACATTTAATTAGTAATATGGAAGAGGAAGCTCATTGGATTAAAAAAATGCAAGTGTACCGCAAGAAGTGTGGCAATAGCCTGCTGCTTATGCATAATATTCAGATCCCTGCAGGGGAAAGAAGATAAGAGGTAACAAAGAAAATATCACACCTAATACATTATTAGTAATACTAGATATTGAGGAATATTCTGAATAGGGACTAAAAGGAGACATTTAACATTTTAACTTAAATGCAACTTCCTTTTAATGATATAATGTCATAAACACAATTTACACAATAAAACAAACAAATCAGATGGGTACTTGTTGACCCCAGATCCAGGAAGCCAAGAACTACCTTGTAAAAGATCTTGAACCCTGACTATGAACATTGCAGATCCAACCCCAATTTTGAATTTGTTCAGCATAATCATGTAGCAATTGAAAGCCAATTTCAGGCATGACCTGTCATTTTACATTCAAAACAATTTTATTAAATATCCTATTATATGGCTTCAAAAATCCATGTCAAACTTGTGGGAACCACAACTTATAAATGCAACTACCAGTTCTTGCTCACTATCAAGATAGTTTGTTCTCCTCAGTTCTCCAGATAGGACCTATAGAGTTTTGCTTGTAAGTCAGTGAAAATGTCACATTAAATAGTTCAAATATAACATCAATACCTTCCGTCGCAGTTCTTCAAGACGAATCCTCTCATCTGCAGCGTGCTGTAGAAAATACCAAAATTGCACAACTAAATTACAGTGATACTAAACAAACTAAAAGTGTCACTATCACTCCTTGTGCATGTAAAATAGTTAAAAATTCTGCATGCCAATATGGGAGATCTTAAAATGCACCAAAAATGTTACAATGTTGTGGCTTAAAAAAATGTTAGTGTGTCTTGAGAATCACAACCAGAGGACTGAAAGCAAGGAAAAACTAACACTAGGAAGATATGTAAAAACCAAATGTGCATGAGTGAGATCCTCAAAGAAAAAGGCCAGAAGTCATTGAAAAGCATCTTGCACACCTGGTCAATCAAAGCAAGTGTTCTGGTGGCCACAATGGGAATAAATTTCTTATCAACTTGTTGGAGAACTTTGGCATTCTCCAAGCAGTTTTTGTCCAAGGAACGAGGGATTAATGAATCTCCAGCAAGGTGCAAGATGCCAGAAGCTATATCAAGTATAGCATCCTGATTCTTAGGATGAAGTAATCTACTTCCACTCTGTGTAATGGAGATATTATGTTACAAAATCCATAACTGAAACAGTGCACATTATGATACATAATGGTAATGCAGAAAATCATAGTGAAATTTATAAGGGACAGAACTGTAAGATGCGGATGGCTGTTCTGCCATTTTTCTCCAGAATCTAGAGGATCTTGAATCTCCTTTGGTATGAACTCTGAAAGTGATATGTAACTTGGATTAGTTGTATACTACTGAAGAATCAAAAGAAAATATCACACACTTTTCCAGAGAGTAAATATATAAAAGGTGCCTGGAAAATATATAATGTGCCCCTCTAGGAAATGAAAATAGTATGATCTTCACAGCTAAGAATAAAAGCTTCACCTTCAAAGGAATCCATGCTGCATTTGTTGTTGCATTTCCCCTTATCACTTTTCAAGATCCTCACATCGGGTCTGGAATGAAAAATAAGAATAAAAACACAAGTCCAGTGTTATGGCAACATGGAGTTGCATAGTTGATCCAAAACTGTTCAAATAAGATGCAAAAAAACATTTAAAAGAAACTATTACATGTCATCTGAGAATGAACTATTCACACCGTTTACTTCTGAAGGGTGCTGTATTTGCTTCATGTTGTTTGATCCTGCACATCAATGATGGTAATTAGTGTTGGAATCATTCATTTCTACATTGATGACTACAAATTTACCTGGAAAACCAGGGCAATGATGGATGGTCTGCAGATTAACCTTTCCTGTTGTCATTGTCAAGGAATCACTCAAGGCAAGGAACTTCTTCCTGCCTCTGTAAAATGGAGGAGCTGAATTGCTTCTTCTACCTCTCCTATAGGGATCAAACATTTTACTTAGATTTCTAGGATGGACCCTTGTGCATGAGTCACAATCAAAACCAATGGAAGAGGCGTGGTGCCTTGAAGTAGAGCAATTTGTAATACCATCTTCACCCCAAGTGTTTATGCAATCAGTAAAAATATTGAAACTATTTGGAGAGAAAGCATCCTTCAGATTATGATCTTGGAAGTCAGTACTTATTTCCATTGGAAAGAAAGGATCATACAGATCATGTTCTTGGAAGTCACTACTGTTCTCCTTGAAACCAGCACAATCCTTGACATCAGAGGAAAGTGTCTTAGAGCTTGAAAAGAAGCACTCCTCTTTTCCTGGATCAATTGAGATTTTGTCGATGTCATATCTCCAATTCTTTCTTTCTTTGTTGGCCAAATAATCATATCTCACATTACCATTATACTCAGGAGAATTTGCAACCAAATCTTCACTAATGGTGTGAGCTATGTTTTTAAATGGTATCCCAGTCAAATAATTTGATGGCACAGGAGATGAAATGCAACTATCAGAATGAAGGCAAGAAGTAGATCTTTGAAATGGCTTGACGAAGTCAGGTAAAAATAACCCCTCTTCATATGAGAGCTCAGGGTTCAATGATGAATTTACTGAATCTCCAAGCAACAAATTTAGCCGGTGTTGTACATCATGTTGTATAGTAGTCTTGGAAAACCTCAGAACATCTGTTTGTTCATTGTCCCATACATTCCTTGGACTCATAATTTTGTTAATATTATTGACTTCTTCAACAACCCTATCATTAGCTCTAAATGCATTTTGCTTGGAGTGATCTTCAATTTTAAACTCAAGTCCTTCATCAGAAGCAAGAGATGTTTCACCAGGTTCCAGTCTTCTGTGTAAAAAACAACTCTGAAGAAAGGGTTTTCTTACATCCTCGTAAACACCTGAATTGTCATCAAGTTCAGGAGAATTATTAAATTTCATATGGTCTTTAAGTAACCTATTTGTGCCAGCATCAATCTTGGGAGATTCACTCTTCCATCCGGAACTAAAAGTATAGTTCAATTGTTTGTTGGATCTATTTAGACCAAGAAGATCATTGTCCCCATGAGAGAACACATTATGGGGCAATGGAGATAGATCACTGCTGCATTCAAGGCTTATTACTACTCCGCAATGTGATGGAGATTTATTCTCTCTGCTGGGGTGGAAATTATTGCACTCTTCAGTTACCTTCTTTGATTGTGGAGAAGTTCCCTGAGAACCCATAGAATTCAAGGCCCTACGCCTCTTTTTCCCAATTTCACATTTCACAGACAAATCTGAGAAGAGCAGTGCAAAGGAAGGAATTAGGAGAAAAATACTTCCAGCCTATGTTAAACAAAACCACAGACAACCATAATATTTTCCTAAGCTTTATTGTGAAGGTGTATGTAAAGTCTCCCCACGTTGGCTTGGATGTATTGAAGTTTTGAAGCCAGATTATGATAAGACCACTAAACCAATTGTTAAGCCTTAGAGAAATGTTAGTTCGAATCCTCTTAATGCATGTGAAATAGATTTTTTTAACTGAAATATGCATGTCTTTGACTGGCACATGAGATATCAAAATAAAAACTACAACAATAATAATCATGATATGAAAACAAAATGTAAAGGGGTCAAAATATAAAATATTTAAATACCACATAAAATAAAAATAAAGGGGTGCTGGATGATATATTAATTATTGCTATTGTCTCTTACCAGCAGATTTACTTCCACTCCAGAGACATCCAACAGCATCCCCAATGAAAGTAAGCACAGAGTCCCAATCCTTCAATACAAGTATATATAAGAAAAGAAACAAATGTGTATTAAAGGTGAGACCAATATTGGTAATTGGTAAACATTTTTAATTTTATTTTACTCTTCTAGATTATTTTGAATGTTAGTTTTTGTGCATTCAGATTCTTGAAGTGCAAGCCTGCTTTTGTGTTGAAGACACTGAAGATTCAAGAATGAGGTGGAGAAAATTGAATGAAACAGAAATGAACGAGAAAAGGAGTGTGTTTTCCTTCCAAGAAAGCATAGGAAAATTATTCAATTTTAAAGATATCACCATGTATATACATATATGCGAACACAAAATTCAGGACATAGATAGAGAACAGTCAAAGTGATGACAGGGAAAAGGTAATTCTTAATGATTCGTAATTATTTACAACAAACATGCATTTTCTCACGATTGGCAAATAAAATTTTACCTTAAACTCCACAGAGGTCTTTGATGGTTCAAATGTCAGATCATAGCAAGATTTTGGGCAGTTTAGGTTCAAAATGAATGCTGGACATATCTGGGGTCTACTCTGCTTCTCACTTTGGGAACCAATGTTAAAGCTTGCTGCCAAATTATTTAGCATTTTATGTATTGGTCCTTTACAAATAAATCTTGAATTGATATCTGCATTAGTGGAAGTCAATAAAAACAAACAGAAAATTTAGCTGTCTAAAAACAGTCTTTGCCCACCAGGAACCGTACATATAGAAAGGGATACAGACATATTGAAAGGCCTGCAAATTAAGCAAAAATTAATTAGAGAAAGATATGGAAAACTAGAAACCACAACCAACATACTGTATGTTTACCAAACCACTATACCTTCCATGAAAAACTATCAGGGGTGCCAGAAATATACCCAGAAAGCTTGAATCCATCACCAGCAACATTCAATTCTTCAAGAGAACTGGAAGCCTCAATCCCAAAAACTTTTGCTAGTAGTGGCAATGAAGAAGGAAAGGGACGTGTGTGGAGCAGCTCTTCTTCACTGCATACCAATAAATAGATGAAAAACATAAACAGAGAGGAAGTATCTATGAGTTAGCAGGTAGCAGGTGAAGCGAGGGAAGACCTTTCAATATCAACTACTTTGAAAGAGACATTGGGATGAAGAAGTGCAATTCTTAGCACACACTCTTTAACTACGTGTATGACTTTCTTTGGGCTGCCAATTTAGATATGAAAATTACAACCATATCAAGTTAGTCTACAGCTGTAGAAGAACATTAATCATTCCACAAAGTAAGAAATTTGGTCAAAAGTAAGACTGGTACTTGGATAGCATATGCTTCCTTCGGACTGGTTGGTTGTAAAATAAATCACGCACGGTGACTGAAACAAGTATACAGTCAATAAACTTTTTCGTTAAGAAAACAAATTAATTACATTGTCAATGGAAAAGGTTAGACAAGTTTACCTGTTGTGCCTACATCGTGTCTATCATCACTAATTCCAAGATACAAACACTTGTGGCCCTGTGAAAATTACAAAGATATGAGGGCAGCAGTTACATGTAACAAAATTCATATTAACTGAAATAAGTTTAGAATACCTACCTTCAAAACCTTGCGATATCCATTTGGCCTCCCATGAGCTTTTGTAACAATTTCCACCAAAGAGACAGCAGTAATGGAGCTTAAAGCCTCCCCACGGTAGCCAAAGCTTAAAGGAACGGAGTTCATATCATCCAAGGGGTCGTATTTTGATGTTGCTGGTACATCAATAGTATGTGTATCAATTATAAGAAAAATTCAATTATGCTCCTAGAGACTGAAAGTTATAACCAGTTTTCTGAAATGTATTAGAAAAATAGAAAAACCTAAAAGTTTGTGCCGAGGATATAACCTACATTTTTTAATTGATTGGCCTCGTCCAAAATGATGTGAATTCATAAGTTTGAAAATATAATTATCAGTGACATGCTGGCCATGAATCAGCAAACAGCTACTGTATCATCAATATGATCGTTGTATATGAAGAATGACACTGGAGGGCAAAACAAAAGCAAAATATCTAAAAAATGTCAAACACCCTTACCATATTTTTCTCCCAGCAGCTCCAACCCATCTCGGGAAACACCATATCCTACAACAGTTTATATTTGAAAAATGATGTCAGAAACAACAAGTTGAACTTTTACAAAATGTTTGAAGAAACATATTCATAGACATACATACATACAAATGTATGTAAATATAGACCCCCATGCCCCTCTCAAAAAAAAAAAAAAAAAAAAACAGTCTAGCACATACGGACTAACGGACATACCATTGTCCACCACTGTAACATAGCAGGTCCCAACACCCACAGCAACGGAAACCTGGCAGATCAACTGGGATTAAGCCAGGTGCACTAAAACAAAATCAAATATGAATGATTAAATAAATAAAGCATACAAGTATTAGAATCAGCTGTTCTCCAATTTGAGAAAGTTACATGCTGAATTCTAGAACATAAATTACAATAACATGTACACTGGAAATATCAAATATGCCAGTAAGTTATCTCACAAATTGCAATTAGTTCCCAATATCAGAACAAAAAACTTCCAACTTAATGGAAAAATGTGTAACTTGGACAAAAATCACAAACTACAGGGTAGAGGGACCTCGAGTAATCCCTATACAGAACATCGCAACAGCATTTCTCTAGTTTTTTAATAGTCAAAGACACTGTTTTGCAACCTATTATAAATCACAAATATTCACAGTTTTGGAATATTAAACATATCTTTCATCCGAGTTCATTAAGTTCGAGGACATTTACATACAGCATTCCAATTTTGCTGCCCCAAAAAATGTAATATACTTACCTTGTTAGCACCAGCATCGAGGCTGTTATACACCAACTCCTCCACGACCCTTGTCAAGTCATACAGGACGACTCCAGAACGGATCGAGCTGTGAACAGCCTCCGGCAACTTCGCAATGCTCCTCATCTGCACAAAACAGACATTTAATCATACACCGAAGCAAAAGGAGGATGCTACATGTAGAAAACGAGTGATGCACATACGGAGAATGGAAATTGATATCATTGGCCAACTAAATACTCTCAGAAACGAGAGATAACGGAAAAGGAACGCCGGGGAAATTGAATTAGGGTTTATCGTTTCAATCGGACACGGAAGATTAATTGGGAATTTTTCGCGACTGAAGTGTTCTAGAGTGCGCTTGCTTCGGTGAGAATTCGAAAGTAGGAAGAAGGCGGCAGTCTCAGATATGGCGCCCAACTTATATGTCTCTGCGATCAGAGACTCGCACGTGGAACAAAGCATAATTACCATAATATCCTCCGTTTTGTTTTTGTTTGTGTGTGCGCGCTTTTTTGGTTGAAAAAAAGACAAATAAAAAGGACCCACCGGTACTCGATTGCTCCCCTATGTGAGAGGTAGATGATTCAAGCTTTAGTGGAGGTGATTATGGTGTCATTTGATGTAATAGGTTGGAGTTATTTGCACTTTTAGTCCCACGATTATAGTGGCACTGGCAGAATTGATCCACGACTTTTGAACCTTGCAATTTTAGTCCACGACTATTGATTTTTTTGCAAAAATAGTCCTTCCGGCCACTTTTTCGTCAAAATTTTACCGAAAAAAAAAATTCTCTATTTTTAGCTGGGTTAAAATTGACATTTTACTTATCTCAAAAAATTAAAAGAAAAAAATTGATATTTAACTACATACAATATTACTAGGCTACATACTGCTGGCCCAAGCGGCGGAGTACATGTACCACTCCAATGCTGCTGTCGGATAACCCAACTAGCCCGGGGAACGCCACGGCCGCTCCGCCTCTTACTGACAGCCCTGCCTGCTCCAGGAACTCCGCCGCCTGGGGCAGTAGTATGTAGCCCAGTAATATTGTATGTAGTCAAATATCAATTTTTTTCTTTTAATTTTTTTAGATAAGTAAAATGTCAATTTTAACCCGGCTAAAAATGGAGAATTTTTTTTTTCCGGTAAAATTTTGACGGAAAAGTGGCCGGAAGGACCATTTTTGCAAAAAAATCAATAGTCGTGGACTGAAATTGCAAGGTTCAAAAGTCGTGGATCAATTCTGCCAGTGCCACTATAGTCATGGGACTAAAAGTGCAAAAAACTCTAATAGGTTGTATATGTGGATATCTCCATATAAACCTATAACACGTTATTTTTATACATATGGACTTAATAGTCAATTATCCACTTTTAATAAATATTGATAATGGTCGCTTCTCTTCAAATAAAAGAAGAAGACCATCGGCCTGTGACCTTCTTCTGATCGAGGAAGAATTGAAAAACATACGGAGTAATAATTAAGAGATGAAACTATAATTAACCCTTACAAATTACAATTTACATACAATGTTTGTTGATCATAAATCCACTAACTCTCTATTAATTGCTTTAATCTTGACTTTGGATTCAAAGGGTATTAGGATTAAGCCCATCTAGCACTTGTTTTATTTAAAAATTGAGCAATAAGTTTAATTAAATAATAAGAATGTTGAATCTTTTTTCAATTTAAATCAAGCCAAACTATTTTAGTATATTGTGGTGGATGTATTCATGTACAAGATTTACAAAGAGTTTGTTGTCCCTAATGAAGATTATGGAGGGAGAACATTCATTTCACTTTCTCAATGTTATGTTTCTTGTTTTCGAAAGATTCAACTAGTTTATATTCTTCCCTCCGAAATACCAAACTAGTTTACATACATAATAATGGCAATAAGAAAGACCGAACTAGTTTTATATGTGCATGATAATGTCCTCTTTGTACCTGATACACGAAAACTATCAAGTTAAAGCGTTTTTGCGTTATCCGTTTGTGCTACTTTTCAAGACTATGGTGATTGTTAGAGAGTAAGAAATGCAAATTTAAGGGAGAAAGAAATCCCAATAAAGAACTGCATTTAAGACAACACAAGTAACAACCAAATGATGATAACACACTACAATAAAGCCCAAGCCTCTTAGTAAATAAATGGACTTGGCTGCAAGAATAAAGACACAAAACTATGTGGTAATAATCTACATTTCCACAAGACTATATGTGAAGGAAAGCCAGTTAAGCCTTGACAGCAAAGATCTCCATGAGAGAAGAAAAAGTTCCATAGGATGCAAAACAGATGCCAATAACAATGAGTGCTCCATCACTGGCCAATCCAAAAAGGCCCAGCTCTTCCTTGAACACAATGATGTGAAACAATGAAGGCAACACAAAGCCTAGCAAAATGCACACACTGCTGCCCACGAGGGACAAGAAATCGGCAAAGTTAGGCACCAGGAGAGCCACCAAGCTAACCGAAAGCACCCCGGCCCATCTCAGCCACAGGGAATACCTTCCCTCACAGAACCGTCTTTCCAACACCTCGTAAACCGGGTTCATCATTAGTGGGAACGTGAAGAACAGGTTGATGCATAAGCCAATTTGGACCAAACAGCTAATCAGGCCTTGGCCAAGGTTGGTGGTGATTATGTCTTTGGTTTCATCACCAAAGGCAAAGTAGCCCAAGACCCCAAACCCTCCATACATGAGAGAAATGAGGGCCATTGATAGACCCAAGACCTTCCCAAACTTAGCCTTGTCTCTCATCTCTGATTCTAATGGAAGGACCATTCCAACACCTTCAAAAGCATACACTGCAACCCCAAGACCATAGAAGAACACACTGAACCCACCAAAGGCTTGAAGAACAGGCCTGGTCTGTAGGTACACTAGCACATCCTCCACCATCACCACACCCATGGCTCCCAAGTCCACAACATCAGCAAAGATGCTCAAGGGGGCTAAATGGGTGAGTGTGGGGATTGAATTCAGACCTAATTGGAATGGAAAACAGCCCCATATATACACAACTTTGGGGGGAATCCCCAAGATTTTGGGGTTTGGGTTTGACACAGTAGCATAATTAAAAATGTAGGCTAAAGTGTTTGCTATAAAAATCATGTAGCTGACACAAAAACCAGCTTGGGAGAGAACAATCATGGCATCAACAGCAACCCTCCCAACTCCCCCACACACAGCAAAGCCCAGATCACCAAAAGACGAGATCTTTGAGGCCTTGGGATGGGATTCAAGCTTCCTCCTTGACTTGATTAACAGCATCATACAGTAGTAAGTCAAGGCTGACACAGAGAACACCATGAGAACACCCATCACCCACCCTGTTCTCTTGAAGGTGTAAGGAAGGCCAAGCACACCCGCCCCCACTATTGCTATGAAAACATTGGCAAAGGTCTTGAATGAAGACGACAGGCGCTTGTGATCGGAAAGGAGTGGGGTGTCTTCTCTGGGGATGTGGAGGACATAGGAGGATGAACTCGCTTCATCTTTCTCAAGCCCCATTGTATCCTAATTGGTCGCCCTTAGAAACCCTAGAAACCCAGGAAACCCAATTGAGGCAGCTTCTCTGAATCTCTGAATCGCTGAATCTCTGGATAATTAAGGAATTATGGATCAAGAAAATAAGAAACGCTGTATCAAATAATTCAAATCAACTGATTAACTTTTCGCTATCTTTCTTGATCAAATTTGCTTCAGAAAATGAGCAGAAAGAATGGGATTAGAGAATAATGGCAGGGTGGAAAATAGAGGCGTGATGGTGGGGGTGAAGTGAGGACGCGTGAGGCCATTTTATTGTTGGACGGAGATGGCGCAAGTTGAATGAACATTTGCAACCTCGCAGGAAGCCAAGAGGCGCAAGACTCTTTTATTTTTATTTTTTTAATTTTTTATGCAATTGGAATATAAAACACGACAAAAGAAATTTGGAAAAATGATAAAATTGAAAATGACATGTTGACATTGACCTATAAAAGATGTCTAATTGTTTAGGTATGTTTTTTCATATATTAATATTTTATGTTTATTTGGATAAGAAAATCGTAATCACTATCTAAATATGTGTAACATATCGATTTTATTTGAGATTAAAAGAGTGTTAATAATAAGTAAATTTGTAACATCTAGGTACAATATTTATTTAGGTACATTTTATACTTATTTGGCCTATAATTTATTGTCTTGTAGGGTTTTAATGTTTTATAATGCTTTTTTTTTTTTTATATAATAGCACGTTGGTCCCTCAATTGCTGGACATTTTATAGCTTAGTCCTTTATTTTTAATTTAAATTTACGTGGTTCTTCAATTGTTTATTGTGTATTTGTGTTGTACATCTAATCCATTAAGTTATAAATAAAGTTAATTTAGTCTTTTAATTTTTTGAAATGAAATATGATAAACTTGAAAATTGATGGACTATATTGCCTATTCAAGTATATAGCTATACTTAGAACAATAACATTAGGTTGGTGTGACTAGAAAAAAAGAAAGTGGAAGGCAGAAGGGAAAAAAAAAGTCTTTTAACGCGCCCAACAGGTGCGTCTCAAGTGTGTGTCACGCGCATGTGAGGCGAGACAATTATTTATTGTGGGAAGGTCCTACAAAAAATCATATATTGCAGTATTTATTTTCCTCTCTCTAGCTCCTCTGTTCTTTCTCTTCCACATGTGGCAAAAAGTTGTAAAAATTCACAAAAGTCATAAAGGGGTTGCTCTTAAGATAGTTAAGGGTGAGCCAAAAAAAAAAAAAAAAAAAAAAAAAAAAAAATATATATATATATATATATATATATATATATATATATATATATATATATATATATATATATATATCTACTGAATAATCAATAACCAATGACCGATAATCAAATTGGCCAAAAAATTTTATTTTTGTTTTGTTATTTAGTATGAAGTTACAACTTGTAAACTGACCAAGACGATATAATGCACATCCTTAGCTATACTAAATTTACAACAAAATATATAATTGAGAGACCATATTGACTAACAAAAATGAGAGACTAAATTGTATAAAAATCTATCCTTGAAGAATCAAAAGTGCAATTACCTCATATATTTTTTAAAAAAATATAAAATTTATAATTTTGAATTCAAATATTAATTCTAAGCAAGTACAAGTGGGAATATATTTTAAATTCTTTATTAAAAAGAATATTTTATTTCTTATAAAGTTGGTACGATAAAAAACAAAACAAAATACGAGAGAGAAAAAGAATTGTCTTTGTGATCTTTTAGGTAGATGGCCAAGAATGAGTTGTGTTGAAAATGACATAAATTGGGAAAATATTATTATGAATTTGTATTATATTCATTCATTTAGTATTTTCATAAACTAAACTACATGCCCCCCAAAAAATACCATTATACTTGCCTTTTATCACAAAAGATAGTAAATAAACAAATTTTGGTCTAAATTTTGATATTGTAATTATAATTTTTGTTTAAACAAATTTAAAAAATTAAAAAATTATAATTATAAACAAATTTTGTAATTATAATTTTGGTTTAAACAAATTAACAAAATTATAATTAATGATATTGTATATTTTGAAAAAGGATGTATTACAATGACGGGGAAGGAATTCTCATTCTCACATCGATTATCTAATTTTTGATCCCCGGCCTAATTGAAATGGAAATTGTGGATAATTATGAGTTTGGGAAAAATTATCATTCTTATGTGCAATAAACACGGCCTCACCATCCAATTGTAAAGAGAATAATTTACTAAAATTGAGTATATTGATTCAAAACCATCTCGAGAATTCCAGAAAAGTACATACGGAGTAGTAGTGCACCACAAAAAAATAAAGCACTAATTTGTCCAAATTCAATGTTGGTGAGAAGTCCTTATCCAGGTGGGTCCCTAAAAAAATGACAAAATCTTCAAGAGAAATTAATAAATCATCATCATTACTTTATAGAAACTGCAAATATACTCATATTATATCGGGTCGAGTGGATACTAAATTTAATTTTGAATTAGTTAAAATCTAATGTGACATAATACAGTAATTGTTGTACCAAAAAAGTAGATCGACAAAAAGATATGATCATTCTACAGTAGCACAAAAGAAAAAGAATATTTACGTATCTCTCATAACCTGATAAGTGATAACCACAAAGCAATGGTTGTTAAGTTGCTTTTAAAACAGTAGGGACCGTGCTTTATTACGCGATTTCTGTACTGGAAACATTTGTCTAAAATAGACGCCGAAAATGAGGGGCCCTGTCGAAAATGACAGGAGAAACAATCTTTTTGATCTTATCATCAAATTGCCACCCTCTTAAAAACCTCATCTTCAATATAATCTTCAAGAATTTTATCATTTGCAGGTTGCCCATTCTTCCCTGTGATGTGACACATAGCTACCATGAAATGGATACCTGCTATGTTCAAGTCTAGTTTTCATGGTGGATATTCAGAGTCATGAAACATGTTAATATGAGTGATTCAACTTCCCCCTTGAGAATGGCTCAAATGGATCTAGCAAAACTAGATTTTATCACTTAAATAATATAAATTCATAATACATGGAAATTCTTTCCGGTTTCCAGTGCTTAACCTTGTCAAGCACTGGAATTAATTTCAAATTTCAATGTTCAAAATTAAAAAAATCAATTGCCAAATTCTATGTCAAGCCTAAGGGAATCAACCCAGAAATCAAGTTCAAGGGCTCAAGGCAATCACAAATTTCCAGAAATCAAGAATCAAAAATCAAGTTCAGGCCTTCAAGAATAAAGAATTTCCAGATACAAAGGAGGAGTACCTTTGTCAGTTGGGCCATGGAGCTTCATCTGTTCGCGGTTCGCCACTTGGAGCAGGCAGCCGGAAAGATTAACTCATTCAAGCTTCAAATCAACTCATGACAAGTATAATGGTAAAACTCAGAATGGTCAAGTTTCTATAATGGACTGAAGTTGGTTACCTACCCGCAACAGATTTTGGTCTTCCAACCACCCATTTTCCCGACAGAGACATAGAATCAATGTATTCCACGAAGAAGAGTTGGGAACAATACCTCTTTCCACCATTTGTAGGAAGATAATGAAGGCCTTGTGGAAGTCCCCTTTACTGCAAAACCCTTCAACAAATGGACTGTAACTTTCTATATCAGGAAAGCAACCTCCTCCTCCTCCTCGACCAACCATGTCCTCCAGGAGTCTTGAGGCATTCTGGATTTTACCCTGCCTGCAAAGCCCTCTGATCAAAGAGTTCAAAGTTGAAGCCACTGGGGAGTAGCCATGGCTGACCATCTCGTTCATCAGCTCAAGTGCTTCTCTTATCTGTTCTTTCTGACAGAATGTATGAATCAAAGCTGCATACACTACTGCACTGGGAATGCTGCCTTCGCCGATCATCTGAACATAAATGTTCTTTGCTTCTTCCATGCTTCCGTCTTTGCAGAAACTGAGAATTCTCAAGCTCCGGTCGACAGCTCGGGGAAACAAACTCTCCATTTTCTTTAAAAACTCGAATGCTTCTTCCAGGCGGTTTTCCCTGTAAAGGCCATAGATGATTCCATTATAAGGGCTTATGTGACCTCTGCAGCCCTCTTTACTGTCCTCCATTAAAGCCAAGATCTTCAACCCATCCTGCACCCTCCCAACAGAGGAGAGCCCGCGGATTACAGTATCAAACGTTGCAAAATCCCACTTTATCCCAGCCCTTTGCATCTCATTGAACATGTCAAGAGCCATGTCCAACATACCACACTCACATAAACCAGATATCAAAGCATTATAGGTTTCTGCATTTGGTAGATATCCCTTCATCTCCATCTCCTTCAGAAGACGCTGCCCGGCTTTCAGCTTCCCTAGCCTGCAGTAGCCATTGATCAGTGTGTTATAAGCCACAACATCAATCTCCCCTCCCCTTTCCTCTACTCTTTCCAAGACCTCAACCGCCTCGGGGAGACGCCCTTTCTTGCATAGAACTCCCACCACCTTTGTCACGGTTATCACATCAGGAATGAACCCTTTGCTGAAGCTTTTCTCCAGCATCACCATGGCCTGCACTGAATTATCCTCTTTACAGTAAGCAGAAATCAAAATGTTTAAAGTCACATCACTGGGCTCTGCTATTTCCCTCATCAAACTCCTGGCTCTCCCAACCTTCCCATTCTCACAAAGAGCATGAATCAGTGTATTGTATATCACAATGTTTGGCTTCATTCCCCGGGTCTTCAACACTTGCAGAAGTTTAAATCCGTCGCCAATTCTGTTTGTGGCGCATAACCCCTTCATCAGAATCCCATAAGTGTAATCATCGCCTTCAATGCCGCATCCCATCATTTTCTTCCTATAGAACTCCCTGGCAATATCAATATCTTCCTTAACCAAAACATCAAGAATTGAGTTCATCAGCTTCAAACTCGGCTTCAAATCAAACCTGGATACCAAGTCAAGAACTCTGATCACTTCCCTGATCCTTCTAGCCCGCCCAAGGCCACGGACAATAGTAATGAAAATGCCCTCGTCCGGGGGTAAACAAGTTGAGCTGCGCATTTCGTCGAGCAGTTGATGGACAATCTCGAAATGCCGGAAGAGGCAGAGCTTGTGGATCAAAGCTCGGTAGGTGGACTGGGAGTGAGTGAAATTCGGGAGATTGGATGCCCATCTGAAGGTTTGGAGAGCTTCAAAAGCGGATTTCTGGTCTAGTATTAAACGGGCTATGTTCTCTTGTGTAGGAACTGGACTTGTTACAACTGGAATTGATTGACTGGAAATGAATCTTCGATATATCCTCCGGTTGAAAAGAACAAGGAACTTGTTGGCTTTGATCATCAAGATTCCATTCTGATCGCCCCACCACTTCCCTCCGACTAATCTCCGATCTTGAGCTGCAAATGTTCGATTATGCAGAGTAGGGGTGAGCAAACGGTCGGTTGATTACATAACATACTGAAAAACTGATTAAAATCGTTGACCATCATAACCGACCGAAGTATATGCTATAACCAACTGAAAAACTGATTGTCGGTTTCGATTGGTTATATCGGTCACCGAAAAATCCATAGATTAACAAATTATTCCACAATTAATAGAGAATTACACTTAAAAAAGTTTTAAAATAAAATATAACACTGCCAAAATAACTCAAGTCTAAAGTCTAAACTAACAATTAACAAACACACTACACACTGCCAAATTGCCCATTGCCAAAGTGCAAAAATCACACTGAAAAGCTGGAAGCACATTGACAAGTGCAAAATTACCAATTTCAAACCTATCAAATGAGATATTATAAAACCTATCAAATTAAACAAACAATGAACAAGCGCACTGTACAATTGACATCTACACACTGTACAATGAAGACACAATTATACTGTACACAAATTTACATAACATTTAAATAACACATTATCCAAAAACATTAAAATTTCAAATATTAATGAACAATTAAAGCAACAGCAGCATATAATCCCTTTTAATTTTAATATGTAAAAAATTAAAAAAAATTACCTTACACTGAGCTTAAAATGGTAAACAAATTCAGGTTCTCCATGATTTGCCGGTACATTCATAGATGAAGATACAAATACAAATACATGAAGATGGTGAAGATGAAAATATATGCAAATGATTTCCTAAACTGAAGGAGAAGAGATTGCCTCTGAGATTTCTTTCCATCATCTGATCAACAGCAAATGGAAAGAAACAACCACATGTATTGTTGTTACCTTTAGGTTCTTCAGCAAACCAGAGGATGTGAGGACTGAGGTCGGTCCGCGCGTAGAGCGTCGCCTGTGGAGTCTGAGACTGACCGGAGTGTCGCCGATGCAGAAGGCAGAAACCGAGCTGCCGAGGGAATTAGGGAATTATTGGATTTGGGCTGTTGGATATTTGGATGCGCAAATTATGCTGTGCAACCGAATGCACCTTGCAAGGTGCATACGGTTGCAAAACGGCGCTGTTTTGGTTAAAAAAACGAGCGTCCCACTTAAAGAAGAAATCAGGTTCGATTCCCGACAATAGCATTTTTATATATCCAGAAATTCATAACTATATAACCACAATTTCATAACTATATATCCACAGTGAATGAATGAAGTAAAAATCCACAATGAATGAACTAAATATCCACAATATATGATTGAACTAAATATCCACAATGAATGAACTAAATATCCATAAATTCATAACTATATAACCACAATTTCATAATTATATATCCACAATAATGCTATTGCTGAGAGTCGAACCTGATTTTTTTTTTTTTTAAAGTGCGACGCGCGTTTTTAATCAAAACGACGTCGTTTTGAACCGTATGCACCATGCTCATGGTACATTCGGTTGCACAGCATAACTATTGATTTGGATGGCATGGGCCATTGGCAGCATAAATCACTGTATTGGTCCATTGGATTATATATATATATATATATATATATATATATATATATATATATATATATCTTTCGCCGACCGAAACCAAAAGTCAATAATCGTAGAATAACCAAAATACTGAAAAAACCAAAAATATTTTAACAGCAATAATCGAAACCGATAGAAAATCAATTTTTTCGATCAGTTGGGTTATCAGCGACAGAATCAATTTTTTTCGATCAGTTGGGTTATCAGTTATTTTGCGGTTATTGGACGGTTTCATATTTTACCCACCCTTAATACAGAGTTATTTCAGTAGTATTATGTAGCCTAAAAGTCTGCATTGTTTATGCTCTTTGCTCTTGTGCTTATATCATTCTGTGTTGCCAGTTATTAGTGGAGAGATCCATTTTTTCAGCAAACAGCTCCTCCATTTGATGCATGGCAAAACACTGGGCAAATGCATGTTTAAATTCCAGATAGACACTCAAATTGTCAGCAAATATTGTAACAGAAGAATAGTTTAAGCAATACATGATGACAACCCAAAGCTTCTGCAAATGATGGAACATAAAAGAAGACATACACAAGCATTCCAACTATTTATTTTTTGAGTGCCAAGGAAAACACGCACCACCATCCAAATGTGTACACCGAGTAAATCCCACATTCCCACCTTGTGATCCTAGTTAGCAAAAGACCCCCTCCAATTTGGTTGGGGTTCCAATCCAACTATTTAGCAAAGGCCTTATGGACGCAAGACTGAGCACAATTGCAACGTGAGAGTTTCACCCACTTGTGAAGGTGGCTCATTGTAAGCACTAGAAACTGGTCCTCTCACCTAATGGGGAGCTGGGTTAGAGTGATCCCGTGGCATGGGTGCCCTTGGGGCGAGGGATTTCTGTCTTTTGTGGGCAAAAGAATCTTAACACCAGCAAGATATTCAAACCAGCGTAGGAAGCAAGGACATTACTTAACCACTGTCATCATACTTCCAAACCTATCATGCTGCGAGTAAAATAGGTATAATTTTACCATCATCCAAGAATACAGATCTACAGTTCATAATTTGACTAGGTTCCATATTCTCCACTCAGATACAAAGTATATCTTTAGCAGGTTGTGCACTTCTGCTGACACATTCTGGACCAATCTATTGCCTGACCATATTGATCCAAGCAGCAAGCCCTGTAAATAGAAACCTAATAAAAGTAGCTCTAATCCTAGCACAAATGCACAATGTGCCTAGCCCTTGTTTGTAATTGTATACATCATACAGGACTAGAAGCAAGACAGCATGTTCACCAAATGCAAGGAACCTGCAGCTCGTTTCAGCACAAGAAAAGAAAAGACTTCCAATTCAATCAAAATCCAATTAAAGTAAAAAATAAATCTAGTCCTCTGTGAACCATAATCAAGCTGAATACCATACATCAGTACACATGACAAATTCTATGTCTTCATAGTTAATTAAAACACCCAAGAGTTTCTGAACAAGCAAAACCAATGCTTGATCTTTCAAGATTCAATTACAACAGAAGCAGAAGTAATATGAAGAAAACACATATGATGAGTTCATTCTGCATTGATCAAACCCATGATCTTCCAAAATCACACAGTAGTATTAGATTATTACAATAACTATCTCTACAGTTTGCAACTCATATGCTCTCATTTATCGGGGAGGGGGGTAGCAAAAACTAAGAAGTAGAGCTGACAATTTTCTACAAAAAAACTGATGCATTAATTGAAGAATTGTGCAAAATTAATAACTAAAAACACTTCAGTCTAATGCCATTAGCACATCAAATGCATCTCGTTAAAACATAAGCACCAAATGAAGTTCCAAGTATCACTCATTTCATGTAATTTCAAGGATCGTCCCCTAATCTGATTTGAAATTCAAAGATTAATCAAGCTCTTTCTGAACCTTAATCCCCATTGAGTTGGCAGTGCCGATGATAGACTTACAAATCGACTCGAGCGGCATGTATTGACAAAAAGGATCGCTCTGTTTGATCTTCGCGATTTCGTACACGTGCTTTAGGGTTATGGTGGAGGCGGCCACGTGACCGGGGCGGCTGCTGCCGCTCTCCACCCCCGCCGCATGCTTCAGGTACCACGTCACCGCCGGAGATTTCAGCGTGAACTCGAAGGTTCCGTCCTTGAACGCCGTTATGGTCACGGCCATCGGCGTCCCGGGCTTGTACTTCTGCGTCCGCGCGTTGAAGTCCTTGCAGAACGCCATCGAGTTCAGCTTGTATTGACCTAGAGCCGGTCCCACCGGTGGCCCGGGCTTTGCGCCGCCGGCATCGACCCTTAGTCGGATCGTCGCCGCCACGGGACGTCGCGTTAAGATCTCCTTCAACGTAGCCATGCTTTTCAGCTCACTGAGAGTGTGGAATGAAATTCATAAGAGATAGTTTGAGTGGTTTTATATTGGGCTTTATCATGTACAAAAATGGGCTGTCTGAAATAACACACGGCCCATTAACACCTCAATGTTCTTTTTGTTTGGTGAAACAAATTTTGTTTGAAGTAATGCTCTACAAAAAATGGACCGTCCGAAATAACACATATATTTTTAAAGTTCGAACTTCAAACTTAAGGGTTTTTCATTGCTCATGTCTCTGTTAGAGTTTTAGAGACTAATGAATGAAATAAATCACAAAATTTGTCTCAATCGGTCAATAGGCCCACAAGCCCCCAAAATCATACCTCTCCTTTTTACTCATTGGTAGGCGCATATTATACCATTGTTTAGGGTTCTAATAGGGAATATCTCTCAGGTATATTTACTTATATGTACTGCATACCAGCTCGGTATCCAATCAAGCCACCCTTAAAAACTATTCCCGATAATAACTGACCTCAAATGGACCTACCTGATCTAAGCGTGAAGGTCGAGCAGAAGCTTAGTTGATAGTAGTCTTCGCCCCGCCTTATAATCCAACCCAACCTTCTTAGGTCGGGACGGCCTATCCGACCAAGTCCACTTAGAGAGCTGAGTCTTACTTCTTTATTTCAACCCGCTCGCAACAAAAACGAGGACATCAGGAACCTTAGCACGTGTGGGGGAATCAGGAAAGCCTTCCCCCCACCCAACCCCTCTCTTGTACATGGGACACACGTGTAGTGCATGACGACCCCCGTCATGTGCTCCCTTCACCCTCCCCATACATATTGCATTAAATGTTAGGGGGGGATTTTTGGCATCTTCGCTTAGCATACCATAGTTCGACATTCCCTGACATCGCCTTACTACCCGAGCTTAAAACTGAAACCAACAAGCAGACTGTTAAAGGATCCATCTATAACGTATTTACTACATCAGGTTCATATTGCATTGTGAACCTTAGTCCAAAATTACATTCATATATAATCATATTATGTACGTGCAAATTAACTGTAAATACATAATATATTAATTATAATTGGTATATAATATGTTAACTGCTTGTACATAATTTGAATAATTTTATTTTGTGTTGATTGACTAGTTAAGTTGTGACATAGGACTTTTAAAATAAATTTATACTCCATAAAGTGGGAGGCAAAAGTCAATAATTAGTGGACCCTTTAAAGTTTCAATCCTACAATTACAAACTCTTTGTGCTAACCCCACACTCTGCACGCAGCAACTATGTTTTCATTTCATTCCATGACAATGCACCGGCACCCTTAAAGTGCACACTAAACACTCTTGTATATCTTTTCAATAAAGTTTTTGTTTATTTTGTAGTGTTACTTATTTTAATTAAGCTTAATTGGTATGATAGTTATGTAATCACAATATTTTAAGTTTAACTTTTTTCACACTTTGATAGCCTGATAGGTTAGATATCCTTCACTAAGGCCTTGCTTGCCCCAATTTTTATGGATATGGACATGCTGATGTTTGTAATTATGTATTTGTGTTCTTATTTGAACGAGGATTATTACATTTTGTATTTTGTGTTTGATAGTTGGATTGTAAATGATGATATGATACATATTTAAGTATTTTAAGGTTAAAAAGCTAAATATTTTTTTAAAATAATACTCTGTAATTGTATTAGGTTGATTAGGATTAATGGTGGACGAAGATTCCTTTATCCTTCTTCCCCCTAAATGTTGAATCTCCAATCTTAAAGGTTCCCCACACCCTGATCCGACAAAGCATTTTGGAGGGTGTAAATCATGAGGATTCAATAACTCAGATAAGTCAAATGCTGGTGTACGCAAAGAATCTGTCTACTTTGATCTTGGACATAATCCCACAATCCCACACTGTCTTTGTCGAAGTTTGAACATTGGTCTATTCTCTCAAATACTATACACTGACAAGATTCCTTTATCTATTATATTTCATGTGGGGGTGAGAATAGAGAGAGAGAGAAAAAAAAAAAAAAAACATCATTTTCCCATTGTGAATAAGGGCGATGAAGTGGGAACTGAGAAAGGATTTGAGAGACAAAGGCGGGGAGTGTACTCCGAGCTTAATACCCAAACGAAAATGACAAATGATCATGAGTAAAAAATTACGTGGGATGACCAATTCAACGTTTGTCTTTCCCTCTTTTAACTCTTGAGTCAATACTTTTGTTGGCCCTACACATTATTAAGTTGATATATAATTCCACATTTTAATTAAGGAGTACATTTTTTCCAACCCCACATTTGTCTGGTCCACTGCACTCTTCCAACTTCATCCAATGAGGTGCTACACAATAGTAGCAATGGGGCCCACTCTTTCTTCATGTTTCTTCCCCACTACATGGAATACATGTTTTTCCCATTCCTCCTCCATTCTTGACTCTATTTTTTCCAAAAAATAATACTAGGAGCCCCTAGTCAAGTTAGTTAGGAGCCAATTATTACTTTATTGGTTTGAGCTCGTGACATTTTTCTATAAAAATTCATAAATTTACTACTTTATTGGTTTGAGCTCGTGACATTTTTTTATAAAATTTTATAAATTTATTACTTTATTGGTTTGAGCTCGTGATATTTTTCTATAAAAATTCATAAATAAATTTTATATATTATACTCTCTGACAAAATATATAAATACACATTATATACCTACTTTTGTCCTAGATAGCACCAAATAAAAACAACAAAATATGAGAAAAATATATATAAGTTATGTCTTTGTTAGACATTCAGTCAATATTATTATTCATTCATTAGCTTTAGCTATACCTATCAGTTTTATGTCTGATATGGGGGAGTGGACTACCGGTCCCCTTCCGCTTCTTTGTAATGTTTTGAATCTTCATTAATATAAATCGTAGTCTTTGTCAAGATCTTGTGGTCTAATAATACCTGGGTTGCATTCTTATATGGAATGATGTGGGTTCAAATCCCAGTAAAGGCGATATTGACTTTTTGTGCTTTAATTGTATTTTTTTTTTTTTTTGAATTATGAAAACAATTTTAAAACATTCTGTGAGTTTCTGTAAATTCTTTAAGGAATGTTTACCAGAGTTGTTAAAAGTTTTGTGTATCATACCTTCTCTTACAAGTTCCAAGCTATATATATGTATGTATATCCAAATCCAATCTATATGAGCCATACATGAATCTAGTGGATTTCCAAGAAAGACTGAAGGGCAGAAAAAGACGAGAAGGAAATATGGAGGACGTTTACCACTTCCACTGTTCATTAAATGAAAGCTTGCTTTCAGGTTTGTTGAATCCTCCTTTATTGTGATTTTTGGTTAAAGGAGGTATCATCCCAACCTGTAAATGTATAAGCTTTTTGCTGTCTACACTCTCCACTGTGCCCTTCCAAAGAGGCATTCTTTTGGACCCTTTGGTTGTTGGGCTTGTAGTGTATGGCTCCTTCCCTTTTTTTGAATGATTTCTTGACCCTACATACTTGAATTTTTTAAGATTTTCGTTTTTGTTACTTTGGGTAATCTTCATATATATTCCCTTTCCAGTTTCCACTCTCAGATACTGTTTGGATGATGGAATAATTTTGGGCTTTTTTAAAGCTCTGGTAGTATGGTAAATACACTTGTGGAACACTGTTGCTGCTGTTCTAAGCTTTGGTTCTCTGTATAGACTTTCATATCCTCATGGGTTTCTGGAGATTTTGGAAGCATGGGGTTCTTTTGTAAATCAAAGATCAAAGCTTGTGTTTTTAAGGTTTTGATGTTTGTGTTCTTGACATAAGTTGTTTTTAAGGTTTTGACGTTTGTGTTCTTGACATAGTTGTTGATTGGTTCTGAATTCTGTGTGTTTTGCAGGGTGAAATCTGGGGGTTTGGTGATTGAATTGAAGATGAAGGGGTTTTGGGTGGTGATGTTTTTAACTTTTTACAGTGGGTATGTTTGTGAAGGGGTTAATTCAACCCTTTCTACCAGGCCTGATGTGGTGAATATTGGGTGTATACTGACTTTTATTTCGCCAATTGGCAAAGTTGCGAAAGCTGCTGTGGAAGCTGCAGTGGATGATGTGAACTCCAATCCAGATGTTCTTGGGGGAACCAAGTTGAATGTCACGATGCTCGACAGCAATTCTAGTGGATTTCTCGGCATTGTTGAAGGTATATATATATATATATACTTTCGCTTCTGTGTATCCATTAGCGTTTTGTAGGATTCGTGTGCGATTTCTGGGTAATCTCTGATGTATAATCGTTAACAGCTATGCGGTTCATGGAGACCGACACGGTGGCTATAATCGGTCCCCAAGCTTCAGTCATAGCTCACGTGATTTCCCACCTTGCAAACGAGCTACAAGTCCCTTTGTTGTCTTTTGCTGCGACTGATCCAACGCTTTCGTCTCTTCAGTATCCGTTCTTCGTTAGGACCTCCCCGAACGATTTGTTTCAGATGGCTGCAGTGGCGTCGATCGTGGACTACTACGAGTGGAGGGAAGTGGTTGCCATTTTTATAGACGACGATTATGGGAGGAATGGCATAGCTGCGTTGGGAGATCAACTTGCCACGAGACGGTGTCAGATTTCTTACAAAGCCGCTTTGAAACCCGAGGCCACGGAGGATGACATGAAGGATCTGTTAGTTCGGGTGGCGTTATTGGAGTCCCGAATTCTAGTTGTTCACACGTATCCCGACAAAGGTCTGAAGATATTCTCGGTGGCGAAGAGTTTAAGGATGACGGAAAGCGGGTACGTGTGGATTACTACGCATTGGCTCTCGTCTATCCTCGATACCATTGGCCCTCTTCCAGCAGAAACGATGGATAGCCTTCAGGGGGCTATTACGTTGCGTATACACACTCCGGATTCACAATTAAAGCGGGACTTTGCCTCCCGGTGGAGCAATATAACCCGAAGGTTGGGAGATAATGTTCATTTAGGATTGTGTACGTTTGGTCTGTATGCCTATGACACCGTATGGCTACTTGCTCGTGCTCTCGATGCATTCTTTAAGGAGGGTGGAAACGTTTCGTTTTCTAAAGATCCAAGATTGGAAGGAAAGGAAGGAGGGAGTTTGCGTCTCGGTTCTATGAGCATCTTCAACGGGGGGAATTTATTGCGTGACATCATTTTCAAAACCGAGATTATCGGTGTGACTGGAACGTTCAAATTCACGTCCGAGAGGGACCTATACAGCCCTGCATTTGAAGTCATTAATTTGATTGGCAATGGATATAGAAGGGTCGGTTACTGGTCTAATTACTCCGGGTTATCAGTTGTGCCTCCCGAATCTCTCTACTTGAAACCACCGAATACCTCGTCTTCAAATCAACAGCTACATGGCGTAATCTGGCCTGGACAACAAACGGATAAGCCTCGAGGGTGGGTTTTCCCGAACAATGGGAGGCAACTGAGAGTCGGGGTCCCTAACCGAGCTAGCTTCCGTGAATTTGTAGAGCAAGTGTCAGGTAACGATATGTTCAGAGGCTACTGCATTGAAGTCTTCACAAGTGCTGTAAGCTTACTACCATATGCTGTCCCTTATAAGTTCGTCTCGTTTGGGGATGGCATTACAAACCCGGATGACACAGAAATAGTTCGCGGAATCACTGCAGGGGTAAGTCAACTAAGATTGGGTCATGGTCATTCAACTGGGCTATAATGCACATGGGCCAAACCACACTAAAAGATTGAATTCAACCAATTAGCTGGCCTAACCCGTGGCCTTATAAACCCATATATCTTCTCTTATTTTATCAATGTGGGACTCTTAACACTTCATATTGCTAGAGCTTTCTGTGTGTAAACCCGTGATTTCTTTGATTTCAGACTTACGGTGCAGCTGTAGGTGATATCGCAATCACAACCAACCGAACAAAGATGGTCGACTTCACTCAACCTTATATTGAATCGGGGCTAGTCGTGGTGGCACCGGTTAAAGAATTGAGCTCTAGCGCTTGGGCTTTTCTTAGCCCGTTCACTCCTAGGATGTGGGCTGTTACAGGATTCTTTTTCCTCGTTGTCGGGGCAGTTGTCTGGATTTTGGAACACAGAATGAACGAGGATTTTCGTGGACCTCCTAGAAAGCAAATCATCACCATTCTTTGGTAAGTTTCTAACTAGTAGGAGACTGATATCTGATTGAATTGTGTGATGAAAACCGACATAACTTTGTGATTTTCCTATTTCAGGTTTAGCTTGTCAACGCTCTTCTTTGCACACAGTAAGTGAATTTTTCCGTTAACATCTTATGGACTTAACGAGTCATACGAGCATTCTAATGAGATTGTTACCGTAATGTTCTGTCCCTCAGAGGAAAACACTGTGAGCACCCTAGGCCGGATTGTCCTAATCGTATGGCTGTTTGTGGTTCTGATAATAAACTCGAGCTACACAGCTAGCCTGACCTCAATCCTTACGGTGCAGCATCTTTCTTCCCCGGTTAAAGGAATCGACAGCTTGTTGACTTCGAACGATCCCATTGGTTATCAACTTGGTTCTTTCGCTCGCAACTATCTGGTTGAAGAACTTGGCATTCACCCATCTAGACTCGTTGCTCTTAACCTGCCTGAAGATTATGTCAAGGCTTTAAAGAACGGCCCCAAAAATGGCGGTGTTATGGCAGTGGTCGATGAACGTGCATACATGGAACTTTTTCTCTCAACACATTGCGAGTTCAGTATTGTTGGTCAAGAGTTCCAAAAAAATGGATGGGGATTTGTAAGTCACTTTCTTTTTATCCAATTCTCTAGCTGTTCAAACTAACTATCATCTGACCGAAATCACTCAACTGGGCTATAATGCAGATGGGCTAAACCACACTAAAAGACTGAATCCAATCAATTAGCTAGTCTAACTCATGACCTTATAAACTCATATGTTTCTCTCTTGCAAGGCCTTCCCGAAGGACTCTCCTCTGGCGGTTGACATGTCAACTGCGATTCTGAAACTGTCAGAAAACGGGGAGCTTCAGAGGATCCACGACAAATGGCTGCTGAGGAGCGCCTGTACCTCGCAAAACACAAAGCTCGAAGTGGACCGCCTCGAGCTGAAGAGCTTCGCGGGTCTCTTTTCCATATGCGCGGTGGCGTGCTTCTTAGCTCTGCTCGTGTACTTCATACTGCTGACACGCCAGTTCACGAGGTATAGCTCTGATCCCGAGCAGACACCTTCTAGTGGTGGAAGCTCACGATCAGCTCGACTGCAGACTTTCCTCTCTTTTGTCGACGAAAAAGAAGAGACAGCGAAAAGCCGGTCCATCAAGAGGAAGCAGATGGAGGGAGATTCAGCTAGGAGCATTGATGATGATGATTCATATGTGAATGGTTCTTCCAGGAGTATAGGCCATTCACAGGTGTTCTCAAACAGAGCTTAGAGTCTTGGAAATTCTCAGTCTGTCTTTTTTTAACAATAATTGTGTGCTTCTTAAATGTTATTATTGTTTAGGCTAATATATACGTAGATATAGATAACTCTTTTCTTCTTCTCCCAATAGATAGCATATTTTGAAATGTTCATATGCTTGTCATGTGGACATGTACTAGCTTAGAGGCTCTGACATAAGGAGAGTAGAAAGTCTGCTTTCAACATGTTAGAAATTAGGGATTGAAAAGTCCGCACAGACACTTCAATTGGTTCTTAGTGGTAGATTGTAGGCAAGGGCACAAAATCGAATCTTGGCAGCTATAGTGTGCGAGTTACACCCAGAATGTGGTAGACTGCTTGTGGGCATCCGGCCCCAAGCATTGGTCATCTCACTTAATGGGTCGTTTAGTTACCGTGATTTACCCATCAACTATCTTGTCAAACTGGGGTGTGAGAGCCCTAAGAGTGAAGAAATTTCGCCTTTTGTAGGCATATTAGAGATTGAAATGCTAAGACGAATACTCACTCCCACCGTTTAAATGGAAGCAAAATATGTGAGAAATTAAAGAAAGAGAATATATTATTGGATTTATAATAATAAATTACAATATATTGTATCTCTATGTATTGAATTGTTGTACAAATACCTTACATTTATACAGCATTGACTAAGGCCATTCTCACTAAGAATCGGATTAGGGTTTCTATATTGTCTTACATGTATGCCGATTCACTAAGGATTATGCCTTACATTATTAATTTATTAGTGATTAGAAATATTTACAGATGGCCATATATATGTATATATAGAGGAAGTGTTACAGGCATTAAAGGGCATGTCATTACTGTGGAGGGTAAGTGTGCCCTAAAGAGAGATACATTACAGTGCTGAGTCTGTGAAGTATTTCTGGAACCATTCTTGTCGCCTACAGTGCCTGGTCATCACTTTATAAACTTCAATCAGCAGGCGTGGGAACCGTTTAGTGAAATAGGCATCAAATCCTTCTGGGATTGGCCCTAAAATTGCCTAAAATGAAACCAACATGTATAATTTAAGTGGAAGTATACAATGTTCAGATGAACAGAGTTGAAATGTGAGTAGGAATGTTTACAGTTGTCAAAAAACATGTAAACATAGCAACTTAAGGTGGTTGGGGCATGCAGTTGGTAAAGCATGTTAAAGTGTTCTTAGCTAAGCCTTCATCCGAGTAAGAGTCAAATGTTGTAGGCAGTTAGGGGTGAGCAAAGAACGGTTAAATCCACTCCAATTCGCAACCCATCCAATTCGTATCCACTTAAAGTGGATAGAATGCAGATCCATTTAGTATAAATCTATTACTAGTGGATTGAATGCGGATGTGACTTCTCAAAATCCGCTATATTTAATCCACTCTGTAAATTCGCTACTAAAATGCATATGACCTCTCTCTCTCTAACTTGAATGAGTGTGTGTGTGTGTGTGTTTAGCCTAGGGTTTTAAGTCTCTCATTTTCAATTGTTAGACTTTCCGCCTTCTTCTCTCTCATCAAGTCAGATAACTACGTCACAATCACAAGCTCAATAAACATTGATTCAAGTTAAGACTTAAAATCCAGTCATTTGATCAGCATCTAATCCGTCAAATCAATTATTAGTGGATTAGATTCAATCTGCACCCCTAAGGCATACCGCATTACATATGCAAATGAAAATTTTCAAATTCACCATTAACCGATTGAATACAGACCCACCCCAAATTCGCTCCGCACTCACTACTAGCTTATACGTGAAAAAAAAAAAAGATGTTATATGTAAAAAAGGTAAATTTTGGCACTGGGAAATCACCTGAATTTTAGGACGAAGCTCTCTGTAATGATTAAACACGTTGCGTATGGCCCTGAGCAAGTCCTGTACGCTGTCAAAGCTATAATCCCGGTACCAGAGTATAGATTCGAGTAGGTTAGGATCCAGCTTTAAATGCCATCTTCCCCGCACAGAAACCCGTGATGTTCCTTCCAATGCTTCTAGAATTCCAGAAGTCTCCCAGTCTTCTAGTTCTAACATATCGCTAGTGTCACGAAGAAATGACAATCGCTTCTCACAGGTCCAAAACAAAGGATGAGCAATAACCTCTGCTGCCTTTGGTCTGCAATTATGGGGGAAAAAAACAAAAAAATTGAAGCAGATGAAATGGTGCACAACAAAACAAGGTTGCAGTTTACTGAGTGGAAAGCATAGGAACTGCAGCTCACATTTTAGGTTGTTTGGTAAATAGTTGATAGTTGTTGGCTGTTAACCGATTGAGTTAGTGGGTTTGAGTAGTTGATAACATTAGCTGATTGTAGAAAGATATTTGGTAAATTACCTGTTAGTTGTTAGCTGATAGAATTACATGCAAAATGACTTTTTCAAAAAGTTGTTTTTTGGAGCAATAAGCTGCTACAAAAAGCTAATTAATCGAACACTTATAATTAAATATTTAACCAAATCAAACAGCTAATAATGGTCAAATAAACTAAAATTGGTTAATAAGCTAATTATGTTACCAAATAGGCATTTACCTCTTTTCAGCATTATGATGTAATAAACGAAAGAGGAGGTCCACAGCTTCTGGAATATGGTTCACCAAGAATAGGTCAAATTTATTCTTTGTAATGTTGATGTCACGTTCCAGAGGGCTGCCAAAGGGATGACTACCACCAGTAAGACAATGAAATAGAACACAGCCCAGACTAAATAAATCTACTGCGCGTGTTTGACGCCTATGAAGCAGCTGTTCTGGAGCTTGCCATCCTGAGCTTCCATAACCTGCAAAAATGCATAGAAGAGTCAAGTTAGTTAGACTATTGGCTCAATAACTACAATGTTACAAGCCTGACTCCCAGCATGAGCGATTTAGTAGTCTTCTTGGTTTGAATCAGCCAGCTATGAGCAACTTAGGTTAATTTAGTTTTTTGTGGTCTTTGTTGGTTAGAATAGCAATGCGGAATTTAACTCCTTGTGGTCCTTTGCCAGTTAGAATTACAAGGTGGAATTTACTCCGTGCATCCTTTTGAGTAGTGATTGCGGATTTTTCAGTCACACCCAAAAAAACAAGAAGAAGAAGTTGATCACATGCTTGTAGCTAATGAAACAGCTAGGAAAAAAGTAATTGCCTGTTGCATGGTGGCTCAGAGAAGACATATCCCCAGTAAGGCGCTTGCTGATACCCATATCGGACAGTTTAGCACACAGTACTCTTTTTTCTTTAGTTATCAACACATTTTGGGGCTTCAGATCTCGATGAATGATTCCTAACTCATGTAGATGGGCGAGCCCAGACACCACATCCCTGTATTCATGTGGGAAAATATAAAATCAGCCAAATTCCAAGTATAAGATGATATCTCAGAAATCATACTTTTCCTCCAAGTTAACACCATAATCAACTTGATTAATGTTAGCATGGCAGCAAAAAGTTTACTGTCAACCTCAAACAGTTAACTGACCTCATCAACTTGACTAATGTTGCTGAAGGATAGCCATTTTCCTTCCACAAAAAAACACCCTGCAGATCAAGTTTCAGGGAGTCCAACCGCATTCTGTACTGCATAGATTCAGCATCCATGCTGTTGATGGGGCAATTCTCTGAAGAGACTGAACAGATCTGAATAAGATCATTCAAGCTGCAAATGCAGCGCTCTAATGCCAGATAAATAAAATCCTGGTCTTGCTCCACGCCATACCACCGAACAATATTTGGATGCTGATCAGATGCAATAAGGTTCTGAATTTCTTTCAAAGCAATATCGTGATGCGCCTTGACTAGCCGCTTCACAGCAACTGGACGCCCATCATAGATTCCCTCAAGGACGACTGTCCCATTGCTTCCTTTAGCAATCTCCTTATTGAACACAAATAATTTACCAATTGTCCGGCCATCACCACTGCATAAAGTTGGATGGTTGAGGTTTAACAACAGTTTGTTATCAGAGGATGAATCTTCATCCGTTTTCTCTCCACTGTCCCCACTCTTTTCCAACATCCTTGATTCTTCCTCGTTTGCAGATACATTTCCCACTTGAGAACTATTCAGTTGTCTAACTATAAAATACAGACAAATGGTTCCCACAAGCATAACAGTGAAACTAATAATCAGAATAAACATGCTGAATATTTCAGAAAGCCCACTTAGTATCGTGTGTCCATTTTTAGGATGGATAAGAACTTTGCCAGCCTTTGGCTGTGCAGGGAGGATCATATCAGGACTAAGAGCCTCAGGCAACCAATTGTGGCTAGACAATCGTTCTAGTATATTGTGACCGCGAAAGCGATGAACTTGAGCCCGTGAGTTACATGGCAATGGCATACTAAAACGAGTACCAGGCTCAACAGATCCTGAATCCAAATCAGCCCCACCAAATGCATCATCACTACCTTGACAAAGAAAAGCGGCACCAATTTCAGCAACTGTCACATTCCACAGAACTTTATTCGAGTTTGGAACAAAAGATGTCAATGTATAATCTGTCCTTGTGATGTAAAGTGGCAGTTCGTTAGGTTTTAGATTCACAGATCCAGGCAGCCCATGCTCCCCCTTGGCGCTCTTGTAGTGGATATTAGATTCTCCATTACCATGAGGTGTTGGAGAATCAGGCATCTTATATGAGGAAATTAGCCTTCCAGTCTTTGCATCAACTTGGAATACAGTACTTCTTTTAGACCCTAAAATAACTCCTCCATCTTCTGCTATTTGAGGTGTGGAACTGACATACACTTCAATGCTCTTCCTGAGTTTCTAAAACAAAATAGGTTCAGTCAATTGACAATGGGAAAAACGAAACACATAAGTTTTGCTCAATTATGAATGCAAGAAGTGTGTGTGCACCAGATAGTTTTGAATGCTTGCTTTTCCTATTGCATATCCATACATGGATATAATCAACAAAGCACACCATCTATATAGGGCAGACATGACATAACAGATAAATTCAGAGTACTAGAAAGAATGTAGTATCTGAACCTGCATTGGCTGCATTCCATCAAAACCTTTTTTCTTTCTTTAACAAATCAGTAAATATCTATCTACATATGGCATGCAATATGCAATTAAAATTAGGGTGCAGTACATTCTCAGAAAGCAAGAAAGCAAGGGGTAACCCCAGCCAAGTTGGTCGAGCTGTTGGCTTAGTAACCACAAGGTTCAAAGTTTAACTCCCAATGGGAGCAGCCAATTGTCCTTCTTGATTTGACCCGGTTAGTTATGGACAACCTAGACTAGTTTGCCTCCTTGTGGCTAGGGTCAGAAGACGGGATTTACCCAATGTATACCCTTGGGTAGTGGCTGGAGGTTTTCCTCGTCACCCAAAAAACAAGAAAGCAAGAGGAGTTAATCCATGTACATTTTAAGAATTACAGACAATACCAGTTTCCCCAATTTGCTGTGTGCATAGAGTTCCCAGTCATCTCCAGTTCCAATATCAATGAAATAACCACTTCCTATGTTAGACAAATTATCCTTGTCCACAGGAGCCTGATATGCAGAGTAAATTGGTGGACCAGATGTAAATGACCAGAGTGGTTTCTTAGTTGTAAGGTCAAATAAATAAACTGTTCCATCCATGGCAGCGACTAGAGCAGTTTCAGGTTCCCTGCCAAAAGAAAAGATTCCAGAACAAGAAGTTTAACTGATTGAATTACCATGACAGCTTATCAAACAAAATTACAATGCCATGAAGAAATAAGAATCACAAATTAACCACATTTCCACGAAAAAACAAAAAGGAAAACTTTCCACTAAAACCCGGAATTCACACACTAACGATAGGACATCTGATTGTTGACTTGATAACAATAAGGTCACAAGTTTAACTTCCTGCAATCACGGTACACTAAACTTTTTGATTTGAGCCTATCCATAATAGATAAGACGGAGTTTAGTCAATACTACGCATTTCCCTAACTAAATTGTTCATCTGTTTACTTAGTAACAACAATGTTATAAGTTCGAACCTTGCTAATGGGCGAAGAAGACTATGGTCATAAGACGAATTTACTCATGAATTTCTAGCATAGCTTAAAAAATGCAAAAGTAATCGAGCTTACTTCGGATCAGACAGCAGAGAGCGTCGTGCCGGGGCAACTCGATGGACGTTTACCCCATCGAAATTCATCCCGGTTGGGCTCAAAAAGCTGCTCGCCGAGCTCAAAAGGCCAAAAAATACCGGTAAGGCGAAGCATAGCAACATCCACTGGCATTTCATCGAATAATTTCGATTGAATAGTTTCGCCGGAAGCCGATCCTCGGAATGTGATCGAGAAAAGCTTTGGTGTTTGCCTTTTAGCAGTTCATTGTTATCAAAATTTTGAATAAGTAACCTGCGTTGTACAGCGATTGCCGATTACATGGGAGGATTGAGATGCAGGGAACCGATAGGGTGTCGGAAACGAAGATTCGAAACTTGTGAAGAGTCGTCCGGTAATGGTATATGTTCGAGTTTTTTGAGCTTGCCGCGCGTTTTTGACTTCCGTCAGCGTGAGGTTTTAAAACTGGATTTTGAGTTTTTGACGTCTTCATTTATTTTGGGAAATAATTTTTTTTGGGCACGTTTCGACACTTAGGTGACCGTATACGATGTGATGGTCAAATTATAACTTGTTAGAGTTCTGGCTAAGAATTAAATTTGAAATCTAGTTGATTGATTTGTAGGTAATATCCATTGTGTTTTATTTAATGAACATAAATAAATCGAATGCCTTACTCTTCAATGACACACCGTCTCTTGACTAATGTCGTACTTGTTAATTGATATTATTATGCGCTCAAAGTCTTTGCTTGAAATTGACTTTGAGTCAAATCTAATCAACTAGTGCAGAGTTGATGTCTGTTGTGCCCGCTTTGATTGGTGTGTCATGGTCATACATCCCACTTAACTTCATATGATGCAGGCATCCATACAACCAGGCAGAATGAATGAAGATGCGACAACCGTCCTAACCACTGGACTAAGCGAACCGGCCTGGTCGACTGGCACCTCAAGTACCTTGCCCCCTTAGGGCATCCTTAATAGTGAGAATTTTGGTGTGATATTTTATGTGCCAACTAGGAGAGAGGTGGGGAGAGAGAAGAAGACAAAAAAATTAAAAATAAAAATAAAAAACAACAAAAAGCTGACACCTCCAGAAAAAAGTTTGATGCCTTGGCGCCCCCCATTGCTCCACTCACGATCGACTTTCCAGCCTTCTCTTTCACTTTCTCTCTATTATTGGGTTCACAAAAACCTCCACATTCGCAGGAAAACAGTTTGGCCAAAGTCTTCATCTTCCATTTGTGAAAATCTCCTCCATGTGATTTTGTTATCCTAAAACTTGGTGAAGACCCCTCTAATGGGGATGCCCTTATAGTTATACAAGCTCAAGAGGGTCGAGTTCCTAAACAAAGGGATCGTAAAAGAGTTCAAGTTGATCTGGTTGAGCGAGTACGCATGATTTACACTCAGTCTATCCCATCAAATATAATATATATCACAAAATTATCTAACTATTTTGTTTTATTATATACATAAATTTAATAAGAGCCTATAATGTTAGGGAGTACTTTTTACCTGAAATGTAAATTGTGTTGGTAGTATCAGTTATATTAAGTGTTTGGTCGCTGTGTTATTTGTATTGTTTTGGACTCTTTGCCCCAATTAAGGATGGTGAGTTGATTGCATGTCTTTTATGGCAATATGGGAGATGTCTATAAAGAAAAATTTATGTTAATTGTGGCCTCATGATCTTCGACTCCATCCTGCATTGGATGGTCTCATGCTGACAGATATGGTTGGTGCTCTCGATTATCGTTCAGTGCTAACTTAGTCAGCAGCGAATCTACAATAGGTGCAGTTGTCCCCACCCCCTACTCCATTTCCAAATATAGTATATCTTGTGTATATATATATATAGTAGTGTTTAGATATAAATAAAATATACAGATACAAATAAACAAAAAATAAACTAGATATGATAGTAAGTTATGTCCTTAGTGTAATATAGAAAAGATTAAGAGGTTGAATCTCATTACTTTCTTTGAATTTTTACACGATCTCTTTTGCCTTTGTTTTAGATTTCCAATAAAAAAAATTTTTATTAATCCGCCTATGAGCTTAGTGCTTTGGTTTTGGGGTGTCCCATGTACCAAATTAATTAATTAAGAAAGCAATGCAGATCCAAACGCGTGCATCATTCATTGCTCGTGCAAGTTGTTGGGGTTTCTATTAACTTTGCATGGGTTGTTGGTTCATTCATCCGTCCCTCTTGCGATCAACAACCTAACGTGTGATATAGTCACTTTGGTAAATTCTTCTTCCACACTCATAAATATTTCATTACAACACCTTTGTTTATGGACTAAAATTTGCACCAATATAAATTTTATAATAATAAATGAATTGTACTATGAATAAAACATGGTTTGTACAATTCTTTTGGTTGGTGATAAATTTTAAATTCAGAAGGACTATATTTATCACTCGCACTTGTGCTAAAGTTGTGTATTATAATTAAATGGGGGAATTTGAATTAAATAATAATACATGGGCTGAGTTTACAATTTATGTATAAATAATTGACGGAGTCCATAATTATTCAATTGTTTGGTTAGTTGAAAATTTTTGAGAATTTTATTTGTTCAAGAAATACAAATAGCATAATCAATCAAAATACATAAATACACTTGAGCATGTTTTTTAGAGAGTATTTCATTTTTTTTTTTTGTTGACATGACATGTTATGTTTACTTTTTAGAAATGTCGTATTTTCTGTTCATTCATTTTTGTCCGTTTAATAAAATTAACGAGAATTTTTAATAATCTAGAATTACATTTATTAGTTTTCTTGATCTAGTTATACATTTATATATTTTTTTGCAATAGTTATTGCGTAGACCGTGGTCAATACAGAAGTTATGTAGATCACGGTCAAAAAACGACATCGTTTCACGTTTTTTTTTTTTTCTTTCATATAACCCACTGCAACATACATTTTTATAAATTATAATGTACATTATTTTATAACATAATGTACATTATTCTAATTTATAAAGTACATTATTTTACTCCAAAAATATTATTATTCTAGCATAAAATGTACATTATTCTGATCATGGTCCACACAATAATTTGCCTTTTTTTTGGAATGACGAAGGAACTATATAAAGGTGCGATGAATTCGTCCAAGAGGTTCAACCCTGTGACATTTTCTCAAGTGCAGCCGCAAAAATGTCATCTAACAACAAAGTGTTTGGCGGTTCATAACATGAATTAAACGCTAAGGCGGCGTTTGGTTCAGATTATATAAGATAACCAAGGTTATATTTGCTTGGTAATATAAAATTTTCATGTTTGGTTCAGGTTATGTAACTTTTTTCAAGGAATGTCAGATAACCTCCCCATTAAGTTTTTAGCTATTGGAAAAGAATGTGAGATACCCTCTAATTTCTTAGCTAATCTCACATTTCCTTGTCTTATTACTAATGTTAGGCTTTGGATATTTTAATCAATTTATCTTATTACCATTGTCTTATTTACATATCTTAATTTTAAAACCAAACACAGAAATATAACATTTCTTAAGGTAATCTAAGATTCCGTGAACCAAACGCCCCTAAGTTTTAAATAAAATTTGTCAGCACAATAGAAATTCAATGTAACATTACGTATTAGACCACTTAGATTTTTAAATTACTTAATGAGTAAGTTGAGTGGTATAAAATTTTTGTAAAAGTAAATGGAAAACAGCGTACGGAAGAGATTGCGCGTTAGCAGTACAAAGTATTTGCATTCCAAGGCCTCATAATATAATAAATTTCACATTACACCCAAAAAGAGCTGAAATGGAGCTATCAATTTGCCACGGCACGTCATCGCAAAGACAACAGTGAGACGCCTCCTATAACGTCGTCTGAGGGCGCACGGTAGGACGACGGAGGTGCAGAGGTGGCGCAAATTAGCTGCAATCACCGAGCTACCGATTAATCGGCAATTGCAGCGATCAGCACAGAACAGGACAGAAGAACCTCCGAATAATCTCCGATCAACCTCCTACAGGCTACAGGTGAACCGTACGCATACCAAAATACACAGACATATACATACAATCCGTTACAGAGAGGAGGAGGAGGAAGATGTGGGTGTTCTATCTGATCTCGCTGCCTCTGACCCTTGGAATGGTGGTGTTGACTCTCAAATACTTTGCTGGTCCAGACGTGCCTAGATATGTCTTCTTCACTGTCGGCTATACTTGGTTTTGCTCCATCTCCATGATTATTCTAGTCCCGGCCGATGTTTGGACGGTACGCTTGTTGACTTCTTATACACGTTTTACGGATTTCAATGCTCAATTCGAATGTTTTTTGCACTTATTTTTTTCTGAATTTGAGTTTAGATTGCATTATAGAGATTTTAGAGCTTATTCATTAAACATTTTGAATCCGGTTTTGAATTTATGTAATTTTCCCTTCACCACATAAGTTTACTTCGGATTCAGATTAGTTGTTGACTGCAGTTTTTAGCTAGCTGAACTTTACTGTGCTGAAGATTTTTTGCAAGTTACAAGTATTATTAATATTGTTGGTAAATGGTTGGTGCTTCCCTTATAGATTAAAGTTAATGTGGTTGTTGGTGAACTGAGAGTATGATGTTGTAAGTGGCTTTTAGGGTGCGAGGACTGAGGAGGGGGCAATCCCAAGTTGTTATCTTAAAAAATAGGTTTTACTGGTTGAGTGGTGGTGCTTGGATCTCAAAATAGGTTTTACTGGTTGAGTGGTGGTGCTTGGATCTCAAATTGTTGCAATAATAGGATTTTGGGTGGTTATAAATGGTGGCAGAAATGGATTTATGTTTTCCAGGTAATGAGCTATTTTCTGAAATGTATACATGTTTGGTTGGCACGGGAACAAGTTTTGGTGTATTTGGGAGGAGTTGAGCAACATGTAGGTCTCATTAGAGGTCTATGTGATGATTGTTACAGTATTAATTAGTAATTACAACTGAAGGAGCAAAGATGATGGTCATGGTGGTTGGTTGGTCTGCTGTTCTTGTTGTTGTGCCCCTGTTCATCTGTCCTAGTGTATATGATGAATGGAATCGAGGTTTTCTGCGGCACTTTTACTAGCTATAGATTGATGGTTGTTAGTATTAGGTTTGGGAAATGAGTAATTTGTTAATCTCTGTGATCTAACCGAGGACATCATTATCATGTTGTGACTAAAGCTCGTGTTGTAATCTCTTTCTCTGCCATGTCTAATCAAATGCAGTCACTTTTTTTCAAATCATTCATGTATACTTTTTTCACAACTTATATGTGGGAAGGAAGTTAATATTTTGGAGTATTCTTAAGAATTACCAACTTACTTCTTGTGATGT